TTGGACTTCCAATAAGTGTTATAGATGGTACTGATTGATCCTTTGTGTCGGTGATCCATAGACCTTTTGCGTGGTAGGTCCATTTATCACGAATATATTCTTGGACATTTATACGATTTTCATTATTTGAATCTCTAACCTTTTGGAGGAATGCTTTTTCGATCATGGCATAGCAATCTGGTACAGCACTACTAAGACCTTTAGATCCATAAAAGCCATTGGCTTGTGGTGAACAGGTGATAATATCCAATTTTGGTTTACCCAATAAAATTAAATTTAAATAGTTATCTGTTAAATTAAAGTATGGTGATGTAATAAAGAACTTTGATTCTTTTGGAACTGATGAAAAAATATGAGATGTAACTACTTCATCTTGACGAATATTAAAGGGACCCATTTGAATTGTTGGGAATATCCATGTATCATTGTTTGTATTGTTATTATTTATTAAATCAAATGGGGAGTCAATTGATTTTTTACCATTATCTCCAGAATAAAATTGATGTGGTTTTAAAAGTGTAGATAATTTTTTATAGGCCAATTCTTTAAATTCTTTAGATTCGGTGATTGGATTAATTGTCATACCTGGTTTTGGTAATAGTTGAGTGAAGGTTTCTTTATCGACTGTCATAGAAAGTGTTCCAATAGTTTCAACGATTTCATAAAAGTAGCTTGATACAGCTTCAGTTGAACGAATTAACACATAACGATCTTGTCTATTTGTAAAATAATCTTTTGAAAGGTTGGCTCCACTTAAAAGAAGGTCGTCATCGAAAACATAGGTTTTGAGATGTTGTACTCCAATGGTTTCATTGACTCTTGGTGGCAATACTTTCTTTAAAATACCGTTTAAATCAGGAGTATGATACATGCTGATATTAACACGATCTGGGTATTTATTCATTAAATCACCCAATAGAGTTGCACTACTTTGTTTATCTAGCCCCATTCTGGTACCTCTTAATCCATCTAATAAAATATGAATCTTTAAATCTTTTTCTCTTTCCATTGCTTTGGTCATTTCTTCTACCAATTTAATCTCTTGACTACCTGTACCTAAATATAATGATGCTAATGTAATTCTTTTTTTTGATCTTTTAACTCCATCCTAAAAATAAATTAATATTTGAAAAATAAAATAAAATTAATTATTAAATATAGTATAACTTACAATTAAATGATTATAAAAATCAATTGGCTCTTGAATAAATTCTACATTATTTGCGTCTATTAAAAATCCTGGACCTTGTGATGATAATTGCCAAAATAAATCATTTAAGTATGCATCATCATATATCTTTTGTTTATTTGATGTCGTAAATTCTCTACTATAGTTTGAAATGGTTCTGGAATCTAGAGTTGATTTTTTTGGTATATTTAAATTATTTATTGATTTTAATGTTTGTCTAGTTTTATTATTATTGGTTGTTGATAATAATGGTGTTGATGGAGGTGAATTTGATACATTATTATTATTATTATTATTATTGTTACTATTGTTATTATTTACAACTTGACTAGAACCTCTAATTATCATTAAGGCTGCAAATAGCCTTTGTGGCTGTACAAATGGTGATAAACGTGGTAAAACTCTTTTGATCATATTGAATAGTGTAATGAAAAAACTAGTAAATGACATTTTTTCTTTTTTTTTTTTTTTAAAAAAATAAAAAAAGTTTTATTTTTTTATTTTTTAAAAATAAAAATTATTTAATTTTTTTTTTTTGATGTTTTATAAAATATATTTAAGATTATCTATATTATTAGGTATTATACGTAAAGACTGTAAATAATGTGGGAGTGTGTTTGAATTTAATAAAAAAATAAAAATAAAAAAAATTTTATAAATTAAAAAAAAAAAAAAAAAAAAAAAAAAAGAAATATTAATTTATTTTTAATAAATTAAAAAAATAAAAATAATTTTTTTTTTTTTTTTTTTTAACTTTTTATTTACAAATCCAGTAGCTTTTTTTGTATAAAATAAAAATAATTTTTTTTTATATTTGTTTTCTTTAATCAGAATTGTCTTTGTATTTTTCAGATAGTTATTGTTGTTTAATAATTTTAAGTTGGTTACTCCTAATTTTTATATCACACAAATAAAAAAAAGATATTTTTTATAATTTTTTATTTTTTTATAATTTTTTTAAAAAACCCTTTCATTTTTTTTTAAATTCGGTAATGATATAGGGGTTTTTTTAATAATGACTCTTTTGGTCAGAAATCTTTATCATATTTTGAAAGACGCGTGCCTTCGTGGTCAAATTTCTTAACTAAAAAACGAAAACGAAAACGAAAATTAAAACGAAAACTATTAAGCAATAATAATAATAATAATAATAATAAAGAATATAATAATAATGACATAAATAATAACAATAATAATAACATAATGAAAAAGAAAATTAAACAAGTTTCAAAAATAAGCAATAATTAAAATAATAGTATTAAAAATTTTAATAATCAATGACAATAAAAATATTAATAGAAATGGGTATAAAGAAAATTATAAAAAAAATAAACAAAGTAAATACTTATAATGTATTTATATACCTCGTACATTTAAAGAAATTAAATTAATTAATAAATATTTAAATATTTAAATAACTAATTAATTTTGTTTTTGTTTTTTTTAACAAATTCAGAAATAAATATTATTTGATTTTAAAAATAAATAATATTTATTTTTATTTTTTTTAAATTTTATTTATTTTAAAATTTAAATGGGTATAAATAAAATTTTTTTATTTATTTCTAAAATAAAAGATAAAAAAAAAAAAAAAAAAAAAAACTAATTTATTTATTTAGAATAATAAAACAAATAAAGAAATGTCATTATTTAAATTGCAAAAAGTTATGGTTTTTTTTCAAGAACGTGAACACCCCATTGTATTCGAAGATATGAAGGACCAGAAATTAGTATTGAAAGAGAAATGTAAATATAAAATCAAATATGTTTTTAATGTTAATAATCAAGCAATTAAGAATCTTCAAAATATAACATCCTATTTCAAAGCTGGCCTTTGTGTTAGTAAGGATACAGTCTCATTCGGAGATTTTAATGAATCATCCTCCACCTACGAAGTAACCGTTCCAAAAGAGGGTTGGAACGAAGCTCCAAGTGGTTTTCTTGCAAGAGGTTCTTATCGTGCTAAAATTCAATTTACAGGTAACGAACAAAATGTTAATTTTGAAGTTCCATATAGTGTAGAAATTAAAAATGCATGGGAATAAATAAATTATAATATAGGAATAAAAAAAATTGTACCAGAAAAATTAATAAACAAAAAAACTAAATTAAAAGTACACCAAATTTAAAATTTCTTTTTTTATTTTTATTATATTGATTTCTAAAAATAGCCATGGCCACATATTCCTATAAAACAAACAAAATATATAAAAAATAAAATTCCATATAGTATAATATTGAATAAAAGATATAATCTAAATTCTCTTTATTTGAAGATCACACAAATACTGAGAAAGTTTTGTTTTAAAAGAATTTCTATAAAAAAAAATAAATTAAATTTTTTTTTAAATTTTAAAAATTTTATTTTTTTAAATATTTTTTTTTACAATTTTTATTTTATTAAATTTATTTACAAATAATAATAATAATAATAATAATAATAATAATAATAATATGAATTATGAATTATTATTACAAAAACTAAATGTTCAAATAGAACCATTGGATAGAAAAAGTGAAACTTTTAAAACAATAGAGAATTTAGTGTATAAAGGACAACAGGTAGATATAGAAAATAAAAGTAATGGTAATAGTACAGACGAATATGACTATGAAGACGAAAATAAACCTTATAGAGTAGATTGTTTGGATATATTTACTGCAACTAGACCATCGGATTCAAGCAAATCTTTTATCAACAAAGATAATTTCAAACAATCGTTACTATGGTATGGTTGTTTTAATAGTAGTGTTGCTGCAAAACTTTTAAATGGTATTCAACCTCAATTTACAACTTATACAAACTATAGGGCTGGTAATATTACTCTTTTTCACAATAACAATATAAATTGATAATCATAACCATATAGAGATACTATTAATATTATAAAATAATAATAATAATAATAACAATAATATTAATTATATTTTTATTTTATATAGTTTCACTTTGGGATAATATTTTAGGATGCACAGATAATATTAATATGGGTAAATTTTATAAAGATAAAAATGGTAAATATAAACCAAATAAAGGAATTTTAATGTTGGTAGAGGTAAACTATAAAGAAAAGGTTATTCCAAATCAAATTAAAATTGACAATATAAAAAGTTCAGACTATTCAAGAGACACCTTAAATTACAATGAAGATGATGATACTGAGGATGAATCTGAACAAACCATTGTGCCAATTATCGGTGAGGATGAAGATGATATTGTAGAGGTAATTCCATCTAAAAAATCGAAATCAAAATCAAAATCGAAGTCAAATAATAATAATAATAGTAAAAAAGAAAAATATGTATATTGTAAAGAAATTAAAGATGAAATTGGAATGAATCAAATGCTACAGATTACAGGCGAACTTTCACCCAATCCAAATCATTCATTATATCTCCATAATTTAAAAATACCAAATGGACCTTTCATTCCATCGACCAATACTGTTAAAGGCAATGGTTGGATAAATGGCTATTTAAAAACTTGGGACAAATATAATCAATTTTTAATTCCCTCAGATAAAATGGTAAATAAAAATATAAATACTTTATATTTTTTTAAAAAAATAATTTTCTATATTAATATTAATATTTTTATTTTTAAAAACCAAAGATTAAATTAAGGTATCTAGTAATTGTAGAAACAAGACCAACTAAACATTATAAACCAATTTCATCAGTATCTCCTTTAAAATCACCTGTAAAGCATAGCAATAATCAAAATACAACAAATACAAAATCAAATAGTATTTGGGATAATGTATTAGTTAAAAAAAGACCAATAGACTCTATAGATAAACCATCAAATGACTCTCAGTATTCACCTAGTTTTGTAGTTTTAGATGATGACATCAATAACCAAAAAACAAATAAAAAACAAAAAATCTAAATTTTTTTCTTTAATTTCCAAAGGGATATTTTTACACCCATTTTTTATTTTCGACATACAAGAAAGATATTTTTTTTTACCACCTTAAATATCCTTTTTTATGTGTTTTTTTTTTAATGGTCGATAGTTCCTAAAGAATGACGTTCCAATATCTATTTAATCAGATATTTAATGATTTTTTTTTTTAATTTAAATTCCAACAATTTTTTTTTTTTTTCCTTATCATAAATAATAATAAATAATACTATAATACAAATATGACAAATTCATTAATTTATATAAATCCAGAAGAATCAACAAATGCCTTATCTAAAATTTTTGGCGATGCCAATATTAAAGGACCAACCGATATTGTTGAAGATGAAAAACAAATTAAATTTGATGTCTCTTACTTTAGTTTACCATTAAGTGTAACTTTTGATAAGATTACTGGTGTCATTTCATCAAATCCAGATCACAAGGACTATGTTTGCTATGTTTCATCACAAGTAATGTTTATAACCCGATTTATATTTTGTTTGAATAAATTTTAATTTTTTTTTTTATTTGCAATAGAATACAAATAGGGCACCAAAACGTGCAGTTCCAGATTTAAAAGAAGATGATAAAATCTATGTAACACCAGAAGAACTAATCCATGGCCTTGCTTCAGTATTTGGCGATTGGCATGTTCACAAACCAAGCCAAATTGTTGATACAGATGATAAAGTTACCTTTAAAACATACTGGAATCAACAACCACTTGATGTAATTTTATTGAAAAAACTAGGTATTATTGAAACCAAACCTTTTAATAGAGAATTTGTTTCGTACTCTGTAAATTATGTATGTTTAATAATATTAAAATAATTAAAAAATTAAAATAATTAAAAAGTATAGATTTATTAATTTTTTTAATTTTTTTTTTAAAATAGAATATAAGTCGTAAACCAAAACCATCTTCTTAATTTATAAAGGATCAATTCTTTTAAAATTTATATATTTTTATTTTTTTTTTATTAATAAATAGAATAAAAATAGGTGGGGAAAATTGATGAAACATTAATTATGAAACATGTTACTATTATTATTATTTGAAGAGTTCAAGTTAATAAAATAAAATTATTTTTTATGTATATAAATTTTTATAAATTTTTTTTTTTTTTTTTTACTTATAAAATTTTTTTAATCATAACCCATAAATAAAGAACTGTTTAATTTTTTTGTTGTATACCTTTTAAAAAATTTCTCTTTTTTTTCAAGAATTCCTTACAGCAATTGACATTTTCCCTCCCATAGAAAAAATCCGAATTCTGTTCTTCTCTTTTTTATTTCTGTTTTTTTTTTTTTTTCCCAAATTTTTTTCAAAATTCAAAAAAATAAAATTTTATTTGATGTTAACACTTTTATGTATAATTTTTTTTTTAATTTTTTTATTTTATTTTATTTTTTTTTTTTGAATAATAATTCTAAAATAATAATTATAATAAAAAAATAAATAAATGTTAAATAAAAGATGATGGATTCCGATATTGATAACCACAATATAAAAAAGAAATAAAAAAGAAATAAACGATAATAATAAAAACAATAATGATACTAAAAATAATAAAAAAGACACCCACTTACAACAACTCTTCGGTATGTGGCAATATTTTTAATAGTTTTCCTTTTAACCAGTGATTTTATAAAGTTTGTCGAAGTAGAAGCATCTCCTAAATTATAATTAAAATGAAATTCATAAAGGGAGAGGTGATTGTTTTAGAAATCAATTGGATGTTTCCTTATAAGGATACATATATATTTTAACTTTTTTTTTTAAAAAATAAATATTACTAAACAATTATTTATATTTTTTATAATAATAAAGAGCAAACAATAAAAAAAAACTATTTAGGTTTGATTTTTTTAAATATTGATAAAAACAAACCCGGTTGAATACTCTTAATTAACCTTAAAAATGATCTTTAATAAGTTTTTAATACAATTTAGAAAAGCCCAATTATTATTTTATTAATTTTAAATTTTTTATTTTAGAATCTCTTGTCTCATATATATTACAATTAAATAAAGATAATAAAAATACAAATGGTTTTTTTATATATAGTTCCAATGACAATGGTTTCACTTTGAATGTATTATCAAAAAAGAAAATACCTAAATATTATTATCTAGAAACTATTTTCTCTGAATAATAAAATTAAAGAATGTGTGATATTTTAAAAAGAATTTTTTAATTTTAAATAAAGTTTTTGATTATATTTAGTTTATTAATTATCTTTAAATAATTTTGATAATTTAAAAATTATTTTGATACACTATGTAACTTTATATTTAATGTTCAACTGCAACGTAATCAACAGAGATATCAGATATTAAGTTATTAACCCATGTAGTAAATTTAACATCAAAACCGGTTGTTGTAACATTGACAGCATCAACACGATATCTCAATTGACCACCATCAGTTGTACTATCAACTTGGGTGGTTCCGAGGGCAACTTGTGGGATATTGACGAATGGTTCATCAAAGTTAACATGACGAAGAGCTTCACGAACGCCACTACCAGAATTAAGAGATCTATCACCAATACTAATGTGACCAATTTGTACAAAGTTAGTTTTTAATGGTTTAACATAAAGTTCCCAACTATATTAAAATAATAATAAATTTATATAATTAGTATAGGTTATTTTAAAAATTTAATTTAGATTTTATTTTTAATTATTTACCGAAGTGCAATATGATTTTGGAATGTAACTGGATGGATAGAAATAGATCTAGCACGAATTGGTTGTGGGAAAACATGAGTTACAACTGTGTTTCTATCAGAATTTCCATTGAAAATTTGACCATTGTTATATTCAATCCATGTAATATTATCAGAAGTGTATTTAATTTTATAAGAAGTAACCCATTGATCTAAAAAAATATTTTAAAAAGTTTAAATTAATAAAATTTTACATTTTTAAATAAACAGTTATAAAACTGTATTCATACCAGAATCACCACGACCTTGAGTTGAAATAGCAACAAAACTATTTAATACAAAACTACCTGCAACGATGAATTGGTTCTTATCATTGATAGAAGCACACCATCCTTCCGATCCATCAAATCTAGTGGTGTCTTTTGAGTTGGAAAAGGTTAAAACTGAGTTTTTAGCACCATGATCAGCATTATGGTCAGTTGAACTACGTAAATTTAATAAAGCATTGCTTAAACATCCAACACTACCAGCTGGGACTTTAGACATTTTAAATTTTGTTTATTTGAAGATTTGAAACTAGAAAGTTGAGAAATAAATTAAAAAAATAACTTAATTTTTTATTTATACGAATGATATAAATAAATAAATAATATTAAAACAATTATAATTAAAAAAAAAATTTTATTTTACTTAAATATTTTTTTTTTCCATATAAAAATTAATTTTAAAAAATTATTTTCATAATTAAGGTGGAAATAAAAAAAAAGTGGATAATTTTAAAAGTTTTTTTGTGAGTTTGTTAAATTTAACTTTTTTTTTGGGGGTAGGGGGGGGGGATAAAAGAGGTTTATAATTTTAATTAAAATTAATATTATTATTATTATTATTATTATTATTATGTGATTATAATCCAAAAAAAATTGAAACCACCCAAATTTTTATTTTGTTTGGAATGTTGCAAAATTAAATTAAACTTTTATTGAGAAATTAAAGAGGTTTTTAATTTTTATTATTTTTTTATTATAAAATTTTTATTATTATTATTATTTATTGTTTTTTTAATTATAAATTTTTTTTTAAATTTTGTAAAAATAAAACCACCAATTTGCTAACCAATCAACTTTTTTAAACTGTTAAATATTGTTATTTTTTTATACAAGTAATTGGTTTGAATAAATTTTTTACCAATTATTCCAATTTACATATTGAATCAACACAAAATAAAAAATGAAGATATCAGATATGATAATAAAAGAGATTTAATTAATTGACTTTTAAAATATAAAAATACAATATCAAACCCCAGCAATAATAACAATAACATTATTAAACCACCAAAAATAAAATCAACAACAAACAACTGAAAGAGTGTAATTAAAGAACAAAAATAAAAAAGGAAAGAAATTGTAGATCAAGAAGATCAAGAGGAAAAAGAGGAAAAAGAAAAACAAAAAAAGAATGAATATTAGAAATAATGAAGAAATTACACCAGGAAAGAACAAACTATAACATATAAATAAAATATGATTTATTAAATATTAATTCATTATAAATTTCATATTTCATACAGATATTATATCAGTCAATTATTTATTAATATTATAATATTATAAATACTTACTGATGAAAACTGTCCTATTGTTAAATGAGGTTGGAAACCATTATCTGATTTTTTGCTTAATTCATCAAACCCTGGTAATAACTCTTGAAGTTTATTTTAAATTTTATTTATGATATCTTCACACTCTGGGATTGATGGTTTTAACCAAACAACACAACTGTTTCCATGTTGGAAGTATGAAAGTTCGTTGAATTGTAATTTAAATGATTTAAACTCTATCATTTCCCTACGTAACTCTTTGAAGACTGATGAGAAGTCATGAATTTTTACAAAAGGAAATATTCTATTTTATAAAATAAATAATATTAGTCTTTTAACCTTATCATTTGGCTCTTCATTTTCTGGACATTCCAATTGATTGTATCTTTAACATCATCATAGTGACCAGATAGTAATAATGACCAAATGTCTTTTTCAAACTTGATGTCCCTTGGTGAATTTAATTGTAATCTTGCTAAATCCAAATATTGACGAGTTCAAAACTAAACCAGTATCTTCAAATTTCAATATACAACCTTCAATATATTTTATTGTTTCTTCTAGTTCGTTTGTAACTGCAGTTTTAATGAATGAATATTGGTTGTTTTGGTGAAATAAATTCGAATAATGGTGATTAACCACTCTCTAAACAAATTTTTGAAAATTCGCTATATTTAATATTATAATCAAAACATATTATGGAAATATACAAAGGGATACACAGCTAACTTTAGAATACAGATAAAAATAAAGTGCCTGAAATGGTGCCAATCATTTGTCATGACAACAGTAGTTCGCATACAGCAAAGACAGTGAAATAATATTTAGAAGAGGATAACAATATACAAGTTGATCCATTACCACCTTACAGTTCAGATATTAGTAATATAAAAAAAAGTGGTTTAGAGGTGTTGTTAAAGAAAGGGTATCAAAAAAAATGTTTCATGACCCAAGTTTGGGTGTGTCAAGATGCATTTTATTCAATTGTAACATCAATCATAGAATAATTATATGAATCACTCCGTGACCGAATCTATGCAATATATAAATCACATGGATGATATACTAAATATTTATAATAATAATCAATTATATCTAATTGTAAAAAAAATACAAATAAAATTTTTAAAATTGAAAAAACGGAATAAATATTTTTTTTTTTTATTTTAATTTTTAGCAAATAAACAAATATCTTGTAATATGATTTATTTAAATGGCTCTTATACAAATGTTAAATATTACCTATTTATTCAATAATTATCTTTTCCATCTTAATAAAGTTGGGGGTCTATAGATAATTTCTACTTTGAATCAGTATAAACAATGAAAAATGACCAATGAGCTTTTAAAAATACAAAGAAATATTTCGATTGATACTACAAGCGCTAAGACATCATGTTCTGAGTAAATTATTTCAGTGGTATTAATGACCTATTAGAAGTAATTAATTTGGTTAGTAATTATTAGATTGGTTGATGTTTATATTTTTATAATAATTTACTTGTAATTAGAATGTGTTGTGGTGGTTTTAACTAATGGCAAAAAAGTTTAATGTTTTGTTGGTGTCTTTGTTATGAGGTGGTGATGTGTTTTTGGCATGTGTTGTAAAATTTGACTTGTGATTGTGGTTATACTACTGTATTATAATTTTGAGTGTGCTGTGATGGTGGTGATTTAAAAAATGTGATAATAGATGATGTAGATGGATTCCCTGATTATTGTGCACTTTGATTTGACTCTTTATTGAACATAAACCCAATGTTTTATTAGAGACTTTAGAAAAAACTTATTGATTCGGAAAAATAAAGAATTAGAATTTAACTATATAGATATTAAAATTTAATATTATATTTAAAAATAATTATAATTATTTTAATGATATCATTATTGTTACCTTTAAATTTTGCTTTCTATTTTATATTCGGAATTTACTTGTACATTTTCGAGAGTTGAACTATATGATACAATTTTATTATTATATTTTAATGGTAATGTTATTATTTTTGAATTGTTAACTATTTTCATCGATTTTAATGAAATGTTTGAAACGATTTAATTAATAATTTTATCGCCATCGAGTTCATTAATTGAAACATTGAATTAAACGATTTAGTTATTAATCTCATCGCCATCCATTTCATGATTAATCGAGACACATAGAGTCAACTAATTTTTCATTGTTACCAGAAGAGATATCATGATTTAAATGATTGTCTGGATCGAATTCTGATTCATAAACGGAATGATGATCTGAATCGTAAACGGATTGATCATCTTCAGATTCATATTCGGACTCATCTTTGGAATTATCTTTGAATTCTTCTTCGGAATTATTTTCGGAACTATATTTTTGAAGTATTCTATCTAATTCGACATCTCTTGGACAACGAACCTCTCTCTGCAATTAAATAATAAAACAAATTAATATGTATATTTTTTATTATGTATAAATATTAATGTATGAATTACTTACTTGAATATAATAAAATGTTTTTCTACACAATGGGCAAGTATCTTCTATTGTGTACCATTTAGTGATGCATCCGTAACAAAATTTATGGGAGCAATCTATCGATGTGGAATTGTTGGAGTTTAATTTGGCATAACAAATACAACATTCGTCAACCTCTTCTTTTTCTAAACGCTCCCTTTCTATTTTTTCTTTCTCTAATCTTTCATTTTCTATTCTTTCGTTCTCTAATTTTTCTTTTTCTGCACGTTCATTTTCTTCACGGACTCTTTCCTTTTCCAACATTTCTCTTTCCATCTTTTCTTTTTCAATACGATCTTTTTCTGCTTTTTCTCTATTTAATTTTTCTTTATTTGCATAATTGAAAGCTGGAATATTAAATGATGTTGAATTTGCACACTTATAACGAGATTGTTCTTTATTGACTGATGGGTATTCAGATGATTTGTGTGCGCTTTGTTGTTGGTTGGCTGTTGGAGTATTAACTGATGTTGATGTTGGTCCGTCTGCAGTGTTGAAACGTGAGTGTGAACTATTAAAAGCTGGGTAATTCGATTCTGCCCTTGATGATTTAAATGGCTGTTGTGATTGTTGTGGGCATTTTTGTGGGATATTAGTGGATCTAGAATTACCAGCGGCACTATAACGTGATTGTTCTCTGTTAAATGTTGGGTAGTTGAAAGAATGTGCACTTGATTGTTTATGTTGTGGATTTGTGTTTGGGCTTGGATTTGGATTTGGGCTTGGGTTTGGGTTTGGGTTTGTGTTTGTGTTTGGGTTTGGGTTTGGGTGTTGACTTGTTGATGGAACACTACCTGTAGTATAACGTGATTGGGTTTTATTAAAATTAGGGTAGCTGTTTGAATGAGAATACTGTTTTTGTGGTTGTGAGTATTCTTTTTGGTGGCTTTGTTGTGGTTGTTGTGGTTGTTGTGGTTGATTGGTTGATGGAACACTACCAGTTGAATAACGTGAGTGGGTTTTATTTAAACTTGTGTAGCTGGTTGATTGTGAAAGCGAATGAGAAAATGGTTGTTCTGGTTGTGGTTGCTCTTCTTCTTCTTGTTGTTTTTTTTCATATCTTGAAATAGTTTTCTATAATTAGGGATTGATGCAGTTCTTTTTGGTTGTGGTGATTGTGATTGTGATTGTGGTTGTTCTTCTTCTTCTTGTAATTGTTTTTCATATGCATCCATATCTTGAAATAGTTTTCTATAACTTGGGGTTGATGCAGTTCTTTTTGATTGTGGTTGTGGTGATTCTTGTTGTGGTGTTTGTGGTGATTCTTGTTGTGGTGTTTGTGATGATGGTGGTGGGCCATTGTTGGTATTGGTGGAGTATTTGTAGGTAAAAAATAAAAATAAAAAAAGGAAGATAGCTTCAACTATTGAAAAAATCATTTTAACTTTTTTTTTTTTTTTTTTTAAATGAAATGTGATATGTAATAAATTGATTATGAACAAAGGTTATTTTTACTATTTATAAAAAAAAAAAAGAAATTGGTTAATATAAAATTTAACAAAATAATTAAATAATAAAATTAAATTAAATACTTACCAATACTGTAACCCAAAATGCAGTTAAAACTAAATAAATGTGCTAATTTAAATGATTCTGTTGATTATTATAGTATAAATAAAAAAAATAATTGATGAATATACTGAATGAAATAAAATTTTATTTTTAATAAAGAATATGTGGAATGAAAGATGTGTGAGTGTGGGTGAGAGTGTGAAGAAAAAAAAAATTTTAATAAATTTTTAAAAAAAAATTTAAAATTTTAAATTTAAAATTTTAATTTATTAAAAAAATAAATAAAAAAATGCTATGTTAGCTATTTTAATAGAAGTTCTAAAAGAAATAAAATATAATAATTAAAAAAAAAAAAGAAAAAAAATTAAGTGGGGTTATTTAAAAAATATAATAGATTTTTGCTAAATTAGTTTAGATAATTTTTTTTTTTTAAATTTAAATCTTTATAGTTTTTTGTTTTATACACAATTAAAAAAAAATTTGACATTATTTCAATGATTATCATTATTATATTTAAAAAAAATAATTAATATAAACGACAATACATTGTAATGAAAAAAAAAAAAAAATTTGTAAAGTTATTTTTTTCTTATTATGGAAAAATAAAAAATAAAACATATAATATAAAAAAAATGAAATTCACAAAATAAACTATATGAATTTTAAATAATTATAAAAGTAAATAAGAAAAATTGTAAATAAAAATTTAATTACGATTTTTATTAATTTTAATTAACAAAAACATATTATTTTTTTTAATAATTTTACCGAGTGAAATACATTATTATTTGCAGTTTTTATAAATTTTGTGAAAATTTAAAAAATATTAATGAAACCACTCCGTACCAATCAGGTACCTGCTATTGATCAAAAATCTAAGAAAAAAAAAACTTCTTAAACTAGACAGGTTGTTTCAACCTTACCCCAACCCTTACTACTTCTTATATTTTAATATAAATAAAACACTGTCGCTTACACTAATAATATTTATTATATTATTAAGTAAGCTTTTAAAAAAAAATAAATAAAAAAAACAAAAAAAAAAGTAAAGCAAAAGGAGCAATCCTTTTGCCTTTTTTTTAATTTATATTATATTATTCGAAAAAAGAATGTTTTTATTTATTTTTTACTTTTTAGATTATTATTAGTATTATTATCCTTGATTTTAAAATCAAAATGAGGATTATGAAAGATCATACTACAGTCTTTATGTAAACGGATTTTATGACACACTCGTTATATACACCCATATCATTATAAAAACCTTTAACTTTGAGGGGATGATATGCACAATTTTTTCTTAAATTTTCCACTCTTGGGTATGTTCTTGATCTTTGGTCATTTCGTTGTGGATTGATAACCATTTTTGTTGAGTCTACATGATTATGGCAAAAATTGTATAACCATATTACTCTTGGAGTTTTGAAAAAATTTGTAATAAACCACCTTTACCATCATTAAATTTAGATTCCCTTTGACGTTCTAATTCTTTTTTTGATAAAATTGATTCAGGAATATTGCTAACAATGTTTTAAAACATTATTGTTGTTATTTGTTCAAATATATTGACACAACGATCAGAAGAGAAATAATATATTTAAAAATAAAAAAAAATAAAAAAGTAATCAAAAAATTTTTTTAAAAAAATATAAAAAAAAAATTTGTTTTTAATTTTTTTTTTTTAAAAAAAATTAAAAAACGGGATGCATCCTTTTTTTTTTTTTTTAGCACTTTAGGGGTTAAAAAATTCACATATTTAAATATAATTTTTTTATTTTTTTTTGTTTTTACTCTTTTTTAAATTTATAATTATTCATAGATAAATATAAAAATGATGAAATATTTATTTGTTTTAATTTTAGCTTTATTAGCTGTTTCAAGCGTTAGCGCCGAAACTAATATGGATTTTTCAAGCATTAGCGCCGAAACTAATAACAAAGAGTGTGCTCTCTGTGGTTTCGTTATCGACTATGTTAAAGGTCAACTCTTAAAAAACAAAACCGAAACTTACATTCTTGATAAATTAGAAAAAGTCTGTCTTCTTGTTCCAGCCCCATTACAACCAACCTGCAGATTACTTGTCACTCTCTATGGTGTACCAGCCATCAAAATGGCCTCTTCTAAAGTAAACACAACTGTTCTTTGTGAACTAGTTGATTTATGCCCAACCCCAACCCCAACCCCAACTAAAACAGTCCAAAATGTCCAAGTTGGTGATACTAAATGCACCATCTGTGATTTCGTTGTTGGTGAAGTCGAAAAATACCTCAGTGGTAATGCCACTGAAGCTCAAATCATTACTTTCTTAAACAAAGACTGTAAAATTTTCGGTGCTTTCGGAACCACTTGCCAATCATTAGTTCAAGCTTACGTCCCAACCATCATTAACTTACTCGAAAACAATCAATCACCAGACACTGTTTGTGCTGAAATTAAATTATGCACTTCAAGACTCTCAAAAAAAGTTGGTGGTGCCACTTCATGTGCTGTTTGTGAAATTATTGCTCAAGATGTTGAAACCTTAGTTTCTCTTAACTCAACCGAATCTCAAATCGTTGATGCCGTCGAAACCGTTTGTGCTGATCTCCCAGTCAAATTCTTCCAACAAACCTGTGACAGCATGGTTCAACAATACTTACCATCAATCATCAAATACATTGAAAACCAAGAAAGCCCAGCCACCGTCTGTGCTCAAATTGGTCTCTGTGGTGGTTCATCATCAGAACAAGGTTCATCATCCGAACAAAACTCTGGTTCATCATCAAACGATAGCTCATACACTGGTTCATACACTGGTGCCTCAGGTTCATCAGTCTCATCAGGTTCTGGTTCATCATACAGCAGCGGTAGCGGCAGTTCCTTTTGAACAAGTTCACCATCCAATAAATGAATAATTCTCTTTTTTTTTTAATATTGCTCGAATCGATTTAAATATTAAATATTAAATAAAAGTTTTTCTTGATATTGATTTAATTTTTATTTTGCTGTTATATTTTTATTTGTTTTTTTTTAAACATTGTTTAAATATTTATTTATTTTTTTTATTAAATGATATTGATTTAATTTTTATTTTTTTAATTTTTTAATTTTTTAATTTTCACACAAACATACTCATTTAGATTCTATAATCAAGAGGAAGTGTTTTTTAAATTTTTATTTTTGTAGTGTAAAAACAATAACTCTCAATTCAAAAAAATAACATTTTGCAAATAAAATGAAAATTAACAAACTAGAGAAGATATCTTTTAAATATTTCTAAATTTTATTTTTAGTTAAATATTCGATTGTTATATTAAAATCTTCCTGGATTTTCGGCGCCTCCGTATGGTAAAAGGTTGTCCATGGTGTAGGAGTGTTCATTAAAGTATTGTGGATTATCAGAACTCCATACAGCTACCACTGAAATTAGTTAAATTTATTATTGTTAGTTTAAAGGATCCATTTAAAATAAAGATAACAAAAACAACACTTACTTCTTTTTCCTTTAACCTTTTCCCATTCAACATTAGCAAATTTACCTACAATATGTGATGGGTCATTTGGGAAAATACTACCGCTTGGTACTTTTCTAAAATTGATAGCTTCAATAATAGTACGACCTGGGAAAGGTTCAACCAATTGAATTCTATCGTATTTAACTTGTCCATTTTGTGAGTCTCTACCCCAAAACTCATTTCTAGAACGATTACTACCACATATAACACTTTGATGATTAAGTTGACCATTTGGGCCATCTTTATAGATAATTTCGAGAGAATGTGGTTTTTCTTCGTGAGGTGTAACCAAAACAAACTCTGCAATATAATCACCGACTGATTCAAAATGAATTTTGATATTATTAGCTTCACCCATTCCTGATGGAAAAGAAATATCACCAGTTACAGTAGCAGTACCATTTACTTGGTCATATGTAGCATTAGAAAAACTAGCACTTCTTGGTACAATATTAATCTGTTGTTGTTGGTTATAGTAATTAGTTTGTTGTTGTGGTGCGGATCCCCATGCTTGGTTTGGTTGGCCATAAACTGGTTGTCCATATTGGTTATAACTAACTGCCTGTTGATTATATTGATTATAATTTACTTGTGGTTGCTGTGGTTGAGGTTGTTGAGGTTGTTGAGGTTGTTGTGGTTGGTTTGGACGCCATTCAGCTTGACGACCTAATGCTTGATTATATGCTTTTTTATAAAAAATAAAAATAAAAATAAAAAAGAAAAGAATTATAAATAAAACTATTATAAACATTAAATGATAATTTTTATTTACCTTCCCAAGAAATTGACATTTTATCTTTTATTGTTTTTATTGAAGTGTTGAAAATTTATAAAAAAACTATTTGCTTAAATAGTTTTTTTATTTTTATATATTTTAAACTATTTTTATTTAAAAAAATGATTTAATGTGGATCAGGTGTATAAATAATTTATTTTTTAATTTTCTAAGCATTTCCTATGAACAAAAGAGAATCTTAGATAAGTTACATCCGATTTCATCAAATTTTTCATTTTTTTTTTTTAAAAATTTCGATGCAAAATTTTAGAAAGATTCACTTTATTTTTCCAAAAATAATAACACAAAAAAAAGCAATCACACAAAAAACTACATTTGAATATTTTAGAATCTTAAATAAATATAAAAACTATAATATTAATAAACTGATAACTTTTTAAAAAATATCTTATTTTTTTTTTTTTTTTTTTTTGTTAATGATTATCTATTTTATATTCATGAATATCGAATTAAAAAATACACAAATATTTAATTCAGAATTCCAAACTCTGAATGTTATCTTTATTTGTTTCTTTTTTTTTTTTTGATTTTTTTATTATAATAAACTGTTTTGTGATTTTTTTTATTATTAGCAACAAAATTAATTATTTGAAATTATAATTAAAACAAAAAAAGAAAGATTTAAATAAAAAAAAAAAAAAAATTATTATTATTTTTGATTATTATTAATGAATATTATTATTAATAATTATGGTATGCCATAATTTTATAAGAATTTATTTAACCACCACATAAATATAAAAAATTCAAATAAAATTTTTGATTTTTAATTTTTTTTTTTTTTATTTTTAATTTTTTTTTTTATTTTTATTTTTTTTTCTATAATTTTTTTATTTTTATACATTAGAAAAAAAAAAAAAAAAAAAACTTTCTATTTATTTATTTATTTATTTATTTATAATTATTTATTTATTTAATTTTATATAACAAATCAATTTATTTTTATTTTTATTTTTTTCAAATTATATATATTTCTAAAATTTAAAAAAATATAAAACAATCATAAATTAAAAACCACCAAATTTATTTATAATAATTTTTTTTTTTGGCTTATTTGAAAATTTTTTATTTTTTAATTTTTTAAAAAAAACCCAAAAAAATTTTTTTATTTTTTTTTTAATTATTAAATTGTTTTTGTAATACTATCTATCTATATTTATTATTTATTTAATTTTTTCACCAATATATACAATCATAATAATACATTATAAAAAATGGATTTAAATAAAGAATGGGAAAAAGTACAAGAAATGGCCTTCACTTCATGGGTCAACTCAGTATTAGAAAAAAGAGGTGTCAATAAAATTTCAGATGTTTCAACAGATCTCAGTGATGGTGTTAAATTAATTTATTTCTTAGAGTCTGTTTCAGGCAAGAAATTCCCAAAGAAATTCGATTTAGAACCAAAAACCCGTATTATGCGTGTTCAAAATCTTCATTTAGCTATGCTTTTCATTGATGAAGACCTTAAAATTAAAGTCCAAGGTGTTGCTGCAGAAGGTAATTATAATATATATTATAATATATTTTATTATTTAAATTATAATACTAATTTTTTTTATATTTTTTTATTTTTTATATAGAATTTGTTGATAATAATAAAAAGATGATTTTAGGTTTCTTATGGACCTTATATCGTAAATATCGTATTTCAGTTATTAATGAAGGTGATAAATCATCAGAAGAAGGTCTTTTAGCTTGGTGCAAAAAGACAACTGAAGGTTATCAAAATGTTAACATTCAAAACTTCAAGACTAGTTTCCGTGATGGTCATGGTTTCTTAGCCTTAGCCCATAAATACGACCCAACCACATTCAAATATGAAGACTACAACTCACAAGATAACATTGCTCGTTTAAATGCTGCTTTCGATTTTGCTGAAAAAGGCTTAGGTATTCCAAAACTTTTAGAAGCTGAATCACTTAGCAAAGGCCATGTTGATGAACGTTCAATTGTTCTTTACACTTCATTATTCTTCCATGCTTTCCGTGCCAAAGAAGAAAGAGAAGCCCTCGAAGCTAGCCAAAACTCATTAAACAACAAATTAGCTTCACTTGAACAATCACTCGAAGGTGAAAAACATTCACAAGAAGAATTATTAAAACAAAAACAAGAACTTGAAAATGCTCTCAACAAGATTAGATCAGAAAATGAAAATAGAAATAACCGTATCACCGATCTCCAATCAAGAATTGATGATGCTCTTCGTGGTCTTGATGATGAAAAACTCGCCAAACTCGATTTAGAATCACGTCTTGCTAAAACTGAAAAAGATAAAGCCATTCTCGAATTAAAACTCGCTGAAATCCTTGATGAAAAGGATAGACTCGAAAAGAAGATTGAAGAAGACAAGAAGAGAGCTGAAGCCGAAAGACTCGGTTTAGGTTTAATTCGTCAACACCTTGCCCTCCAATTCACCGATATCCACAAATGGCAATCATTCCTTGAACAACCAGAAAATGTTCCATACACTCAACAACCAATCAATCTCGATGCTGAATTATCTAACCTTTCATTTGAAGAACAAGCCAAGAAATTAGCATCTAAACTCGAAGCTGAAAATGTTTCAATTGAAAAATATTTAAAACAAAAGGATGAACAAAAACAAGAAATTAATAAAAAAAGATAAAAATCTCATTTAAACTATAGTATATTTAAATGTTTTTTTTAATAATTTTATTTATTTCCAAATCCCACTGTTCATATTATAAAAAAAAAATAAAAAATAATAATAAAATAAATTTGTATAATTTAAAAAAAATAAATATTATATCTATCTTTTTGTTGCTATAAATACTTTAATTTATTTTTATATTACAAATAATAATAATACAATATTATAAATAATAGATTTTTTTTTTTTTAAGGATATATAGTGCACACTGTATATTTTAATGTTTAATTTTATTTTTTATTTTTTTTATTAAATATTATATTATATAATTAATTAAATGGTAAAAGACCACCATTTTTATTTTTACGCGAGGTTAATTTGTGCATAACTTTTTTAGGTAATTTTGGTTCCAATAGTTTATGATTTTCGTGTTTTGGTGGGAAAATGAAACGTGTTGGTGAAACTTGTAAACTTGTGACATAACCTCTACCAGCCGTAACTGATTGTGGAACATTCATCCAATACATGAAACGAGTTGCACCTAATGTTGTTAATAAGGCACAACGTTCAAAAGAGGATCTTTTGAAACGTTCGACCAATTCTTTATATAAATCTACAGCGCCATCATAATGAACAGTGTTACAGCATGTGTCAAATAATCTTTCGTAAGTTTGTTCTTCTAAAACCACACCGTCAGTTCTCATATTTTCGTAAAAAATCAATGCCAATTCGATATCTTCATAACGGATGGATGCATTGATTAGAGATCTATAGGTATGTTGATTTGGTTTGACATCTAAAAGTTTCATTGTTGTAAAAAGACGAAAAGCCTCTGGTAGTTTATCGGTTTCTGTATAGTAATTTAAAAGTGTATTTAATGTTTTGATGGGTGGAATATATAAACGCTGTTCTGGTACCGATCCTGGTTTCTCCTCTTCTTGCTTGATTGCATCGTTAAATAGTGCTACCTCGACCATCGCCTTTTCAATTTCTTTTCTTAAGAGAGCATAACACTCTTCGCTAACTGGCACATAAAATCTTTCCATAACCTGAAATAATGAAAATGCCTTCTCTGTTTGGTTTTCTTGAATTAATTGTTTTAAATATGGCATCGACTGTTTTAGATTTTCGTGCATTACACCTGTTGCATATGTATTATCTATTCCAATTGGTTTTAAATCTGGTAATGACAAAGCATCCTCTACTGTTTCAACTGAATATGCAAATGGATTAATTGGATTTTGAACTTTAATTGGTGATTCTCTTACAACCTGCATTCCTCTAACAGTTTCATTGTGAATGATTGGTTCTTTAACTATAACTTCAAATTTAATAGTTTCGCCTTCGTTTGTAATTTCTTTAATAATTTCTTCATTTTTAACTATATTATTATTATTATTATTACTGTTAACTGAGAAAAACCTTTTTATTCTATTATTGTAGCTTGCTATATTATTATTATTATTATATATTATTGTTTGTTTTATACATTTTTGAAATGAATTTCTTTTTAAACAATTCATTTTTTATTTTATTTTATATTATTATTTACAAATTTGATTGTCAAAAAGATAATTTTTTATTGTTTTTATTTGGTGAAAAAATACCCCAGCACACACACACACGCACATAATAGTTTAATTAGATTAAACACTCAAACACACAAACACACAAATAAAGATAGAAATAGTAATATGAAAAAATAGCACGTTTATTTCAAAAATAAAAAAAAAATAATTTTAAAAAAAAATAAAAAAATTTAAATTTTTTATTTTTTTTTTTTTATTTTTTTTTTTTATTTTTTCTATTTCATTTTTTTAATTTTATATTTTTTTTGTAATAATCATTAAACAAATAAATTCAAATGTCATATCCAGTTGATATTGAAGATCAACATCATCAAGATGAAGATCCAGTTATTTTAAATATTGGTGGTGTTAAATATGAAGTTATGCCATCAACTTTAGCTCAATATCCAGATACCCTTTTAGGAAATATTTTCAATCCAAATAACAAACATTTAAGAAAAACAGATAAAAAAGGTGAATACTTTTTCGATCGTAATGGTAGATTATTCGAATTTATCTTAAACTATTATAGAACTGGTAAGAAACTTTGATTTATTTAATAATTAATTATTAAACCCTATGAAACTAGTTAATAACATTATTAATATATCGATTTCTTAATATATAGGAAAACTTGTAATTCCACCAGATTTCCCAAAAGAAATTATTCTTGACGAAATTAGATATTTTAAAATCGATTATAAACCAGATGGTGTTACAAATGAAGAAGATGAAGACGAAAAAATTTTAAGACAACCAAAGGATCAAATTTACCAATATGCCTCATCATTAATTCACAGCTCATCAAGAAAAGATATTAAAAGAGGATTAAAATTCTTAACTAAACTAAGAGAGGCTGAGCCAAATAGTTATTTATATAGATACTCATATTCATTCGCTTGCTATAGATTGGGTGAAAATGCCAAGGGTATTCAATCATTAGAAGATATTTTAACCACAGATCAACATAATCCACAAGCCAAATCATTATTAACCCTTTTTAATGATGTTAGATTAAACAACACTCGTAATGGTATTATTGCACTTTGTTTAGCTGGTATTGGTATCTATGGTTTTATTAAAATTAGAAAATGGTATAATATTGCTAAATTGGTCGAATTTGGTAAAGCATTACCAGAAACTTTATCAAAAGCCGCTAGCAATGCAGGCCCAATTGGTTCTGTTTCAACTATAATTTCAACTGAAACTATCCCATCATCTGCCTCATCTGCAATTGGTACCGTTTCATCATCAATTCCATCAAGTATTGCCAAACCAACTTCACTCCATACAATTTATGAAGGTGCTAAAGTTGCTGCTGATGCCACTGTAAAATCACTTAACCAATCAAATATCCAAGCTATTCCAGCTGACCAATTCAATAATGTTATGTCAAATAATGTTTTTAAAAAATAAATTAGGAAAATAAAAAAAAGACATAAAAAAAGAAAAGAAAAATAATTTTATAATTGTAATAAATTTTAAAATTAAATAAATAAATAAATAATATTATATATTTATAAAACAAAAAAAATATTTGCTATTAATACTAATCTTATAGTATAATCATTTTATATTATAATCTTTTAAATTATTTTTTTTTTTTTGTGTGTGTTTGTTTATTTATATTTTTATAATTTATTTATATGATTTAGTTATTATTATTGTATTTATTGAATTCTCTGATACCACCATGTAAGAATCTGGCATTACTAATAGTTTATAAAGAAAAAAAAATTATTAATATTATAAATTATAAATTGAAGTATTAATTTTTATTTGTATGACCTACACAAAACCATCTTTAATTGCCATATCGACTACTTGAGTACCTCTACCATTGTTTGCTGAATAAAAGATAATGCTATCGTTCTTTGATACTTTAGGGAAACCAAATTTTTCTCTCCATTGAACTGGAGTCATTTTAGTAGTTTTTTGCCAAAAGTTTAAATCTGCATCGGCATCGTATGCTTTCTTTGATTCTACAACTTTACTTTTCTTTCCTCTTTTTGAGCTGTGACTTTGTGATGATTGAACTTTGACAATTTTTGGATATTCCACTATAAATATAAAAAAAAATATTAATATACAGTTTAATATAAATGTAGTTTAATATGGACTAATATAACATATTAAAGATATAGAGGTATATGGTTGTTTTATTGATTTGATTTCATTAAAATTTCATCATAACAAAACCCAGTTTAATAGATTTTAAAATCAAAATTTTGATGAATATTCCTGCAAACCTAAAACCACATTCCTAAATAATATCGATTTTATATTAAACTAATCTATATAACTAATCCAATGGGGGGTGTGTGTTTTTTTGATTGATAATTACTTGGTATATTAACACTCTCTTTAATTGGTGAATCAGCATAAAATTCTTTTGGTGATCTAAGATCGATAATGATAACATTTTCTTTATTTTCGATAGTTTGTTTTAATTGATCTCTAGTAATTTTATATGGTGCAAAATCTTCATTGACTTCGAGAGCTGGGAATGTTCTTTGTAATTCAATTGGTCTTCTTTCAATATTATGTCTTGGTTTTACAGTTTTCTTTTTTTCTTCAGTTGCTGCTACTGTTGAATATGATTTATTTACATTATTTAAAACACCAACATTATTGGTGTTTAAAATTAATCTATTGCTATTTTTAATGGTTTTAACTAAAAACATTGTATAATATGATATATATAAAGGTTTCAAAAAAAACAATCAATGAAAAAAAAAAATAAAAAATAAAAAAAAAAAGTCGAAAAAAATAAAAAAAAATTATAAAAAAATAAATTATTTTTATAAAAAAAAAAATTAAAAAAACTATTTTTTTTTTTTTTGCATATGATCAAATAAAGAAATATTAAATATTTATAATTTATAATTTGGGAAAAAAAAACTATCTTTTTTATCTTTTTTCTTTATTAAAGTAATGAAGCCCGAAAAGAGCTAAACAAAAATATGCAAAAGTCCAAACGATCAATATACCCAATGCCTCGCCATAGGTATAGTTTTCAAAAGAATAATGCTCAATTAAAGCATTTCCATTTGGATACAAGCAGGCTGAATTAATTGGGCATTCGATCTCACGGTCTTTATATTGTGCAATCATTAAACCAACAAATCCGTAATGTAGAGGATTTAAATAGTGTATCCATTGGAAACTTCTTGGTAGCTGGTCAATGGTAATGAAAAAACCTGTATACAATAAAAAGGTAATTGAAAGCCCAGTAGCGTAGGTGAATGAAAGATCTACAGTCCCTGTAATATTTGAAATTGAAACTATCATTAATACTGAAAACAAGTGTATAAATAAATATACGATATATGTTAAAATAAAACTAGATACATCCCATCTTAAATGAGAAATAGAGTATGATATTATTACTGCTATAAAAGATATTAATACACCAAATACCATTTCTATTAAAACTGGACCCAAAAAAAATGGTAGTGTAGTGTATATTTTTGATGCTCTTTCTGCATTAAACAAAGTTCTAATCGAAAGGAATAATGTGATCGATCCAAAAGGAATTAAATGCAAAATAAGTGAAAAGAAAAATAAGTAACCAAGAGTGTTTAATATATCTTCTTGGTTATTTTCTAACCCCCCAAAAGCAGTTGAAAGCAATAACCCAATGAGTATTGCTATTACTATTCTTGAAAGTAACCCCACCTTATTTCTAAAAAAGTTTTTAAAAGCTCTCTCTTGTAATACCTTATACTGATAAAAAATCGAAACTGTTTTGGGTATTTCAATATTCAAATTATCATTGCAAATAGTAGGTGCTATTTCTTCTCTATAATGCTTTTCCCATTTCGTAATAATGTTTTCAAAATCTGAACTCTTTGCTATATCATTACAAGCATCTAAACAAAAATCGGGTGTGCTTAAATCCTCTTGATTTATAAAACCTAATGAATCTAAATATCCTTTAACATCGCTACCAATATATAATATTCGACCTTTAACCACCACAATTACCTTATTAAATAAGTTAAATATCTTTTGGCTTGGTTGATGAATGGATGATACTACAGTTACACCTTTTTCAGTTAAATTTTTTAATACCCTCATAACAACCAATGCAGATGTTGAGTCCAAACCACTTGTGGGTTCATCCAATAACAACAATGAAGGATTTGTAACAAGTGCACATCCAATTGAAACTCTTTTCTTCTCACCTCCAGATAAACCTTTTAATATCATACCACCTGGTAAAATACCACCTATTTTTGAATTTGCTCTTTCAGATAATCCAACATCACTTAGCACTTGATATACTCTCTTCATCTTTTCATCCTCATTTAAATCTGGTAATTTTAAATCTGCATAAAATTTTAATGTTTCCTCTACAGTTGATGTTTCTAATAAAGTATCTTCCTGGGTAACATAGGAGCAATACTATTTAAAAAAAATTATAATTATTAATTTATAAAATTCATTTTAAAAATTTATATATATAAAATTAAAAAAAAAAATTAAAATTTTACCTTTTTATATGCATCACCAATTTCCTTACCATTTACGAGTATTTTACCTGTAATCTTACCTGTTGATTTTCTTTTAGCTAAAATATCCAATAGGGTTGATTTTCCACTTCCTGATTGCCCCATCAATGCAACCATTTCACCCTTTTCTACAACTCCAGATACATTATTTAAAATTGTTTTTTCTTTTTCTATTTTTTTAATCCCATCTGACTCTAAATCAATAGCCCCACCATTTGAATTTATTTTTTCTTTTTGTTCTTTTAATTGCTTTTTATATTTTCTATTTTCTACTTTATATGATAAATTTTCAAATGTAATTTGAACACCTATATATTTTTCAATGTTTTTTCTATCAAAATTAAAACCTTGCACACCATTGAAACCATCGTTAGACTTTTTTAAAACTTCAGTATTATTTTTATTTGAAACATTGTCCTTGCTGTCCATTCTATAAAAACAAATAAATAAAATATAACCTTATTTTTTTTCCTATATTTTTTATTTAAAATGATTTTTAATTGAAACAAAAATATTAATAAAATAAAAAATGTATTTAAACTATATTAAAATAAAATTAAATTAATATTTAATAATAGAACTCCATTGTTTTTAAAATCTCCAATTTAAAATCTATAATTTTTTTTATTTTTTATAACAAATAATTATTAGAAAATGAAAGATTTTTTATAGATTTAAAAACAAAATTAACACATTATTGTGTATAAATTTTTATCTAGTTAAATAAAAATAAAAAAAAAAACTCCATAGTAATCTATATATTATAAAAATAATTTTAAGAAAAAGAATATAAATAAATAGATTACTATGGGATATTTTTTTGGTTTGATTGAATATAAATTATATAATTTATAATTTATTTAAAAGTATGTATTTACTTGTACTTTTATACTATTATTATATGTATAAATTTTCTATTATTACCATTTTTTATAATTATTATTATTATTATTATTTATTATTTTTATTATTTTTATTATTTTTATTATTATTTATTACTTCTATTATTTATTTTCTCATTTCTTGATATCTAATAAATGAATACCAGAAAGATCCGCCAATTACAATAGCAATACCTAAACCATTTTGAAAAGTGATTTTATTTCCCCAAATCATAACCGCTAAAATGGTTTGGACACATGCTTTAACAGTACCTGAAATATTATTTGTAAGTGGTGAAGTATGTTTAATTTGCATAAATACTGAAATACTAATCAAATAACCACAAATACCTGCTATTGTCATATAAACCCAAAATGTAAATGAATGTAAAAGTTTCTCTCCCATAATAGTTGATGCTTCTCCGGAAATTATAAGTAATGGGAACATTAAAACAATTGAAATTGCTGTATTATAAATTGATAGTCTCCTATAATAATGTATTGAGGGTACTGGGGTTAGTGTTACACTTTAAAAAAATATATTTATAATGCATAGTTTCGATACTTACCATTCATTGCCATCACATGCTGGTAAAACTTTTTTAACATAAATTGAATATAATGCTACAAAACAACTTGATAATAAACCAAAAACAATACCCTTCCAAGAAAAGTTTACTTCACCAACACTACCCAAAATAAAACCTAAAAATACAACCAAGCAAGCCAATGTTGCTCTATATGATGTTTTTGTTTTAAGTATTAAATATGTAAAAATGATTGAAAAACAAATTGTAAGTGATCTTGCAATCTAAATAAATAAAAATTTTTAAAAAAAAAACGAAAAAAATTAATAAATGTTACAATTATAGAATAATATATAATTTGAGAAATAATTACCTGATAAAATGAAACCTCGACATATTCTAAACAAAGATTATTAAAAATAATCATACCTGTCAATACTATAGTAACTGGTAATACTTTAATTGCGGTTTCACGTTTAAACTCAAATGCCGGGAAAAATGATAATGCTGGAACTTTGCTGCTGATATTTGTCATTATATAAATTGATATGAATGAAATAATTTGTTGATACCATGTGATGAATAGTGGATATTCAAAATTAAAATCTGACATTAAAGTTTTATTTAAAAATACTAATGTTATAGATATAACAAAATAAAATGCTATAACTGATGCTATAGTTGAGCTAAAAAAACATAAAATTAAAAGGAAATTAGATAATGATTACGATGAAATTACTATTTATATCTAATACATACAAGGAACTTTCTTGTTTTTGTTGTGATGTTGATGGTGATGGCTGTGATGGCTGTGGAGTTGGAATATTAATTGCCTGTTGTATCTTTAAACCTATACCATCTTCACCATCGTCATAGGTATCTATTTCAATTTCGGTGTCTACATCTTGATTTAATAATCTTTCTTTATCGTCATTATTTTCTTTACGATTCATTTTTTTTTTTTTTTAAAAAATTAAAATTTTTAATTAAAATCTTTTTTTTTTTTTTTTTAGAAAAAACTAATGTATTATTAGATCATATAAAAGTAACAAAAAAAAAAAAATTCAAAGAGAAAAAATTGTTTAAAAATAAATTTTTTCTCTTTAAATTTTAAAAATAAAAAATAATAAAAAATAAATAAATAATTTTTTTTTAAAAAAAAAAAAAAGCATATGTGGTACCACCTTTTTTTTTTGGGTGCAGTCAAAAATATTTATAATATTACTATTGCATAATAATGTTGATAAAAAGTCAACTCATCATCCGAAAATTGCTTTTTTATTTTTTTTTTTAAAAAGTAAAATATATTCCATTATTAAAATTATGAAATAGGTTAAGTAAAATTAAATTATTTGTTTTTAAGATTTTATTTTGGTTGCATGATCACCAAAAGATTAAATTTAATTTTTTTTTATCTTTTTTTTTTTTTATTTTTTATTTTTAAAAACTAATCATATTTTGCGGTGTTTTTTAAAGAAAAAAAAAAAAAAAATTATTTATACATATAAATTGAAAGAGATAAAATTTAGTATGGATTAGGGTTGTGTTTTTATATTTTCATTGACACAATTCAAAAACTAAAAATTAAAAAATTAAAAAATTACATAAAACATTGTAAAATTTTGTTACATAGTTTTGTAAAAATAATTATTTTATTTTTTGTGAATTTTTTTTTAATTTTTTTTTTTTAATTTTTTTCGAAAAAAAAAGACTATTTTTTTTTTTTTTTTCTTTTTTTCGTTATATTTTTTTTTTGGTCGTAACAGAAAATGCAAATTTTTGTAAAAACTTTAACTGGTATGTCTCTATTTATTTTGTTGTAATTGACTATTACTTCAAATTCAGACGATAAAATCACTATTTTCAATCAACAGCAAATTAGGATGATAAAAAAAAAAAAAAAACGAAAAAAAATTATTGAAAGAACTATGGAATTAATTATATGTTATTATATTATTATTATATTTAAAATATTATAGGTAAAACCATCACTCTCGAAGTTGAAGGTTCAGATACCATCGAAAACGTCAAGGCTAAAATCCAAGACAAAGAAGGTATCCCACCTGACCAACAACGTTTAATCTTCGCCGGTAAACAATTAGAAGATGGTCGTACCTTACAAGATTACAATATTCAAAAAGAATCAACCCTCCACTTAGTCTTAAGACTTAGAGGTGGTGGTGGTAAAAAGAAGAAGAAGAAGACTTATGCCACCCCAAAAGTCATCAAAAGAAAGCCAAAGAAAGTCAAGTTAGCTGTTCTCAAATACTACAAATTTGACGAAAACGGTAAAATCAAACGTGTCTTAAGAGAATGTCCAGCTGAAACCTGTGGTGCTGGTGTTTTCATGGCCCAACACGCCAATCGTCAATACTGCGGTAAATGTCACTCAACTTTAGTCAAAAAATCAAAATAAAATAACAAATTTATCCATTTAAGGTTATATTTATGATTAGAGGACGTACTTTTTGTCACTAATACCAAAAAAAAAAATAACTTTGTGTTTATTATTTTATTTTTAATATTTATTATTACTTTTTTTTTCGTAAAAATAATATTGAAAATTTTTTTTTTTTTTTAAAAAACTAAATTCATTTATATTTTATTTATATTAATTGATTAATATTGTTGCATTGGATTGAATTATTGTCGATATTTTTATCTAAACAATGTAATACTTCTATATCTTTGATATCAGGAAAACTATCTGTTATATATACACCTTCATCTTGTAGATTATTTAGATCATCTATATAACCAAACCAATAAATTGCTAAACCAGGACCATAACGATTTTTGTAACCAATAATTTGATCTTTAGTATTTTTGTAGTTGTTATCGTCACAGAATGATGCTTTACTTTCAATCCAATTTACCATAAAACCTTTGTATGCGAATGGTATTTCTAGTTTAATATCTGGGGTTTTTGGATAACCATCTTTTCTTAGTTGATTCTCTGTCAAATATGGTATATTCAATTTATATAGTTTCTCTTGTAATAAATATTCATATTCCGAACCAGTTGATCTAAAATAATATATAATAAATGATATTTAGTAAATAAATAATAATATAAATTTATTTTATTTACTATACATACGATCTTATATGATTGATTAGGGGCGAGCAATTATCATCATTATAAATTGATTGATATATATTTTTTCTTAAATTTAAATTTTCGACTAAACTTGGATTTTTGAATATCTTTTTTATAATGTTTTGTGGATCGTTTATTTCTTTTAAAAGTTTCCACATTTCAGTAGTTTCTTTAGTGGCCAAGTTTTCTGGATTAAATAGTGAGTTTTGGTCATGTTCTATAATGTATGTTAGGATTTGTTTTGAAAATATACTTGATGATAGTCCTAGATGGCTTGATAGCTCTAAAAACGAAACACCATTATTTAAATACGAATAATAATATTGTCTGATATTGGGTGTTTTCTTATAGCAGTTTTGTCTATATATTTTTATTCTTTTTTGGGAAAATATTGCTATTAAAGTTGAATATGGTATACTATATTTGTATTAGTATGAAAAAATGGTATAGCTATTATATACGTATTCTTACTCTGGATATTGGGTTTTTAAATATGTTACATCATCTTTATCGTTTAGTTTTTTATTTATTACATTGAAATCACTTCTTTTTATCATTATTTTTATTTCATATATTTATGAGTTTAATAAAAAAAAAAGAAAAAACAAAAAATAAAAAATATTTTTAAAAATTTTTTTTTTTTTTTAATAATTATATTTTTTTTTTTTAAAAATAATAGTTCTATTTTATTCCTTTGTTATGTTATCTTTATAATTTTTATTCAATTATTTTGTTTATATGTATTAATTGGAAAAAAAAAAAAAAAAAAATTAAAAAAAAAAAAAAAGTGTGTGAAGGTGAGAGATTGCAAGATCTCAAGATCACAATCATATTATATATTTGTTATTTAAAACTGGATATATTTTATATTTGGTAATAAATAAATATTATTTTCAGATATACAAAAAATGAAATAATTGAGATTAGTTTATAAAATAATTAAAAAAATAAATATAAAAAAATAAAAGTAATTTTTTTATTTTTTTTTATTTTTTTCATTTTTTTTCATTTTTTTTTTTTTTTTTTATAATTTTTTTTTTATAATTTTTTTATTGTTAATTTTTAAAAAATCTGGTGTTATATTAAATGGTTTATACTTTTCATCTTATTTTTTCATTCGACAAATAATTTAAAATAGAAATATATATTAATAAATAATAAAGTTCACACACACATACATTCACATACACATATACATCACGTAAAATATTTTATATATGTAGTTTTATAATAATAAAATGAGTTCGTCATCAAGAAAAAGATTGGTTCAATGGAGTCCACATAATAAATCATCCTTTATTGTTGGATCAAACGATGTTAGATTATATAGTTTTAAATATAAAAGAAATAATGATTTCGAAACCAGTACAAATGCGGGTACAGGAATTAATAATAATAATAATAATAACAATAATAATACAGATAATAGTAGCAATATTGATAATAATGGTATAATAGAAAGTGTTACTAATAATAATAGTAATAATAATATAAAAGAAAATAATATAGTGGATGGCCACAGTTTAGAATTTACAAGTAAATTAAAACAAAACACAAGAAATAAATATGCAGAAACATTTAATTTTAATATAGAGTACCCACCAGATGATTGGGAGCCACAAGAAAAGAAAACAATTTCATTAATTAGTATAAATTCAGAGGTACAGTCAATGAAATGTATGTCTTGGTGTCCTGATGAAACTGATCAAAATTTAGTTGCATGTGGTTTAACTAATGGTAGAACATTACTCACTAGCTTTTCATCTGTAAATAGAGCCTTAAAAGAATTGGTACCAAAGCATACTAGAGCATGTAATGCTATAACTTGGAATCCTGTATATAAGAATCAAATAGCTGTAGGTTTAGATAAAATTAGAGCTGACACATCAACATTGGTTTGGGATATCAATTATTTACAATCAGCCAATATAGCATCATCATATCAATCAAATAATAGCAACAACAACAACAACATAACCAATAAATTACAAAGAATGTCGGTGGTTGATCAACCATATTCGATGTATGTATACAACCATATTTATATTTAGATTTACATTGTTTTAAATATAATACTAAAGTCTATCATCTTCAAATATATCACTTTAGATCCAGAATTTCAGATAATATTTTTAATACATCAACAGATAGCCCAGATACAATTTATCAACCAATAGCAGAGTTTACACAATCAGAAGCAACATTGGCATTAGCATGGCTTCCAAATAATCCATCATGTTTACTTGTAGGTACAGGTTCAAAATGGTTAAAGATTTATGATATTAGAGATATAAATAATGTACAATCAGTTATGGCACATCAAAAATCAGTTAATGGGGTTTGCGTTGATCCATTCGATTGTAATAGAATAGCAACAATGAGTGAGGATAGTCATATTAAAATATGGGATCTTAGAAATATCGACGAACCAGTTATGATTGTAAATAGTAATTGTAAATCAATACAACAAATAGAATGGTGTCCAACTAGATCCGGTGTTTTGGCTTCAGTTGGTAAAGATAAAACTTCAGTTAAACTTTGGGACATTAAAGCTCCAATCGAATATTCAAAATCACCAAAATTAGACAGAAAATCATCCAATTTATTAGATTTAAATACAATTTCAAAACCAACAAAAAGTATTTTCATAATTCTATAGATATATATTTTAATAATAATTTAAAATATTAATTTTTTTTTTAAAATTTTTTAGGTCATCATTCAAAAGAAATTATTTCATCATTTTCATGGCATCCAACTAATGAATGTCGTATGATCATAGTATCTTATTCAGGTGTTCTTGAAGCAGTTTCTTTAAATGAAAACATACCAATATCGTGGTCACCAATGGGTTCAATTTCTTTTTCATTTGGAAATAGTGTTATTGAAGGTCCAACTAAAAACGAAACCTTAGAACCAAACTTAAATTCTGATGCCTATAAAAAGTATGTTATTATATCAAATAAATTATAAATATATAAATATTATAAAATACTAATACCGAAATCTAATTATTATTATTAGTTTATATAACGATGGTAGATATGATAAAGATATTTCATTAAAAATTAAAGAAAGAGCAATTTTGGGTTATAGTGCAGAGTGCGAGGAGAATGTAAATTTAGCACCAAAGATTAATGATGAAAACATTAATTTCCTTTGGAATTGGATTCAAAAAGTACCAATTCAAATTCAAAATCATAAAAAGAAAATAAATACCGATGCAAATACACCAGGAGGTATAACCAGTCCATTATCAACTGCGCTATCATCATCGTCCTCATCAAGTGATATTCAAAATTTAAATAATGACTATATTGGTATTTATCATATTTTAACGGAAAAAGAATCAACAGTAGAGTCACAGAGTGGATTTTTAATTCATAAATCAAATAATAGATTTTTATGTGCATCGATTTGCGGTTGGGGATTTAACCAAAATTTACCTCTAGAAAATATGTTATCAAGATTAGAAAAGAATGGTGAATATGAAAGAGCAGCAGCTATGGCAGTATTCCATTTAGATATAAAGAGAGCAATGTTAGTTTTAACCAACGCAGTTTTTAATATTAATCCAAAAACTCAACTTAATCATCAAAATCATTGTATTACAAAAGAGCGTGAATTTAGTCTTAAAGTTTTATCAATCGCTTTAGCTGGTTTTGGGGGTGATCAACATAATGCAAATGCAAATTCAATTTGGAGAGATGCTTGTAAATCAACTGCTAAATCTTTTACCGATCCATATTTAAAAACTTGTTTAGAGTTCCTCTGTTCCTCATCAGATTCAAGAGAAATTTATTCAATCATAGATGATTCTTTGATTAATTTGGATGATAAAATTGCTTTTTCTTGTAGATATTTAGATTCTAAAGATGTAAGTAGATAAATATTTAAAAAAAAAAAAAAAAAAAAAAAAAAAAATTTTATTAACATATTTTTTTTATTGTCACAGTTAATTAATTTTGTTGAAAAAAATACAGCCAGAGTTATTGAAAGTGGAAATTTAAGAGGTGTTTTATTAACAGGTTTAACTAGTAGGGGTGTCGATTTACTTCAAAATTATATCGATAAGACATCAGATATTCAAACAGCAGTGTTATCAATTAGTATGGTTGTACCAAAGATATTTAGAGATAAAAGAGTAACTAAATGGTTATCAATTTATAGTGATCTTTTAGACAATTGGGGATTATGGCATCAACGTGCTATACTTGATATTCAACGTATTAACTCTGTTGAACCACCACCACAACCACAAATTTTTGCCAAATGTGGTTATTGCCAGAATTCATTCTCATTCGAATCGGTTACTGTAAGTTCAATGCTCGGTAGAAATGCATCAAATAGACCAAGCTTTAAAGCAAGAGTACCATTTTGTCCACACTGTAAACAATCATTACCACGTTGTTGTCTTTGTTTGTTACCATTGAATTGTATGGTACCATCACCAGATTTCAAAAGAGCAGGCCAACCATTACAACCAACTCCAGCACAACCACCTCAAATGAGTTTACAACAACAACGTCATCACCATTTACACGGTCATGGTCCACCTCATCATATTAACAGTCAACAGGTACAACAGCAGCAACAACAACAACAACAAATGCTTCAGCAACAACAACAACAAATTCTTCAACAACAACAACAATCAACCGAGTTTTGGTCTGCTGGTTCCGAACCTTTTGATGATTGGTTTACTTGGTGCCAAACATGCAGACATGGTGGTCATTCACAACATATTTTAGATTGGTTTAAAGATCATATTACTTGTCCTGTTACTGATTGCACTTGTAAATGTTCATCATTATAATAATAATAATAATAAATAATAAACTAATAATACTCCCAAAAAAAAAAAAAATCCGCTCCACTTCACTTTTTTTTTTTTAATTTAAAATCAAAAAGTCTAAATTTTCAACAAAAAAAACAATTAATATAATAATATAATTTTGATAATTATTGTTATAATATTTATAATAAATAAACAAGTAATTAAAAAATAATAAAATCGTTTAAAAAAAAAAAAGGTTTAATGAATCATATTTTTTTTCATTATTTATTTTAAATTAAAATTTTTTTCAACTAACTGTCAATAATTATTATTTTTTTTTTTTTTTTATTTTTATTTTTTTTTCCAAATGTTTTTAGATCAGTTTAATTAGATATATAATTAAATACACACAAATAAATCGAATTTATATTTTTTTATTTTTTTTTAATATTGTATTCATTTTTATTATTATGTATTAATCGTTATCATAATTATTTTATTTGTTAAATAAAAATGATAATATGCGAGTGTTTTAACACACCCAAAAAAGATGAAAGATAAAAATGTGTTTGATTTTGAATTGGAAAAAAAAAAAAAAACCACCAAATTTTATTTTTTTTTAATTATTTTTTTTATAAAATTATTTTTTTTTTTAAAAAAAATTAAATATATTTTTATTTTTTTTTGTATATTTTAAATTTTAATAATTTTATAAAAAAAAATATTATTATAAATTTGGTTATACATATAAATAAAAAATAATATATAAATTAAAAATATAAAACAAAAAACAAAAAAAAAAACAAAAAAAAACTATATAAAATTTTAAAAAATGTCAACTAATAATAATAGTGGTACAACAACCAAACCTAATAATAATACCACTACTAATAGCACCAATAATAGTAATAATAATAACAATAAAGATAATAATAATAATAATAATAACAATAATGGTAATAATAACAGCAATACCAATAATGAAGATGCAGCAAATTTAAATGTTCCAAAAAAATTAACATTAAAAACATCAATGAATGAAATTAAACTTTCAACAGTTGATAGAGTTGTACCAAGTGTAAAGTATCCAAAATCGCAACCACTTGCACATGATGTTTTATTTAATGGTGATGGTACAATTAATTTACCAAAATTACAAGAACACTTTTTTGGTGAAGGTAGATTACATCACGAAGATGTTATTGAAATGGTTAAAATGACTGCAGAAATTTTAGAAAGAGAACCAACTTTACTCCAAGTAGAATCACCAATTACAGGTAATTTTTTTATATTTTTCCAATTCAAAATTTTTTTTTTTCTAAAAATAAAATTTAATTATTTTCATTTTCATTTTCATTTTCATTAAATTTATACTAACCAAAATTTTTATATTTTTTTATAATTTAGTTTGTGGTGATGTACATGGTCAATTTTACGATTTAATTAAAATTTTCGAAAATGATATTGGTGGTAATCCAGCAAATACCAATTATTTATTTTTGGGAGATTATGTCGATAGAGGTTATTTTTCAATGGAAGTTATTCTTTATCTTTATGCATGCAAAATCAATTATCCAAATTCATTCTTTTTATTAAGAGGAAATCATGAATGTAGACATTTAACTGAATATTTTACTTTTAAAGAAGAATGTAAGTGTTATACATTTGTTTTTCCTATATTTAATTACATACTAATAATACTTTTTTAATTTAGGTTTACATAAATATTCAGAAGAAATTTATGACTTTATTACAGAATCATTTAATGCATTACCACTTGCTGCTTTAATGAATGGTAAATTCCTTTGTATTCATGGAGGTTTATCACCAGATGTTAAAACTGTAAGTATATACTACACAAACATATATATTTTCACTATTTAGTATTAATTACCTCTATCTATTTTTAAATTACTAGTTGGATGATATTGCAAATATTGATAGATTTAAAGAACCACCTTCATCAGGTCCAATGTGTGATTTATTATGGTCAGATCCAATGGAAGAATTTTCACCAGATATCAGAGAGCATTTTATACCAAATGATGTCAGAGGATGTTCATATTTATATAGTTATAGAGCAGTTTGTTCATTCCTTCAAAAGAATAAATTATTATCAGTTATTAGAGCTCATGAAGCACAAAATGCAGGTTATAAAATGCATTTACAAAATGACGCAACTGGTTTCCCATCAGTTATTACATTATTCTCAGCACCAAACTATTTAGACGCTTATAATAATAAAGGTGCAGTATTAAGATACGAAAACAATGTTATGAACATTCGTCAATTTACCTGCTCACCACATCCATATTGGTTACCAAATTTCATGGATGTTTTTACTTGGTCCATGCCATTTGTTTCAGAAAAAGTCGCTGAAATGCTTCTTGTACTTTTAAATCTCTGTAATGATGAGGAAGCAGAGAAATTAGAAAATTCAGTCAAAGACAATACTGCCGAGGAAGAAAAGAGAAGACAAATGCTTCGTGCCAAAGTTAAGTCTGTCAGTAAGATGATGAGAATGTTCTCATTACTTCGTCAAGAAAGAGAGACTATCATGATGATTAAATCATTCTCACCATCTAGAAAAATTCCACAAGGTTTACTCACCGAAGGTAAAGATGCTCTTAAAAAAGCATTGGGTGATTTTGCTCAAGCTCGTAAATTAGATTTAATCAACGAAAAACGTCCCCCAATGCTTGATAGAATAAATAGCCGTGGTGAACTTTTAAGAATGAATAGCCGTGGTGAGCTTTTTAGAATCAATTCAAAGGGTGACCTTTTCCGTAGTAACTCTTTTGCTGATTTAAAACCTCTTACTGGTCCACAAGAAACCATCAAAATCACAGAATGTAGTGAACAAAATATTACATCAAATAATTATCAACCATCTGTAAATGAATCTTTAACAGCCACCTCACCAACAACAACAACAACCACTACAACTACTGCACCCACCAAATAGTAATTAAGATTGCTATTAAAAAAAAAAAAAAATTATATATTTATAATGAATATGTAAAAAGTTTAATTTTATTTATTTTTCATCAAAAAAAGCTATAGTATAATTATAATTCCACCTAAATATTTTTTATAAACCATATAAAAAAAAAATAATAAAAAAAATTAAAATTGTATAAATTATAATATTTCTATTAAAAAAAATTAAAATTGTATAAATTATAATATTTCTATTTAAAAAAATTAATTATTTATTTATTTATTTATTTATTAAACTAAAAAATAAGTTATGATAGCAACATGTTCTATGTGTGAAGAAATATAAGATTATTTAGAAAAGAATTTTTGAAGATCTGAAAGATTTAAAGCAAAAGCTTTTGATTCAAATTGGACAACTTCGGAACTGACATCAGCAGAGAAATCGGCTGTATTTTAAAAAGAAAAATATTAATATCAAATTTAAACTGTAGAGTTAATTGTTATAAAAATAATTACCTTCCCAAGTAATAAGAGTTGAATCAGTTTGGGAATTACGGTAGAGTTTAATGGTGGTAATATAGGCAATAACTTCTGTGGCTGGTTCGCTGCTAATTAATTCATAGGTAAGAGTGTGTCTATAGTCACTGAGTTCTAATAATCTTTGTGACGAGTTTCACAGTTTTCATTTATGTACGAACTGCACCAACGGAGGTTGGAGTATCATTGGAGCCTTCAATAACACAGCTTTCAATGAATGAAAATACTTTTTCTGGAAAGGTAAATTCTCTTAAAACCTAAAATAATATAATAAAATAAGTTCTATTAGAAACTATATCTACAATCACTCCATATTTTAATAAATTTATAATTACCTTCCAAACTTTTTCGATGTTTTGTTTAACTTCTGCAGATTGATAAACTCTTGTTGACATTGTGGGTGTATAAAATTATATAATAAATTAAAAATTAAAAATTATTTTTATATTGCAAAAAAAAAAAAATTAATTCAAAAAAAAATTAATTTCAAAAAAAAATTAAAAATTAATTTTTATAATATCTTGCTTATAATAATAGTAACAATAGTGGCAATAATAACTATAATAATAATAATAATTAAAATTAAAATTAAAATTAAAATAATAATATTATAAAAAATTAATTACTATTTTTATAAAAGAAATAATTTATTTTATTTTGATACACAATTCTAAGATGAAAAATTAAAATAATATATTAAATTATTTTTTAATCAAGGAATTAAATAGATTGGTTTTATAAAAACATTTTTCAATATCTATTTGTTAGCACTTCACTCGACTTTATCTCATTTTTATTTTAAAAATATTTTATCAAAAAAATTTAAACACAATATTGTTTAAGAAAGTATCCATATGAAATGTTTTCTATTTTAAGATGTGTGTTATTTTATATTATTTAATTCAAAAAAATAAAAATTTTAATATAATATTATTTTTTTTAAATATTATTTTTTTCAGTTCGATAATTAATTAAAAAATAATAATAATAAAAATAAGGTAAATTACATTTACTATAATAATTTGTATTATTATTATTATTCCATTAATTCATTCACATTAGGAAATAATAACAAAAAAATATTCTATTTGTTGTTGATGGTTTTACAATTTTCATATGCAATCACATTGATAAAATAATTAAAAAATAAAAATGAAAAAATAATATTGAACAATATCCAAAGATATATAATATCCAATTATAAGTATTTTTTTCAATAACCCCACAATGATAAATTATTTCAATAATATTGTGAGTGGGGGAAATTATTTTACAAATATTAGTACATGAAAAAATAGAGTGTGTTAATGGGGTAAAATAATAAAATTTTTTTAATTTATTATTAAAATTAGTATTTATATTCATTTTTCAATTCAATTATTATTACAATGAATGATTAACACACTCACTTTCACTAACTTATACTTTTTTAATAATAAATAAGTATATTTGGAATATAATTTACATAATAGTAGAAACAAAACAATAACACACACCCCAACAACACACATTTTTCACACACAAACATACATACCCATATTAAATTCATTCACTCAATAAATTCACACACTTTAATTCAAAAAAATATACTATTTTTTTTGATTTTTTTTTCTGTTATTATTATTCATAATATTAAATAATTTTTTTGATTATATACTTTTTTTTTTTTAATTTATTATTTTAAATTAAATTTTTTATTTTTATTATATATTATTTCATTTTTTTTTTTCATCCAAATATATTTTACAACTATTTAATTTATTTAATATCAAATAATAATAATTATATAATAATATAATAAATAATAGTATTTTTTTAATCCTATTTGTACTATTAAAATTATAATATTAGTTACTGTATTAACATAAAAAAAATTTGGATATTTTTTGCAATTATAAAAAAAAAAAAAAAAAAGTAACAAACATAGAAAAGAAAAAAAATGAGATTATATCTTTTAGCTATTATTGGCTGGTTATATTTAATATCACCTAAAATAGCATATGCAATTGGTAAGTAATTTATCTATTTAATTTTTTTTTTTTTTTAAAAATATTAATTTTTTTATATTTATTTTTATTTAGATTGTGAAACCCTAGATGAAGGTTCATGTAAAAGTAATTTTCCAGCATGTCAATTGTTATCAGCAAAAAGTTGTTGTGGTAAAATAATAAATTATTGTGTTTCAAAAGATAGTAATAATTGTTTTGAAAATAATGGTGGAACAACATGTATGAAGAATGAAAATGGTGTAGTTTTTGAATTTTGGAGTAGTTGTTTACCAAAGAATAAATGGCAATCAATTCCAAAACCACAACCCAAAGATTGCAATGAATTAGATTGCCTCAAAGATAAAAAACGTTGTGTTTATTCAAATGTTTCAAATTATACTATGTGTGGTACAAGTGATGAACTTCAAACCAGTTGTTGCCCAAGAATTGGTACTTGTGAAAATCCACCAACTGGTGGTGCTACTGTCGGTGGTGCTACTGTCGGTTCAGCAACCGAAAACGGATCATGTAAGAATGTCCACTGTGGTGAAGGATTTGTTTGTCATGAAGTTCAAAACCCTGGTGGTTATTGGACAGCTGCCTGTGTTGAAGAAAGCCATACTTCAGGTGGTCATTCTAGTAGTCATTCAACCTTTGGTACAACTGGTGTTAGTACCACTGGAGGTAGCACAACAACTGGAGGAACAACTGGCAATGATTGCTCAAATCATAATTGCCCACCAAATCATCATTGTGAAATGCAAAATGGAAGTCCAGTTTGTATTCCAGACCACCATGACTCTTGTGATGGTGTAAGCTGCCCACCATACCACCATTGTGAAAATGGTAGATGTGTTCGTGATGCCCCAAAACCAAGACCATGTGATGCCTGTCGTCAAGTTGATTGTCCAGATGGATATCACTGTTTAAGACAACCAGATGAAGGATGGTCAGTTTCACATAAACATAAACATTGGCAATTACACCCAGTTCACTGCGGAAATAATCCAAATAAAGTTAAAGCCATTTGTGTTAAATCTCCAATCGTAACCTGTGAAAAAGTTCGTTGTCACCCAGGATTTGAATGTAAACTCTATGAACATGGTCCAGCTTGTGTTAGAAAACAAAAACCAAAATGCCTCACCTGTGAAGATATGCACTGTGAACAAAATGGTTTAGTTTGTGTTTTAACTCCACAAAAGAAGAGAGATGAAGATTGTTGTCCAATTATTCCAATTTGTATTAAACCAAGTACTATTGCTGGTTCCACAATTGCAACCACTACTGGTCCACATGGTTCCACTATTGCCTCTTTGGTTTATGGTCCACGTTTATCCGGTACTACTACAGGCGGTGCTATTGATTCCTCATCTCTTAGTCAATCATCATCAGCATCATCAGATTCATCCTCCCAAGCATCATCAGCTAGTTCATCCGTTTCAAGTGAATCATCATCCGTTTCAAGTGAATCATCATCCGTTTCAAGTGAATCATCAGTTTCTAGTGAATCATCAGTTTCTAGTGAATCATCAGAGTCAAGTGAATCATCAGAGTCAAATGCACCAGCTTCTTCTTAAATAACGAAAAATAGTAATATTAAAAAATATAACAATATACTCCTTTTTTAATAATAAATTTAATAATATAGATAAATATATTTATTATTACAATCCCCCAAAAAAAAAAAAACAAAAAATAAAAAAATAAAAACTTAAATTTAATACAATAACATTCTCTTTATTTTAATAACTTTAAAATAAATTATTTTAGAAATAGAAAATATAATTTTAATTATAAATTTTTGATTTGTATTTTATTACATATGATTTAAGTGAGAAATAGCAGCTTGAAACGAAACGGCACACCAGCCAAATTCACCGCTTGTTTCTAACTCACTTGAGAACTGTTCAATAAAAGAGCAAATATATCCTGAAATTGGTAAAATGTTGCTATTCATAATACAATAAATTAAAACTGGGAAAAGGTCGTCGGCACTGAGGGAATGAGTTGGCATTGAACGATTTGCTAATTGATGTTGTTGTTGTTTCATTTGTATGTGATGTTGTTGAATAACTTGTGGATGTATACCAGCTTTAGAAGCTACAAAACTTAGTTGAGATAAGTTTTCAGATGATGATGACGAGGATGCAGATGAAATTGAAATGTTTGAACCAGTGTTGTTTACGTTTAATGATGAATCATCTTTATGACCTCCACGAATTGATTTTAGTAGTGATGAGTTTTCTAAAACCTTGTGATAGTTTTGACCAAATGTAATACCATTTAAAATTTCATTACAAGTGCTGCAAATTGTACTAACTGCTTGTTGAATACTATGAACCAAATCTACTGGTGCTGAAAGATAGGCCAAATCGTTCAAAAAAGAAATTGATTGTTCGAATGGGTTTTTACCATTAGCGTACATGAATGTCCAGTCATAATCATCTGGGAAATTTGATGGGAGCATATTTAAATCTTTTAAAGTTTTGCCTTTGTGTTGTTCCATTTTCTTTTCCAATTCTAAATTATACTCTAATGCTGATGGGCCAACCTCTCTAGCTAAAATAACTTTTATTAATGGTGAAATCTCGGTGTAGAAACATCTTTTAAAGAGTTGAGATAATAATGAATAGGTTTCTTTATATTGTTGATGATACTTGGCTACCATCTCATCATAAGACATTTGTTGTGATCCAAAGTGATGGTTTGCTAATGAATCACCTACTTTCATTACAGTGCTGTTTTTGTGTGGATTATGATTATGATTTAAAATGAAATCATTTGAAATTGTGGTCGGTGTTGGTGGGGGCTGATGTGAAGGTGGTGATGGTTTAACTACTAAATGGTAAATATTAATTAAATGTTCACAGAACTTTTCTACAAATACCTCGATATCGATTGGTTTAATAGTATTTGCATTTGCACAATCATCTGAAATAATATTGATAAGTTGCGATATTTGCTTTCCTTCCATAAATCTGGTATCCCACATCATTGTTGAAAATTCGTTTTGAATATCATAATTTTTATCCCATGGAATTATATTTTCGATTTCTTTACTCTTTTTTGCACGTTGAATTAAATTCTTTAATCTTAATTCTCTTTTTTCCATTGAATCGTTTGAATAAATATTAAAATAATAAATTTTATAATTTAATTTAAATTTCTTTTCTAATTCATATATTGACTAAAATTAATTAAATTAGTAAATATTTAAAGTAAAATTTTATTATTTATATATTTATTGTTTACTTACTTTTAATTTTTTACGAGTTCTTGAAATGTATGTATTTTTATTTAAAAGTATATCAGTTTTTAAAAAGAATGAAGAATAAACTATTATGTTTTTCTTTTGTACTGATATTATTGTTGGAAGTGATGATGTTGAAGAAACTGGTGACATTGAAGATGGTGAAAGTGATGGTTGGTAAGAATCCAAAACTTCTTTGGTTGGTGGTTGGCCAACAGTTAATGAAATATAACCACTTGGAGTTTGAGTGAATGGGGAGCTACCATCATTAAAATAGTCATCTAAAAGTTTTATTAAATTGCCAATATCTATTAGTTTTAATTTTAAAAATTCTATTCTTTCTTTGCTTAACTGTAACTCCATTTCTTTGGTTAAAAGCTTGTGTGAATAATATTCTCTATATAATTTGGATAATTCAAATTGATGATTTGCAACATAACCTCTATTTCTTTTTCCATACTTTTTTAGAATTTCTTTTTTATTCTCTAATACATTTTCTGCTTCTCTATAAACTTTGTTAATTAATGTTATAACTTTATTTTTATAATTTCTTAATAATTCTTTAACCTATAAAAAAAAAAAAGTAAGTAAAAAAAATAAATAATTTTGAAAAAACAAAAAAAAAAACAAATATATAAATGAATATATAAATTACTTTTTTAACTTTACTTGGGTTTTCCAAATCTATTCTTTGTTTCATTCCATTATTATTCAAACTACCACTTAAACTACTTGCACTTCTTGAAAGAGTTTTAAAGTTTGGTTCTGATAAGCTTGATCTTTCTATGCCATTTTCATCAAAAATTAAAATTGTATTTGATGGTGTAACTGGTAAAACTGGAATTACAGATGATATTAAAATTGGCGATGAAATATAATGTGATGAACTCTTGTTTGCGCTTAGTTTTCTTTGATTTGTCATTACTATTGGTTGTGATGTTGTTGATGAGGTTGTGGCTGTATTAACTGAGGATAATGAAGAATTTAAACTATTTGAGGCTGAATTACTATTATTATTATTATTGTTGTTATTATCATTATGTTGTGGTATAACTCCTGGGAAAGTAGATCTATGTTTCATTGGCGCATTATTTGGATCCAAATTAACAATAGATTCTCTATCGAATGAATATTTCATTGGATCTGTTATTGATCTTGGGTGTTGAGCAATTGGGCCTATATTTGGACCTGTCATATTTGATTTTCTCCATATATGGTTCTTCATTTTATTTCTAATAACAATAGTATTACCACTAGTATTGGAACTTATACCACTTGAAATCGAGTCACCTGAAAGAGAAAGATCAGATGAATCACTTGATAAAGTTTTTATGGATGATGTTGAATTTGATAGAGGTGTAACAAAAAGTTTACCTTTAGAGTTACCAACAACCCATTTTTGTTGTTGTGGTGGTAGTGATGGTGGTGGTGGTGGAGTAGATTCATTAGATTGTTGCAATTGTGGTAATATTGGAGTAGATGATGAGAGTACAGGAGCTGATACAGGTGTATTTGAAATTTCTGAAAATTTAGATGCTGACAATTGCTTTTGAATAGCTTTTGGTTGTGATTTAATGGTTTTATTATAATATTTATTAGAATTTGTACCAGTAGAACCTTTAAGAGTTGAATGTGATGGTGTTGGGAGTACGCTTATAGTTTCGTGAATTAATGAATTCATTTGTGATGAGGTATTTGATGAAATTGATGATGTTGATGAAGTTGACGATGATAATAATAAATTTTCAAAACTTGGTGTTGAAACTATTGGTTTATCTTCAATACTTAAAGGCAAAGGGGATGATGGAGATAAAGGTGGAGATATTGCTGAAGCTGATGATGGAGATAAAGGTGGAGACATGAGTGGCGAAAACTCAAAATTATTTTCTAATGATAAACCAAGATTTTCATTTCTACTTGTTGCAATATTATTTGATTTTTGAATTGGTTGTGGTGCTGATTTTGGTGGAATATTTTGTTCAGCATCATTATTTTGTTCTTCGGATTCTAGAATTGTATTGTGAATAACCAATCTAGATTTTAGTGGTGATATGTTGTGGGATTCATCATTTAATTCTTTTGATGGAGATCCAAAAACAATTGGTATTTGAGATTGTGATATTTTTAATGAAATTCTTTTACCATCTTGAATATTTTTTATCTCTTCTTTTATAATTTTTTCTTCTTTATCTCCTTTTTCCTCTTTTTCTTCCTTTTCATCTTTTTCATCTTTTTCATCTTTTTCATCTTTTTCATCTTTTTCATCTTTTTCATCTTTTTCTTTTATTTGTTGATCTGAGTCATTATTAGATATTGGTACAATTATTGATGATACACTGGATGTATTGTTTAAATCTTCTATTGAAGAGTTTGGTATTACAAATGAAGAACTTGATTTTTTGGGGGGTGAAAATGCAATTATTGATCTAAATTCGTCATCTACATTGTTATTGTCACTGAGATCTTTTTGTGATGATATATAACTACTATTATTTTTCTTTTTAATATTTATAAATGAAGAGGAAACTGATTTCTTTGGTGGTGATAATGAAATTGATGACATAATATCTAAAATTTCTTGTGGTAAATCTTTTTTTGTAATATCATCTAAATCCATATCTATTGATTGTCTTACTGGAGTGTGTGTGGTGCTATCTAACATTTCCTCAATACTGGTATTATTATTTTGATTGATTTCTAAATTGGGTGCAATATCATCATCGCAACTAAAAGAGACTCTAATTGATGACCTTTCTAAGTCCTCCTGAATATCTGTTAAATCGAAAACTAATGAGTCAATATCACTAATTAAAGAAGAAATATCATTTGGATCCTTGGCAGATGGTGGTTCATTATTTATAGTTGGTTTTCTTTTTATGCTAGATGGTGATAGTAATACTGCATTATTATTAATTTTATTATTATTACCATTATTATTAATATTATTATTATTATTACTATTATTACTATTATTTTTATTAATAGGATTTATTATTAAAGTAGAGTGAGAAGTTGATTTTCTATTATCAAAATCGATCAATGTATCTAATACCTCGATTGTATTAAAATCAAAATCTTTGTCATCATTGGATATATCACTTTCTATAATATCTTTTGGTGAAGAAATTTTATTATCGTTATTACTACTATTAATATTACTATTGCTACTGTTTCTAATATCTGGAGATGTAGGTTTATCATTGATTGGCTTTGTGACTGTTGTTGCATTATCACAATCTATAAATTCATTTGTTGTTAATTCTATTGAATGGGTATGCTTTAAAGTATCATCTATTACATCGAAAACTGTATCATCTTGTAAAAACTGGCCAACAGTATCGAACAAATTTACTTTTAAAATTGATGAAATATTTTTATTTTTATTTTCTATCGGAAACTGGGGTCTTTTAAATATTCCCGACGATGACGAAGACGATGATGATGACGATACACTAATATTGCTCATTCTTTATTTATTATTATTACTGTTATTTATACAAAATTATTATTTTTTTTAATTGTTGTATTTTTTAAGAGGATACAAAATTTATATTTTTTTATTTAGAAACATTTATTTTTCTATTATTTATTATTTATTTATTATTTATTTATAATATTATTGGTATAACTATTATTATTTTCGATCACTTTTTTTTTTTCGATCTGTATTTTTTTTAATTTATAAACAAATAAATTTGGATAAACTATTATCTATAGGGATAAAAAATTAAGATTGTAGTGGGAAAAAAAAAAAAAAAAATATTTTTATTTTAATTTTTTTATTTTAATTCAGATAATAATAATGTTGAAAAAAAAATAAAAAAAAAAAAGAAAAATATTTTTATTTTTTGGTAAAAAAAAAAAAAGTAAAAAAATATTTTGAGATATTTAAATATTGTTTTTTTTTATTTTTTTTTATTTTCTTTTTTTTAATAATTTACAAGGGTATTCTTAAAAAACTAGGGTCAAATACTACTTAGTTTTGAATGAATATTGAGAGTACTGGGAATATTGAGAGTATGATGGTGGTGGCTGTGAAGAAAAATCGGAAAACTGTGGTTGGTTTGGTTGTGGTTGTTGTGATTGTTGTGGTTGTTGTGGTTGTTGTTGGTAATGGGATGGAGGTGGCGAATATTGTTGTGGTTGTTGTAAAGTTTGTGTATAACTGCTATATTGCGATGGTTGTGGAGGATAATATGATTGGGGTTGTTGTGGTTGGTAGTGAGATGGGGGTGGTGAATATTGTTGTGGAAATTGATTATAAGATGAATGTTGTGGTAATGGTGGTTGTTGTTGTTGATTATATTGCGGATTTAACGATGATAATGAAGATTGTTTTGGTAATAGTGGTTGTTGGGTGTATGGTTGGTTGAAAGACCCTGGTGCAGGTTGTTGTGGTGGTGGGATCACTACAGTAGTTGTTGTGGCAGGGAGTTTATTGGGTGAAACAGATGCTTTGTACTGATAAAAGTCCATTGGATTAATATTTGATTGGCTGTTAGTTGATACCTGAGTAAAGTAGGTGGGATTTACGGCTGTATTGGAGGATGAGGAATAATATGATGATGGAAATACACTTGTGGTAGTTGTTGTTGTTGAAGTACCACTTTTACTTATACTACCTGTACCATATGAATAGCTAACCTGTTGCTGTTGCTGTTGCTGTTGCTGTTGCTGTTGTTGTTGTTGTGGTTGTGTTTGTATATATGTTGTGGTTGTGGTTGTAGTTGTTGATTTAAAGTTGTTTGAAGCATTTTTTAATGAGGTTAACCAACTTTCAATTTCATTTTGGTCCTGTGCTGTTAGATATGTTGTTTTGTGTGTATTTAAATTTCTAATTGATATACAATATTTTGTTAGGCTGCTATGCTGAATATCTGTTGCTATTAAATCTATTGTATCTTTTGGTAATGATACTTTTTTCTAGAAAAGTTAAATTAATAAGAAGGTTTAACAATTTATATCTTTATTTTTAATATATTTTATAATATTTACAGGTTGTTTTTCATATCTTAATAATAAATTTGATTGAACCATAAAATAACACTTCTTCCATGAATTTGTTTTACTACCTTTTTTCATTAAATAGCCTTCTCTTGAAACACTCATCCTTGATATTATTCTAAAGTTTCTTTTATTATTTAATATTAATGAAGCGTAAAAAAAAAAAAAAAAAAAACTGTTTGAATATTTATTTGTGTGTATATTTCAACTATTTATTGTGTGTGATTTTTATTTATTTTATTAAAATATTTGTAAAAATAAAATTATTTTGTTTCTTTTTAAAATTATTTTTTGTGTGTTGTGTTAGAAAATAAAAAAGTTTCGATATAGACTTTTTTTTAAAAAATAAAATTTTTTTTTTTTTTTTTTTTTAATTTTCTCTTTATTATAAAATAAATTTTAAAAAAAATTTAAAAAAGAGAGAAAATCAGGAATTATTTATTTATTTATTTACACTTTGTTATTAATAATCTATTTTGTCCAAGATAAGATTGTATCAATATTATCTGCAATAATTTGAAATTGTTCGAAGGTTAAAGAGATACCTAAAAAAAACAAAAAAAAAAAATAAAAAAATAATATTAGCCAATGAATTTTTATTATATCAAATAATTTTATTATATCTACCTTTTGTTCCTGGTTTTAATTCTTTTGAGTTTTTATCTTCATAAAATTCCCTAATATCAATCTTTGAAGATCCACCAAATGTTGAGAATTGAATTTTTCTTTTATTACCCAAATCAATTGATTTATCATTACTACTTGATGATGATGATGATGATTTTTTAGTTGTGGTTGTATTGGATGTTGAGTTTGAGGTTTTTTGCTTTTTTGTTGGAGTTTTATCTTCACTATCGCTTCCAGCATCTTCAGAGTTATCTTCCTCCTCTTCTTCTTTTGTATGATCTTCAGCTTTTTCTTCTTTTTTTTTATAAAATGATTTCTTTCCTCCTTTTCTAAATGCCATTTCTAAAATATATAAACTACGAAAAAAAAATGATATTAAGGTTTTTAAACAAATAAATATAAATAATTTAAAAAATGAAAATAAAAATAAAAATTTAAAATTTTTTTTTTTTTTAAAAAAATGAATATAATTTTTTTTTTAATTATTTTTTATTTTCTTCTAACGGGAACATTTATAGTATTTTTTTTAATTTCTTATAATTAAACAGCTGATTACTTATTTGAAAGATTAATCAATTTTTGCAAATGGATTTCCACAATCTAATTGGATAGCAACAATATCCTAATTTGCTTGTTATCTGTGGGAAAAAAATAAATAAAAAATAGTTACTATTTTATATCTTTTTTTTAATAAAAAAAGAAGTTATTATAATTAACCATTATTTTTTTTTTGTCCAATTATTTGAAATAATAAAGAATTTTCAAAATTCCACTCATAAATTTAAAAAAAATTTTTTTTTAATTTAATTCTTTTTTTTTTTTTTTTTAATTTTTTTTAATCATAATTAATAAATTCCTCTTTTTTATCCATGTAAAAATAAAAAATGAGTAATAATAAAATAATTGTTTTTTTTATTTTTGCATTTATAACTTTTGTTTACTCAGAAGCAATAATCAAACTAGACTATTGTTCAACAGAAAATGTAAATTATATTTAAAATTTTAAAACAATTATTAATTTACTAAATAATTTATTTTCTTATTAATATAGTGCCAACAAAATCCATCAAGAGATCAATGTATAAAAAAACTATTTAAAGATTCATCATCAAAATATGCACATATAACAATTCCTAACTACCCAAATTCTGTGTTGGTATATGATCAACTTTATTCATTTACCTACTATCCAGAGGCCAAAATGATTGAAGTTTATGGTGGATACCAACGCGGCAGAAGGAACTTTTCGTACCCAATCGTTGAAATACCAAATGATATTTATAATCAAACCGAATGTAATTTTATTGATACAGATCAATGCTATATATCAGTTATGTGTAACTATAACCCAACCAAAGATAAAGAGCGTTTAGAAATTGCATTGGGTGTTGTTTTACCACTTGTTGTTATATTACTTACAGTACTTGGTGTTATATTATATAAGAGATTTGCAGCCAATCGAAACGACCAATATATTCCTCTACCATCCTATAATGCCATATAAAAAAAGAACAAAGCAAATTACGAATATATAATAATTATTAAAAATTTTAACAGTTTTATTATTCCTAATTTTAATAAAAATAAAAAAAATAAAAAATATCGATTTTGTTTATATACAACATAATTTTATGGTTTTTTTTTATTTATTTATTCATCATCAGGAAATTCAAAGTTTAATTCATATCTTCTTCTATTTTCCTCATCTTGTTTCATTTGTAATCTACAGGTCATGGTTTCACCACCTTCTAATTGAATACCTTGTGGCATTAAAATAGTAGTTTGCTTCCAATGAGTTTCTGGTGCACCAGGTGCTGTTGACAACTCTATAGTTTTTTTTGAACCATCAAAATAGCAACTGAACCAAATACAAAAACCATGAATTTCCTTTGGTTTTTTATCTGATGGAAATACAAAATCGATTTTATCAATTATAATGTCCTCTAATTCTTTAATTTTAACAGCTATAAAATATTAATAATTGTTAGTAAATAAATAATTTTCTTTTTTTTTTTATCAAAAAGTTAAAATAATTACTATTAAAATCAACTTGTAAAATTGTTTTTTCTTTTAATACTAATTGATCTTTTTCTAAGTGCTCAACTAATGGGGCTGGTAAAGATTCGAAAGCTGGATTTGCTAATACTGAAAAATCAAAACCATAAACATCGTTCCAAAAGTTTACTTTTTTATTCATATAACTATCTAAATTTACTGGTGCTAAAAATAAATCAGCTCTTGATGGGAACATAATGCCACTTTTTGGTTTTAAATAACGATCACGAGCATATAAAACACTTTCTAACATTGATTCGTGGAAAAGATAAAATCCCATCCATTCTGAAATAATAATATCAACTTTTTCATCCTCGATTTCATTGGTTATATCCTCCATTCTCTTGTGAATAACTTTAATTGTTTCGCTAAATCCGTTTGAATCTACTAACATTTGACAATAGGTGGCCATTAATGATCCTTCAACAGCATATACCTTTTTAGCACCTGCTTTTGCTGCAAACATTGATAAAATGCCTGTACCTGCACCAACTTTAAATTTAAAAAATAAATATTAATAATTTTGTTTTTGTTTATAATTTAATAACAATATATTTACCATCTATAACAACTTTATCTTTAAAATCGATTGAATTTAATTCAATTGCGAATTTATATGATAATGTTCTTGGTTTATCTTTTAACATTAATTCATGAACACTTAGGTCAAAATAACTTTCAAAGTATTCGTCATCAACATTATTTTTTAATTCCATTTTATTAAATCCCGTTATATATTATTAGGGTAATATATAAAAAAAAAATTAAAAAATTAAAAAATCATATAATGAAAAAAAACGAAAAAAAAAAAAAAACTATAAAAATAAAAATAAAAAATTAAATAAAAAAATAATACTTTCAAAAATAAATTGGATATTAAACAAAATAATATAGGCAATTGATTAAACCATTTTTTTAAATTTTTTTTTTTTCAATTAAATATTTTATTTATAATTATAATTATTATTAATTAAAATATAAATTATTAATTATTATATGGTTAATGTAAATTGATTATTATTTGTGTGTTCTTTTTTTTTAAATATTAAAATTAAAAAAATATCTATTATCATTATTATTATTATTATTATTATAGTTTTTGTTATTATTTATTATTTATTATTTATTTATTAATTATTAATTTGATATAATAAAAGGTAAGCTTCTCTTTCGAGGACATCTTTCTCTTTTATATCGTTAATAATTTGAGCATCATCGTATCTAATCCAAATATTTTTTTGTTGTTCGAAAATATCGCAAGTGTAATGGCCTTGGGATAAACCTCTACCGTGGTGGCTAACGACGGAAAGAAGTGAATATTTTTTATGAACAGAGTTTGCTGTTGTGATTGGTAATTGGGTTGGGAAACTAATTTTCTTATCTAATTTTCTTGAGGCATCACTTTCAAATGCAAATCTCTTTAAATGGATTATTAAAATTCTTGGGAGAGATTCAAATGACCATGACTTTGAAGCTGTGATCTCAGTTTTCTTATTTGGGCAAGTATAGTCCTCAATAATTTCTGGCTTCATAAAGAATTTTAATGCATCCTCTAAACTGTTAATTTCTTCTGGTCTAATATCCAAATGTAAACAATAAAATGGCTCGACTGTAATTGATTCTTTTTGGCCTGTTCTATTGAAGCTACTTCTTAAAACACCTGAAAAGATTTGTGATATTGGTGTTTTTGGTAATTCTTGTTGGCTATTTGTAAAAACTGCAGTTTTGCCATTTTTACCAACAACTTCCCAATCATCACTGTTTAATTCAGAACTATCTTTTGATGATGATGATGATGATGATGATGATGGGGATAATAATGATTTTTCTTCATCTTTAATATCAATATCTTCTATATTAAATTAATAGAAAAGTTAGTTAGTTAAACTTTGTATTAATAAAAAATAAAATATAATGATATTTTAAAATACATACTTAATAAAGTTAAAAACTCTTCATTAATTAAATCGAGTAAGAATACTAAAAATTCTTGAGCATCTTGTTGACAAATTGTAGCGAGTGGTAATGAGCTATTTAAAAAGTGAAGTTTAAGTTTCTTTTTTGAAACCTGAGCCATTGTATTTAAAAGTGGTGGTGAGATAATTTGGGGTGATGGTGGTGAAACCTTTGAATTAAAACTTTTCACTATATCATTAAAGTATTTTGGATTAATTGGTAGTTGATTTAATATTTGTGATTGTTGTAAAGAAGCTGTTGATGATGTTGATGATGATGGTGAAGATGATAATGGTGGTGAGGTAACACTATTGCCATTGGTTTTCAATGGTGAAGTAGGTGATGTTGTTGAAGTTGAGGCTGTTGAAAAATACTCTGCATAAAATTGATTACTTTAAAATAAAATTAAAAATAAAATTAATACATATGTATTTTATAATTTTGTAATTATATAAAGATATTAATTAACTTACAAACTATTTAAAGTTGGATAAATATGTAAATTGTCTAAATCTTGAATATTTTTAATAACTTTTAAGAATAATTGACAACCTGTTAACGATTGAAGAATTACATTCATAAAACATGTATTTGAAGTATTGATTAAACCTCTTGGACGGTGGGCAATTAATTGTGATTTGGATGGTATATCTTCAATATTTCTCATCCATACTATCTTTTTCTGTAAATCTTGTCTCTTTTTAAGATTTGCTTGTGCAATGGAGTTTTGTTCAGCATCGGATAAAACTTTTGGCTGATCTAAAATTTCAGTTTTTGATCTAATTAAACTTGCTAAGCTAAATGGAGTTGTGGATGGTTGAGTTTGTACAGTATTTGGTGCTTGTGATTCTATTGCTTGTGTTTCTTGTTGCTGCTGTTGTTGTTGTTGTTGCTGTTGTTGTTGCTGTTGCTGTTGTTCTTCTCGTTTTTGGTTTAAAAGTATAGTTGATAATGTTGTGGCAGTGGTAGCAGTGGTGGTGGTGGTTGTTGTTGATTCTGGTTGTTGAGGGGTTAATGGTGTTGATGGGTTTATTGAAGCTTGGGGAGTTGTATTTATGGATAACTTTTTTGAAGTGTCTGGTTGGTCTAAAGGTTTTTGTGGTGATTTGTTGTTCTTTTTCTTTTTTTTACTTTTTGTTTTATTGGATTTCGGATTATTATTTGGTGAAATTACAAGTTCGTAATTACTTAGAGTTTCTGTTTTTATTTGTTCGTCATTATTTTTTAAAATTTCTTTATTATTACTATCTATATTACTATTATTATTTAAACTATTATCATTATTATTATTTATCGGCAAAAGTAAAAAATCGTTTGGTAAAAGTAATGAAGGTATTATTGAAATATCGTCCCAATAACTTGAAGAAAATTTACCAAAAGAAATACCTGAAATTGAATCTAAGGAATCTCTTGAAATATTTGGGATATTCGTTGCAATAAAACTTGATAGTGGGTCGTTACTATTTAAAACCATATTATTATTACTTTCAAAAACTTCATTATTATCATTAATTTCTGTATATTCTTGTTCATTATTATTTTTGTTGTTATTAATATTTTCTAAATTTTCTAAAATTTCTAAATTTTCTAAATTATTCTGAATTGATTGATTATTTTTTTTATTATCATTGCTATCTATACTAAAAGTTATATTTCCATTATTATCTATATTATTATTTATATTATTTTTGCTATCTTCTATATTACTATTATTTATTTCTAATTTTATTATATTATTTGGATTATTAATGTTTTTATTACTATTGATACTATTATTTATATTATTATTATTATTATTATTCATGTTGTCCATATTATTATTCATATTATTTATATTCATACTGTTATTATTACTATTATTATTATTATCTATATTGCTACCATTATTATTATTTAAACTATTTATATCACTTAAACTATTATTTTGAACATTATAATATTGATGATAATAATAGGGATAACCATGGTAACTTATACTTTGATATCCATTAAAACCATTATAACTAACTGTATCATTTATATTTTGGTATCCACTATAACCATTATAACCATTATTAAAGTTATTAAAATTATTCATATTATTATTTAAATGTGGGGAAATATCTATAACTGTTTCATTGTTACTATTATAATAACTTTGATTATTATTAAATTTTGAAAACTGGTTGGATGAGCTTATATTTTTATCATGTGGCGCTATGGAGTTGTTCTTTTTGATTTTATTCTTTATATTATTATTTGTAATGTTACTATTTTGCTTATTAGAATTGGAGTTATTATTAGGATTAGGGTTATTATTATTATTAATGTTATTAGGATTAGGACTATTATTACTATTATTAATGTTAATGTTAATGTTAATGTTGTTTTTTTTAGAGTTTGGTGATTTATTTGGTGTGGTTTTGATTGAGTTGCTTTTTTCTAGATCTACCATTTTTTTTTCTTTGTCAAAAAAGTTTGGTAATTATTTATAAGATTAAAAAAATAAAAATTTTAAATTACATATAATTTATTATGTATGATATTTTAAATGTTATTAAAAAAAAAAAAAAAAAAAATACTTCTTTTGTTACAAAATATATATTAGTTATTGTGAAGTGGTTTATAAATAAAATTGTTTTGGGATATTAAAAAAATAAAAAAACAATTATGATATTTTGTATGAACAGGTTTGTTATAAGATATATGGTGGTATTTTGGGTGTGTTTGGATGATTTAATATAAAAAAATATATATGAAAATAACTTAATGTGTATCAAATTTGTTGAAAAAATTAAAAAAAAAAAAAAAATTTAAATAAAAATTAAAAAAAATAAAAAAAAAATTTATAAAAAAAAAATTTAAAAAAATAAAAAATTTGAAAAAAAAAATAAAAAAAAAAAAGAAAAAAAAAAATAAATAAATAAAAAATAAATAAAAAAATAAATAATTATAAATATAAATAAAAAATAAATAAAAAAATAAATAATTATAAATATAAATAAAATTTGAATATAAAACAAACAATGAAAAAAAAATAAAAAAAGATAACTAAAAAATTTAAAAGTTAAATAAAAAATAAAAAATAAAATTTATTGTATAAATATTTGTTAATGTTTTTATTTGTTGTTAAATTGTTGGATTTATTTATAATTATTATTATTATTATTATTATTATTATTATTATTATTATTATTGGTTATTTAATTTTTTAAAACTTGTTCAACAAATGATTGAAGATCTTTATTATAATTTGTTGCAGTTTCAGAAATATTTGACCCTTCTGGAAGTAATGATTGAAGTGAAATGTCATTTTCAATAAAAACAGAAGCAGCACTCTTTGGATCATTAAATTGAAGTACAAATTCAAAAACAATCTTTGAGATTGCGCTACCACAAGCATCTAGTTGTTTGGAAAGAGGTTGGGTAATTTGTGGGATGGTAATAATTTCATTTTCATAGAAAGCATAAAAGAGACGAGCAACGGGTTTATAGGCTGATGGACGATCTTCAAAAAGATCAGGTAAAGTGGAAATAAAATGTTCGATACCTGCTTGGAATTGAGCTTGAGTAAAGAATTTCTTGTTTAATACCAAATCGACAGTTATATCTCTGAGTGTATCTTCGTTTTTACCATCACAAGCATTTGTAATAATTTGAGAGATAACATGTGGGTAAAGATCAGCAGTTGGTACATAGCTTTTGATACATTCAACAAATTCTTCATCATCTTGAAGTTCTAAAAATTCACTAATAGATTCAAGCACAGATTTCTTGGTTGATTCCCATTTCTTTGAGATTTCTGAATTGGCACCACCAGTTTGGGAAGATGGTTGTTGTGATGGTTGTGATGGTTGTTGTGGTTGTTGTTGATGTGGTTGATGTGGTTGATGACCCATTGGATTCATTGGGTTCTTCATACCACCCATTGGACCCATACCACCCATATTGAAACCGCCATAATTACCTTGTTGATATCCAAAAGGTTTTGGTTGGAAACCTGTTGGTTGTTTAATACCTGCTGGACCTTTGTTATATGGTTGTTGTGGTTGATTCATTACCATTGGTTGATTAGTTTTTGGTTGTGGATATGGATTATTAAAGGCAACAGAAAACATTTTATTCATAGCAGCTGAACTCTTGACACCAGTATTAGATTTACGGGCATTGTTATCAACTTCATTCTTATTGCTATTGACTGTAGCTTCGACTTCCTTGAGAGTTTTGGCAGAGTCATCAACCTTTGAAATCCAATTATTATTCTTGAGATCGATAACATTTTGAATAAGGAAACGAATACGTTGTGAAAGAGTGGCGAGAGGTGATTCTACCAATTGTTGCATTCTTTGGAAATATGAAGTTAAATAGTTATTGGCTTGTTCGTTTTGTGAAAGAGTTTTACCAACGATTGATAAAAGTTTACAGAAACATTCTAATTTAATTTCAGATGGTTTGTTGAGCTCACCGATTAAGGAGATCATAATGGCATGAACAATTTTCTCTGATAACATTGATTGTTTGAAAAGTTCACCAATAAATTTAATTAAACCAAAAATACGTTTTCTTTCTTTAAATTGTTGTTCATCAAAGTCGGTTTTATCTTCTGGTTTTAAATCTTCTGGTACCTTATCAACATTTTCAAATTGAATTTTTTCGTATTCTTTTTGACATGCAGATAAAAGGAAAGTTCTGAAGGTGGCCTTAATGTTGTGTTTAGTGTCAAATTCATCTTTTTCTTTGGCATTGAGACGGTTGTAGTTTTCCATTTCAATTGGGTTATACTTTTCAAAGACAACTTTTCTAATTTGATCTTTCTTTTGTTTTTCATATTCGAAAATTTTTCTGCATAAATCGGTATACATGGCACAGAATTTACTTTCGTTGAGAGCTTTATCGAAAATGATATCAATAGTACCCCTATGAACCTTTTCATCTTCAACGACACCAAGAGTTAAAAGTTCTTCGGAAAGAGTTGCAAATTTCTCTGGTGTGATCTTGTTTAAAATGAACTTGGCTTTTCTAAGAACCTTTTCACTTTCATTTAAAGCGTTAACTTTAGTTGGAACCCAACGCTTTTCATTAACAATTTGAGAAATTGGTGGTTGAACTGGTTCTCTGGTAGCAACATCATTACCATAGGACTTTTGCATTTGATGCATTTGTTGTTGATTACCTTGAAGTTGTTGTTGATATTGGAAACCTGGTGCATATTTGAGTTGTGGATTATAATTCTTTCCACCAGGATATTTGCCCATATTGTTCATTTGTGGTGGATATTTGCCCATATTCATGTTCATGCCCATTTGAGGTGGGTAGACTGGATTATTCATATTCATTGGATTCATCTTGGCATTTGCTGGATTAATCTTGTTACCTGAACGATTTAATTGACCACCTGGCATAGCATTGGTTTCAATTTGATTCTTTAAATCTTTCAATGGACCACTTGGTTCTTCCATACTCTTTGGTTTGAGTAACATCATTTCCTCTTTTGAATATACAATTTTTTCGCCACTATTTCTGATGAATGATAATGATGAATTGGAACTTGTTGGTGTTTCGGTTGGTGGAATACTAAAATCTTCTTCACCCTTCTTTTCCCATTCTTCAAGCTCTTCTTCAACCTTTTCATTTGATTTGTTATCACTGCTATTAGCAGATGATGCTGTACTATTATTTGTAGTAGCGGCAGCTGTTGATTCTTCGGTTGTTGTAGTACTTGATGGTTCTTCAGTTTTGGCAGCTGGTTCTTCAACTTTTGGCTCCTCAACTTTTGGCTCTTCAATTTTGGCGGCTGGCTCTTCAACTTTAACAACTGGTTCTTCAACTTTAACAACAGGTTCTTCAACTTTTGGCTCTTCAATTTTGGTGGCTGGTGTCTCCTCAACTTTATCATCTGATTTCTTTGGTTCAGATTGATCATCTGATGTTAAAACAGCAGTGGTGTTTTCGGCTTTGGTAGTAGCATCGCTAGTTGTATTTGATTGATCAGCCTCTGTTGTTGGTTCAGCTTTGGTAGAAGTTAGATCAGTTGATGATTTATTTGCCAACTCAGCATTCTTCTTTCTTTTGTTGAGATTACCGCTACTAAATGATGAAAGTTTAATTGGGGTAGTTGATGCTGGTGAAGATGAAACACTGCTTGAATTAGCTGGATTAGCTGGGGAGTTTGTTGTTGCTGTAGTGGCAGAGGTAGTAGTACTAGTTGATGGTGAATTACTAACAGTAGTAGTGCCATTGGTTGGGGTTGAAGGGCTTACCGGTGCAGTACCACTTGTAGATTTTGTTGGTGATGAAATTATAACTTTTTCATTTGTGGTTGGATCTACAATATCCAATGGTTTTTTAGTTTGTTGTTGGATTGGTTGTGGGGTATCTATTGTAAAAAAAAAAAAAAATTAGTATTTAATATTTAATATTTAATATTTATAGGATTGTTCACTTACTATTTACAGGATGCATAGGAGGGTAGTAACCATATGGTGGTTGGGGTGGATAATAATGAGATGGTCCAAAAGTTGGTTTGCCATAACTATAATTTGGTGCATATCCAACTGGTGGAGCTCTCTTCTCTGGTGTGTATCCTTTTGGGTGTTGATCTTCTGAACCTGGAAGAGGAGCAGAGTGAGTTCTTGGTGGAATATTTGTAATATTTGGGTTAACAGATGGTTTTATTTTATTTCTATTTGCATTTTGTTGTTGTTGTTGTTGTTGTTGTTGCTGTTGTTGTTGTTGTTGTTGTTGTTGGTTTGGAGAAGAAGGGGATTGTTGTAATGGGGTTGATTGTGGTTGTAATTGTGTTGGTGAAGATGGTGGATATGGTTGTTGTGAAAATCCCCCTTGTGGTGGGTGATAATAATTATTTTGATATTGATATGGTTGAGGTTGATGTGGTTGATGTGGGTAATATCCTGGTGCTTGTTGTGGATATTGTGATGCAAGATAGTTTGATTGTTGTGGTGGTGCTCTGTTAGATGGAGATGGCTGATAATTTTGTTGTTGTTGTTGTGGAGGAGGCGAGTTTAATTGTTGGGGTTGTTGTGGATATCTAATATTCATGTAAATTTATTTTATTCGGTTCGCTCAATCCATTATATAATTATATTTATTAATATAATAAATTATTTAATTATCTAAAGAGGTTCGAGGGATTAAAAAAAAAAGGTTTCTAATTAGTATAACTTGTGTTGTGTTTATGATTCTGGGGTTTTTATTATGAAATAACAAAAACAATAAACTGTTTCTCTTTTTTTTAATTTTTTATAAATTAAAAAAAGATAATATAAAATTTAAAATATATAATAAATTTTTATTAAACAAATATATTTTTAAAAAAAAAAAAAGAAAAAAAAATGAAATTCCAAAAATTTAAATAAAAAAAAAAGAAAAAAAAAAAAAATTAAAAAAAAACAAAATTAAAAAAAAATAAAATTTAAATTAAAAAAAAATAAATAAAAAATTAATAATAAATTCTAAAGACATACTGTTTTTTGAAAGCTGAATATTTTTAAATTAAAAGAGAAAAAAAATATAAAATATATAATATAAAAATAATTAAGTTATTAGATAAATTATTTGTTTTTTTTAGATATATAAAATTAATAAATTTTTTAAAATTATTAAAATAATAAGAGTGTTAGTGATTATGTTTATTTTAAAAAAAATAAATATTAAATAAACTAAGTGATAATTACCATATGGGCTTTGTTGCTGTTGTTGGGGAGCACTTCTAGATGGTGATGTATTTAAATGAACATCATTATTATTTATATCTGTTGGTTGTGAAGAGGAGGATTGTGGTGTTTGTTTATTTTTGGGAGTTGACATATATTGTTGTTGAATTAATTGAAAATCTTGATTTTATTGATTCAATATACTAATTGCCGGTTTTTTTTTTGGTGTTTTATAAATAAATAGGGGTGATTAAAACCTAAAGATAAAACAATTTATAAATTTTTAAGTTTATAGACTGAGATTCTGTTATTGGTTTTTCGTATAGTGAATTCGGTTTATATAACAATGATTAATAACTTTTTCCAAATAAAAAAGTTTTCTTCGAATGTTTTAAAATGAACTGAAAATTTAGTAATAGAAAAAAAAATTGATTAGATATCTTGTGTTTTTATTTTATTTCAGTCTCTATAAAGTCCGATTATCCAAAAATCCAATGAAAATATTATAATATATCTACCTTTTGCTACAATGTAATAAAACTAATAAAATAAAATTAATTAGTAAAGATTTTAAACTAGGGATGTGAATGATTATAAAATATAGATGTTTTATATTGATTTAAATAAATTAAAAGAGTGATGGTTTCCCAAATCTTCATATTGTTGTATTGTCATTATTTTAAAAATCAAATATATTAATGGAATTGAAAATTTGGTTTGATAAAAAGGAATTTAAATTGGTGTTGGTTAACCAATCTGTTAAATGTTTGAATGAAATTGTTTTGATATATTCTTTTCTATTTTAACTTGATAATGATATTTAAAACTGAAAAGTCTCTTTAAAAGCTATTAATGTTCATTTGTGATTATGTTTATATTATAAAACATTGTGTGGGAATACAAAAAATAATTATATTTATGGTTGTGTGGTGATTTATTTCTTGTAATCTTACGCTTCAAATGAATTAATAACCTATACTATAGTTGAATTCGAATAAATAGAACAAATATTAAATAGTTAAAATTATTTAATATTATATTTATTGTGAAAACCTTAAAAAAAAAAAAAAAAAAAAAAAAAAAAAAAAAATTTCTTTATTTTAAAAAAAAAATCAAAAAAAAAAAAAAAATTAATTTTTTTTTTAAAAAATTAAAATTTTTTTTTCATATGATTAAATTATTATTGTTCTTATTTAGCAATATTTTGAATAAATATATATTTTTATATTTTAACCTTAGTTTCTATTTTTATGTTTATATATATTCACTTTTTTTGTAAAAATTTATAAGGATTGTTTTTTTTTTTATCTTTATAAAATAATTAAAATGTATATTGATATTTTTAACAACAACACACCCAATTTTTTTTAAGGTAAATTCAACAACAAACAAGATAATATATTTTTTGTTTATTAAAACTCAATCTCATAATTTCAATGAATATAAAAAAGTAAATATCAAGTTTATTATATATAAAAAATTAATATTAAAATATTTTGGTTTAATATAATCTATAATTAAATTGTAATTATAATTTAATATAATCTATAATTATTATAATTATAATAATAATAATAATTTTAAATACATGTATTATTTTTTTTTTTTTTTTTTTCATGTTGGCAACACACCAATTTTTAAAAAAATTTTTTAAAAATTTTTTTCATTTTTTTAATTTATTTTTTTTATTTATTTCTCTTTTCTTTTATTTGTAATTAAAATTATTATTAATATTTTATAATAATAATAGAAATTAAAAATGAATAAAGGTTGGTTTGGGGGACTTTTAGGAAAGGGCCAAGGATCAAGTGGGGCAGGTAATAGTGGCGGATTAAATGTACCAGTGGAGGCATTGTTTCAAAAGATTCAAGAGTCAACAGAATTAGAAGGCAAAAAAGATGCAGTTTCGCAACTAATCAGTATTAATAGATCATGTCATCAATTGGTTGGGTCCAAAATGTCAATTCTAACAACATTATTATCCGAAAATCAAAATGACATTGAGTTGGTACGTGAAATTATTCAAATTTTAACATTGATTATGACAACTTTACCAGTAAGTATAGCACCTAGTTTAGTATTTTAAATATATTTTTATTAATAAAAAATAATTGTTTTTTATTTATTTATTATAGAAAGATGATAATATTATTGAAATTCATAATACTGAACTTTTCATTAGTTCAAAAGAAAATTTTGTAGTTATTACAGATTTATTAAAATTAAACGATTATTATGTTAGATATTATATTGCTAGATTTTTATATATCTTAATTAAGAATCGATTTGAAGCAGTTCAACAAGCAATTTTATCATGCCCAATGTCAATGCCAAATATCATGTCATTATTAACTGATTCAAGAGATATGATTAGAAATGGTAAATATAAAACATTAGACAATAAAAAAAAAACAAAAAAAAAATTTAATAATTAACCCAAAATCTTTTAAAATAATAAAGAGGCATTATTAATTATTTTGGAATTGACAAAATCAAATCAAGAAATTCAAAAGATTGTAGCATTTGAGGGTGCATTTGAAATTATCCTTGGTATTATTAAAAAAGAAGGTTCATCAGAAGGTGGTGTTGTAGTAAATGATGGTATTTTAATTTTAAATAATTTACTTAAGGGAAATGTTTCAAATCAAGTATGTATTATCCTATAATAAATAGCAGTCAAAAAAAATTTCTCAAACAAAAAATATCTAATCATTTTTTTTATTTGTAAAGAATTTCTTTAGAGAGACCAGATGCATTCAAGAGTTGTCATCACTATTAGAAGTTCAAAATACTGATATGTGGATATTATCAGATAACAAATTCACAATTATAATGTCAACATTAGATTTAATTTTAATATTGGTAGAAAGAAATAATACTAGTACCCCATTAAATCAAATTGTTATTTCTCAATGCGGCATCATGAATTTAATCATTCGTTTAGGCTTAGGTAAAATGTCATCTCAAGTAATTCGAAGTAAGAGTTTATATACACTTGGCGAAATTATCCATTTAAGTAATGAAAATATCTCTGCACTTAGTGGTGTCACAATGAAAAGTGAAATAACGAAGCAAGGTCAAACCGCACTTCTTCGTTTAACTACAGTAATGTTGTATAGCAAAGATTTAATTGAAAAGAGCGCAGCTTTCCATGTATTCAAATCATATCTTTACAACAATGAAGAGGCTCAAATGGCTTTGGCATCAACAATTATCTCTGACTCAAATGGATCATTATTATCATCACCACCATCCTCACAACCACAATCTCCACAAGAGCAACAACAATTAAAGCATCAACAACAATTAGAGTTTGAAAGTCTTTCAATTGGGCAACATTTGTTTAAGGCATTATTCTCTTGGGAAACTCCAATCGCAGGAAAGCCATTCGATATCTCTTGTTTTTGGTTTGCTAGTGTGGTTTTATTATATATGTTGAAAGACTCTGTCCATACCAAAGATCAATTATTAAAGATGCCATTAGAAGTACCAAAATCATCAGCAGCAGCAGAAAAGCAACCATTAACTCTTTTCACTAAATTAATGGAGTCACTTTTAAATACAAAAAAACACGACATTGATCCAACTATAAAAATTGGTCTTTTAAAATTATTATCAGTTTGGTTAGACCAATCACCCAATAGCATTCAAGAGTTTTTCAAAGGACCACAAAATTTAGCATTTTTGGTAGAATTAATTCTTTCTCCATCAACTGTATCAACCTCCTCCACAGGCAATCCATCAGCATCCTTACAACCACATATCCAAGGTTTAGCAGCTTTAATTTTAGGTATCTGTGCCCAATACATGAATGACGAAACTGCAGAACAAAATCGTTCAAATCTTAGTTCAATCATTAATCATAGAATTACAATTAATATATTTAAAGATAAATTGGATACAGTTAGAAAATCAGATCAATTTACAAATGCCGAGCAATCTGAAGATACATTTGATCCATCAAGTAGTTCAGCTAAAACTATTGTTTTATATGATTTCGATTATACCCTATTCTTTAAAGATATTTATGATAAAATTAGACATATTGGTACAAATATTAATAAACCAAGACCAGGCAAAAGACCAACAAATAATAGTGCAAATACCACTACAACTACCACCACTACACAACCACCATCACAGCAACAACCACCACAAACATCATCACTATCACCACCAGTAAATACTTCCTCTGCAACATCATCACCACAAACATCATCACCAGCTATTCCACATAGACACGACCATAGCCAATCACAATCACAAACCCCAACACAAAACAATTCTCAAGAATATCAACAAGCAATGTCAGAACTCAATCACTATAAAAAAGCAAATCACGATTTAATGACACAACTAACCCAAGTAAGATTGGATAGTCAAAACCATTCACAACAACAGCAAATTCAACTTCAACAATTACAACAACAAATACAATTATTACAACAACAACAACAGCAGCAACCAACAATGAAATCAGACGAAAAAGAAAAAGAACTTTTACATTTATTAGAAGAAAAAGTAAGAGAAGTTACTTCATTAAGTGATGCAGTTTATAAATTGGAGGATGTATTATGCACAAAAGATGAGCAAATTGAAGAGCTATCTAACCAATTGGAACAATCAAAGGCTCAACAACAAAACAATAACAATAGTGGAGGTTCATTAGACTCTTCAGATTATTTCGAACTTTTACGTTTAAGACAAGACTCTGAACAAAATCATTCAGTAAATTCAAGTCGTATTCAATCATTAGAATCTGAAGTTTCTCAATTAAATCAAAAAATTTCTCAACTTTTAAATGAAAATCAAATTCTTCAACAACAAAAAGAAGATGCTCTTAAAAAAGTAAATTATAATAATATTAATAATAATAGGTTGGATTTTTTTGGATGGAAATTAAATGTTTAAAAAAAATATAACTATTTTATATTAACAAAAAAATCTTCTTTTATCAATAAATAGATTGTATCCTCACCCAGCTCAGTTATCAGTGATCCAAACTCATTAAATTTAGCAAAAGTAAAGGGAGAGCTCAATGAAATGGTACTTAAATACGAATCATTACAAAAAGAACAAGACGAATTGTTAGAAGCTTATTCAAAGATTGAATTGGAAAATACTAATTTAAAAAATCAATTATCAAAACTCCAACAATAAAAAACAAAAAAATAAAATAAAATAATAATTATTAAATAAAAATTTAAATAGAATTAATCTTATTTTATCGCCCATAAATTTATCTTTTCACAAACTTTTTTATTTCCATTTTTGTTAAATCAAACAAAAATGAGAAAAGTTTAAAAAAACTTTTTTATAATTTTATTAAAAATAATTATTTTTTTTTTTTTTTTATTTTTAATTTTATTTTATTTTTTTTTTAATTTTTTTTTTTTTTTTTTTTTAACTAGTTTGCAAACAACCAAAGTTTTAATTAATATTTGTTTACAACTACTCACTTCAAAATAACATCCACATCTCTTCTTTATAAATATTTTCACTATAAACAACCACAACAAAAACACACTTGTTTATTTTAAAATTTTTATCAATAAAAATTTATTTTAACAAATATTTTATAAATAATAAATAATTAAATAATTTAATTATTTATAATTAACTAATAATTAATAATTAACAATTAATAATTAACAATTAATTAATAACCAATAAAATAAATAATAAATAGATATATATTTTAAATTGTATTATTTTTTCTTATAAATAATAAATACAAATGGCAAAATGTTCAAGTTGTAATGGAGATGTAGTTGATATTGACGAAAAGTTGGTTTGTCAAGAATGTGGTAATATCCAAAGCGAGTTAGGAAGATTTACACAACAATTGGATTTCTCAGCTCCTGGTGTTAATGTTTCTTTAGGAGGCCACTCAAATACAACAACCAAGAAAGTTTATTTTTCAAACACAGGCTGCAAAGGACCATACCACAATAAATTTGAGGATGCCCTAGAGTATATATGTAATCAATTAAAAACTTCAGTTAGCTTCAAGAATACAATGAGAACTCATTATTATTTAGCGTTTTCAAAGTGGAGGCCCATTAGAAGAATAGATCCAACTTATAGTTATGTATGTGCAGCATTGGCCCATATCGTATATAGATCAGAGAATAAAGGTACTACATTAGCAGACATTGGTATCAAATTAAATTTAAAGTATTATACTATTGGGAAAATATCAATGAAGATTCAATCGGTGGCTGGTATTTTAGTGGATGAATTATCAGAATTTAGCTATTTGGATAGGGGCTGTAATATTTTAAAAAAGTCATATAGCTACTCTCACGAAGACTGCGAATCAACCAAACGTTTAGCATCCGAACTTATCAAGTTTTGTAAAACTATTTCACTCTCTGATGGAAGAAACCCAAGCTCTATCTATTGCGCATGTCTATATTTAGCACAATGTTACAAGTTAACAACTATTTCTCAAGATATTTTAAATCATTTTAATAGTAATGGTATCGACAATGGTGATGATCCAAAGCAAAACAACACTGATATCAATGGTTACTTTAGGTCAATTGTTAGCGATAAAACAGGTACTGTAGTTAAAGGTAAAAGAAAAGCTAAAGGTAAAAGCAAGGCACAAGAATTAATGAAACCATTCTTTGAAGATTTAGTTAAAGAAATGAACGCCCCATCACATGGTACAAATCTAAGAATTAAAGAAATCGAAGCTCAACTTACCTCATATTACAAAGAAAGTCCCTTTTTTTCACAATTAGTAAATCCTTTAAATTTTTATCAATGGTTACCGATGATATTAAAAGATTTTTTAATTAAGCAACAGCCTGATGAAAACAACCAAGAAGAAAAAGAAGAGGAAAGTAGTGGCGAAGACAAAGAGTTTGAAATTGAAAAGAATTTAGAAAAAGAAAACAATGACGATAGCTTTGATGAAGAAGAAAATAATTTAAATAACATCGTTGACGATGAGAATCTAAACGATATTCCCACAAAAATACAAACACCAGAAAACAGAAAGAGAAGCAATTGTGAAATAGCCATTGACGATGAGAGTCCAAATGCTATTAAGAAATTGAAATCTCTCAATAAAGAATCAAATGATTGTAGTAGCGGCGATGAATCAAGTGACACTAAAAGCATTTCAAGTTTAGCATCAACAACTGCAATCACAACATCAACCACCGCCACTTTCAAGGGTACAAAGAAGATATTTGAAGCAATTTTAAAAAGTGATAATCCAAACACCCCTTTCCCACCAGCTTATATTAAATCAGAATATAAAAAAACAATTAAAAAACTAAGACTCATCAAGGTGAAATTAGATTTGTTGGGAAAAGGTCAAATTGATAAATCTAGAATAACCAAAGACGACATTCAATTCTACGATAAATTTAAAGAGTTCAAGCCAGCCCCAAGTATAAAACTAGAGGGTCCGATCGAGAAACTATTGATTGAGGGTGTTGGTGAAGATACTATTTTAGAAGGTTTTACTGACCTCGACTCGATCCAACTGGATTGCTTTTTAAATAATAACAAAAATTATTTGGATGATGAAGAATTAAATGACTTGGATATCCCAGATGAAAGCTTACAACTATATATTAGATCTGGTAAAGAAAAAGAAGAATGGAATCAAATTTTAAAGTCAACCTACGTTAAAGATGATTTCGAATTTTAAAGAAATACTATATAGGATGATTGGTACCAATTATCAATTTTAAGTTTTTAAATTTGTAAATAAATAAAATAAATAAATTGTATTTTAAAAAAATAAAAATAAAAATTTTATCAAAATAATTGAGTTTATATATTTTCTGAATATCTTTCCACAATAAAATTTTTATCCACAACTTCAAAAAAAATCTTTTTCTTTTATTATGTCTAATCAATGAAGGATTCTTAACTTTCTTTTTATATTTTATGTTATATCTCTTTAATATAATTCTTACCGACTTGTATATGATATTGTTCCATATCCTTTTTGTTCATACCAAATTATACATTATTTTATACAGTAACAAAAACATTAGAAAAGGTAGAACAAACAAGTACTGTAGTTATTAAGAATTAAAAAAAAAAAAGAAAGATAAAAATATTAAAACAATAGAGTAGCAACACAAGTATAGTTATTAAAATAAATATCTAATTTTGAAAATTAATTAAAACACAATCAAAAAAATTTGAAATTGTTTCATTATTATATTTAAATTTTTAATTAATATAAACTACAATATTTTGTACATGTAAAAAAAAAAAAAAAAAAATTAGTAAAACAGTTTATCCCAATTGGCAATTTCTTTCTGCATTATTATGAAAAAATGAAAAATAAAACATTTAAAATATAAAAAAATGAATTTTAAATAATTATAAAGGTAAAATGGTCCATTAATTAATAGTAAATATAAAATACATCACATGATACAAATTTTATTTTTCTTTATTTTTATAAAAGTAGAAAACTGCTATGTATCAAAAAATCCACTTCATATTATAATAAATCTCACTCATTTAACATTGAAATAAAAATTAATCATTTGATTAAATAAAAATAATATGTGTTAAATTTAATATTCATAAACACATTTTTTACCTTTTTATAAAACATCAATATATAGTGATATTATGATTATAGATTTATTGAATAGTTTATTTTATTTTATTTATTTAACTTAAATTAACTGGTAATAATTTATAAGATTCCTCAATTGCTTTTTTTTGATGATATATAATTCTTGAAATTTTTTAATGCCAAATAATACTTGATATGTTTAAATGCTATATAATCCTTGATATTTTTATATGCCAAATTATATTTGATATTTTAAATGATACATAATATTTGATGTTTTTATTGATCCATAATATTTAATATATTTTGAATTTTACACAATACTTGATATATTTTAATGATCCAATAAAATAATTAGCCTATAATTATTATACAATAAATCTTGATATTATTGAATGATCCAATCCACTTGAATGTGTATAATGATAATAGATTTTAGAAAATTATGGTATCAAAATAAAATAAAAAAATTATAGTTGAATTATAATAATTAAATGCTAAAAAATTCTTGATATGTTTTAATGCTAAAAAATCCTTGATGTGTTTTAATGCTAAAAATCCTCGATATGTTTTAATGCTAAAAATCCTCGATATGTTTTGATAATATTTTTAATTATTTTTTATACTATTAGCCACTCTTTGTAAAGAGTGTTTCCAGCTCTACCACGGGGAGGTTAGTATATTAGAGCCGAATGGTTAATTATGTATCCCACCACGCAGAATACATAATTAACCACCCACTTACCTTAATGTATATATTTGTGAATTGTTTCTATATATTAGCGGTTAATTATGTATCCCACCACGCAGAATACATAATTAACCACCACTTACCTGAATGTGTATAATGAAAAAAAAAAAAATTTTATGAAATTATTCTCTTTAAATACTTTTTAGTTTTTTAAAAAAAAATTAAAAAAAAAAAAAAATTTAATTTAAAATTAATTAATTAATTAATCTATAACTATTTCCTAATTTATTTAAAACATCAATTCCAAAATAAGTAAAACTTGTATTGCACAAAAAAATGTAGATCTGCTACAATCAAAATTGGTAATCATTTGAAACAGGGGAGGTTTTTTTTTTTTCAAAATTTTTTAATTTTCAAATAAATTAAACACATCCTCCTTTTAAAGAAATCATTTTTCCATTTATATTATTTTATTATAATTCATTTCATAATTGATATGTGGAAAAGGAATAAAGTAAGAATTTGGTAGTTCATTATCATGATAATGAAATTGGTATGATAGCTGAATGAAAATACATTAAAAAAAAAAAAAAAAAAAAAAAAAAAAAAAAAAATTTATTTAATTTTGTAAATTTAATTTTTTTTTAAATTTCTTTAAAATTTTTTAAACATTTTTTTCATTTTTTTAATTATGATTGCAATGAGCGCTTTTTTTAAAATTTTTTTTTTTTAAATTTTGAATTTTATTAATTATAATTTTTTTATTTTCCTTTTCAAAAACCTTCACAAAACCATATTGATAAATCTAATATTATGGTGCTATTTCACTTGTGTTGATGCTTATATTAGCAGGTTGACCTCTTTATTTCGCACATCACCATTAATCTATAATCATAATATCACTATATATTTTTTATATTTGAAGGTTTCATTTTAAAATTTAAAAAAAATAAAAATTTATTAAAAAAATTTATAATGAATTTAAAAAATGATAGAACTATTTTTTTTATTTTTTAATTATAAAACCCAATATAGAAATTATTTAGCCATTATGAATTACATTTTATATATTTTGTGATGAATTTTCTTTTTTTGGGTTTTCTTTTGTTTTTTTTTGAAGTTTTTCCAATAATTTCTTTAAAGATTTTTTATTTTTGGAAGTTTTGAAATGATAAATTATAGTTTGTGTAAAAACACCTCCAAAAGCAATAGTAACATTTTTAAAAAGCTGATTTAATTCGAGATCATTATTAATAGACCATTTAATGTGTTGGGGTGAAATTCTGCTTTTTTTTGTAAAATTGAAAGATTTAAACTTAATTCAAGAACTTCTAAAACGGCAGCTAAATAAACTGGAGCTGTACATTGAAGTTTTTTTGCCTATTAATGGATTAAAATATAGTTATCAAACTAATATGTATATTTATTTCATATTTTAAAAAAAAAAAAAAAAGAAAACGGGAAAATAGCAATTTGTTTGTAATATTTAAAATTTTTATAAAAAATTTCACCAAAACAAAAAAATGCAAAAATAAATAAAAATAGAAGCAGACAGATAATAATTTTTTTAATTGTTTTTTTTTATTTTATATATATATTTTTAAAATGTATTTTATATTTTTAGTTTTTTTTTTAATTTTTTAATTTAAAAACCACCATATTGGTTATAGTTTTGTTGTTGATTATTGTAACCTAACATACCTTGATTTGGATACATTTGTTGTTGTGGTTGTTGTTGATATCCCATAGCTGGTGGAAGAGCTAACATGCCACCAGTGGCAGCATAACCATATGAAATATTTGAAAGATCTGGTTGGTATTGTTGTGATTCCATGGTTTGTTGTTCTTTTTCTTCTTCAGTTTTCTTTTGACGGGTATTGAAATCTTCCATGAGTTGGTCAACTTTGCCGGTGTATTCCTTAACGTATTGAATGAGATATGGGAAAGAGTAGTTGATGATATTATTTTTCCAAGCAAGTTCAATAACAACATCTGGTTTGAGGAAATCATAACAAGTATAAAGACAAGCAGCAAAAGCGCTGTGATTTTTTTGTTCTACAAAATATTGAAGAAGCTCTTCACCAATGGCGGCGTTTTTACTGTCAGCAGCTGATTGAATGGCATCTTTATAGAGTTTATCTTTTTTGGAGAGTTCGACTGATTGAGCCCAACGGTTATTCTTTTTGTATAAATAGGCAGCAATACGACGGAATTCGAGGAGTTCATGTTTTTCAAGTTTTTGTGCAAGAGCAATAGTACCAAAGTTACTGTTGGCGTCGATTGATGCTCTAAGAGCTTCATAGTCTTCTTCTTCAACGTAGAGTTCGTTAAGAGCCTCATTAAGGGCGGCTACATTTTGGTCTTGAGCTGAAACGAGGTATGGTTTGACTAATGGGAGATGACCAATTGAACGAATGAGTGAAACAGCACGGGTATGATCAATACGTGGTGAAAGAACAGAGAGGAGATCATTAATGAGTAATGGTTGTTCTTCTAAATAGAATGAAATGGCACTATAATAGAGGTCAAGTTTGGCAACTTTTGGAATAGTTTCTTTGAAAAGAACATGATCCCAAGCTTCGATTGAATGATTAATCATAGTTTGAATAGCATTATCGTGTTCATCATAGTGAATGTAAAGGTAGGTAAGTTGTGGCCATTGTTGATTAGCTTGACAAGCTTTAATAACTTTTGGAACATTAAGACGGCTGTAGAATAATTTTAAGTGTTCCATTAATTTTTCTTCTTTATATTTAGAATAGAGGATGGCTAACTCGGTAAACATACCAACATGAGCACGTTCTGAAGCCAAACCACTTTCTAAAAGTGAAATTAATTCGTTAAAGTAACCTCTGTCTTCGTATTGACGAATTAACTCTTCTAATTCATCACCATGGACAATGATATTAATACCACAAACTTGAGCTAAACGGAATTCTTTAGCGTCAATGCAAGCAGCACTAACTTCCTTCCAGGTCTTGGTGCTATTGGCTTTACGAGCAGCATCAACAGCAGCTTGGAATTGACCTAATTTAACAAGACAACTAGTAAGACGTGGGAAGTTGGAAATATTGGTGTAAAGAATTTTAGCAGCTTCATAGAGACCATTTTCGAAACAACGATCACCAACAACTTGAATGTGTGCAGAGTTTGGTGAATTGATAAAATCTTCCATTTCGGCTAATTTGTTAACTTTAGCGTAGGCAAAGATTAATTCACTTTCGATGGCTGGTTCTTTAATCTTCTTACGGCACATTTGGAGGAATTTAACTAAATCATCATATTTATTGGTTCTTTCAGCAGCAGAAACAACTTCTTGGTAGTATTCGGTGTCGTTAGCTTTAATGAATGATTCAATGCATTCGTTTACCATGTCGGCTCTTAATTGAGCAACGGCTAATTTACTGTAAACTTCAGTTTGGTTACAACGTTCAGCGAAATCATGAGCTCTTTCGATAGAGTTGATATTGTTTAATAAAACTTCGATAGCTTCAACATTGAATTGGAATTTCTTGTACATAAAGAAGGCTTCTTCAAAGAGACCGCTTTCGATGGCAATTGGTGCTAATTTTGAGCCATCAAAGTTTTCTAAACGATTGATGTAATCCATAACACGACTTTTATCGGCACGAACGGCAGTAAGAATTAAAAGATTTTGGAGTTCTTTAGCGTTTTTAAATTCTTTACCTTCAATAACGATCTTTTCGAGTAATTCAATTAATTCGTTTGGAAGATCAGCATCCATGAAAGCTTTAACGGTGGCAGAAACTTCAGCAGCATTGGTTGATTCTGGAAGAGCAGTTTGTACGACTTGGTCAATTAATGATCTCTTGTATTCATTTTGATCGGATAAGACGTAAGCCCAAAGATCTTGATCTTGACGTTCGACTAAATAACGAGCTTGATTCTTGAAAAGAGTATTTTTGTTGGTGACTTCAATTAACTCGTAATCACAAAGACCACGTTTGTAAGCAACAAATGAGAGATATGGGTCTCTCTTTTCGCAATATTTACCAACAACTTTGCTGTCATAGAATTGATTGTGTAAGAGGAAAGCTTCTGGGTTCTTATTGCTGTCAATGTAAATTTTAGCAAGAGCGTTGTGAATGGCTGGTTCCATGTTTGATTCAGCAACTTTAGCTTCTAACCATGGAAGTAAAAGTTTAAGACGATTTCTCTTTTCGACTTGTTCAACTAAAGCATCAGCTGGAATTAAATTTCTGACATTGATGTTCATAATGAGTGATTTTAAGTAATCTTCTTGACAATCGAGATCTAATAAAGCACCAACGACTAATGGGGTATTTGATGGATTGATTTTTTGAACGTAAGCTTCAATATATTTAGTGTGATTATTTTTGTAAAGATAGTTGGTAAGATCGGTAATGAATTGATAACGATCACAAACAATGATTAATGGAAGTTGATCTTGGAGTTTAGCTTCTTTTAAGAAATCACGAGTCTTTTCTGGATCATAATAGTTACTGTCTCTGCACATACGTTCAACCTCTTTGAATTGATTAACTTTGGCAGCAGCTTCAATGTATTTAAAGTGAACCTCTGGTGAAGTGGATGTGACAACAATTTGGGTTAAATAAAGGTAAAGACCTTCATAGAGACGGAATGATTCGAACATTGCGATGATAGCCTCTGGGGTCATTTGATCACTGTAGGCAACAGCAATATCGACAACCAATTTAAGATTTTGACGTGGGTTGGTACGAAGGAAATCACGCATACATTCCATACGATCATCAGCATTTAATGAACCAAAGTAGGAAACAAGGAATTCGTGGTTAACCATATGACCAGCATGTGATAAAACTCTTTTGATATCGGCTAAATCAGTGTAATGTTCAAGAGCACGTTGGTAGAGACCAGCTTTTTCGCAAAGACCACCAATTCTAATACGGTTGTAATGTGTGAATTTTTGGCCTCCCATAATGGCATCAGCATTTTGTGGGGCATGGATTAAATTGATTTCTAAAAGTTTGGTTTGGAGGTTAGCATCTTGAGCACGATCTTCAGTAAGAATAGCAAAAAGGAAATTACTGGTTTCTTGAATCATATTACGGGCAGCAAAGAGTTCGACAACTTGATTTGGATCAATGTATGGACCACCTTCTTCTTTAACAAGTTTAACTGCAAAATCAGCAGCACCCATTGGATTGGCTGAAGCCATACGTTGTAATAAATACATGAAATCTGGTTTATAATTGATCTTCTTACAGTAAGCAAGAATTTTATCGAATTCACCACCTTCGGCAAATAAGGTAATAACTTTATCTGATGAACCAGCACGATAGTAAATTGAAAGGGCTAATTTGGAATCGAATCTTCTAACTTCATCACCTAACTCTTCTGAGCATTCAAGTTTATCTTCAGTTAACCATTTTTCAAGGATTTGTTTTTTATTTTGTTGAAGAACTGGACGAACTAATTCAAGTGATTCAATTTTATTGAGTTTACCTTTTTCTAATAACATACCAAAGTATTGAAGAAGTGGTGATGGTTGATCTGGTACTTGTGGAATGGATTGGAATTTTTGAATAGTTTGAAGATTTCTTAAAACGGTACCTTTAGATTCAGCAGCAACCTTTGCAGCTTCTTTATATTGTCCTTGTTGGAAATATCTTTCGAATTGACTTGAAAGTAAACCATCAGCGCCTGGTAAGTTATTTTTAGAGGCCATAGAGATGGCAAGTTCGACATTATTTAAAGTGTTTACAATATACGGAATAATATTTCTTTCATCGATTGAAACAGATAAAACTTGACCTTTTCTATTAACAGCAATGATGCCATTGGTTGATTCTTCAAAAGCAGTAACAAAAATATTTTCACTACTAATACGATTTCTATAGATGAGACTAGCAGTTCCTAAATCAAAAAGATGAATATAACCTAATTTGGTGACCATATAGATGATTTCATATTTTTCAGAGATTTGCATGGCGACTGGGAAATCAGATGCACCAATTTCTGGTGGATAGAAAACGTCTGAAGCACGTTTTTGGAATGCTGGACCATCACCTTTATTGACCTCTAAGACTAAAATTTTTGAAGCGTTTGGAGTTCTTGAGGAAATGGCAAATAATGTTGATGGACGGGTAGCACCTGGTACAGTATAGTTGGCAAAACAAGCAGCATGACCTTCAATTGATTGACTGATATTCTTTTCAACTGAATATAATTGAATACGACCAGCAACACGACCATCTCTTTGGTGAATTGCAACTAATACTAACCAATTTTGTGTTGAATCTGAACGATAATTAATAATTTCTGTGTTTTGTAAATCTGGATGACGTTCAAAAATTTTAACTGGTTCACTATTTCCTTCTTTAGTCCAATGAAAAACTGATGTTGCTGTAACCAATGCTAATGTATTTGGTGAAATCCATTTCCAAAATTCCAATGGTTCTTGCATTTGACATGATTTTAATTGCATTTTTTGTTCAATTGAAATTAATTGTAAAACTTGACCAACTATATAAATTTTAAAAAAAAAAAAAAAAAATTTTAATATTAATATAATTTATTCTTTTTTTTTTTTTTTTGATCAATATCTTAAAAATGTATTTGATATTTACTCTTAAGTGCTAAAATTGGTTCTTTTGGATTCATGATGGCTGCATCAGTTTTAATTTGTTTTCTAAGAATTTGTGATGGATTATCTGTATTAATAATAACAACATTGTTTTTATCGTCTGGTGTAGTTTCACGAATACAAATATATTTTTCACTCTCCATTGTTAATGTAGAGAAACCAATTGAATTGGCTCCAATACCTAAACTTGTAAGCTATGATTAAATGATTGTATTAGTATCCTTATTTAAATTTTTTTTATCTATTACATGGCTGTTATTGATAAAATTACTTACTTGAAGAACTTCTTGAAATCTAATTGGTAAATTACTACTATTCATTTTTTTCTATATATATATATAATTATACAAGCTATAACCCTAATTATTGAAAAAATAATAAAAAAATATAGAGTTTAATTAATTATTTGTTTGTTTATTTATTAGTTTTTTTTTTTTTTTTTGAAAATAAAAAATATATGAAAGTGAAAAAATTAAAAAATTTAAAAAAATAATAAAAAAAAAAAAAAAAAGATTTTAATTTTTTTTTATTTTTTATTTTTTATTTTTTTTATGTGGCAATTATTTATGTGGTTGATCATCATATTTAGTTATTTTATAACTAGAAAAAATACTATATTTATTTGTTCTATTTTTTACAATAATCAAGAATATAAAAAATATAACTAATAAAAAAAACAAAAAAAATAAAAAATAAAAAAACAAATACAGCTATGGTATCATTTGAACTTACCTATTGTAAGGTTAATTAAAACATAAAAAAAAGAAAATAAATATAAATATAAATTAATTTTATAAACAACAAAAAACCTATAAAGATATATTCGGGTGGCTGACAATATGAATATAAATTAAATAATTGTTATTTAATGGCTTCTTGAGTTGAGTATAATAAAAAATTAAAAAAAAAAAAATTATATATTATTTTTTTTTTTTAAATTTTTTTAATAAAATTATTTTTTTTTTATTATTTTAAAAAAATTTTTATTTTTTTTGAATTTTTATTTTTTTTAAATTATTATTTTTTTTATTTTTTTTTTTTTGGCAATGCGTGGGAAAAGTTTTTTTTTTTTTGTGAGGTCGCAACATAAGCACCTTAAAGAGTGATTGAAGTTCAAATTAAAAAACTTTCATTCATTGCTTTTTTTTTTTATCTTTTAAAAATTGAAAAATTATTTGAAATGATAATAATAATTATATTAAAAAAAAATTATTTAAAAAAGATTGATTATACAATTTTATTATTTTATTATTTTATTTATAAATTATTAATAAGTTGGATTGAGAAGAGCTGGAGCAATTTCTTCATATGTTTTATCACCTAAATAAAATAAATAGAAATATTAATGTTAATATTAATATTAATTTAAAATAAAATATATACATCAATCAATAACTATCAAAATAAATAATGTTTCAAATAATCTGTTTTGTTTTGATTGATATTGATTGATTATTTATTATTATTATTTATTATTATTTATTATTATTTATTATTATCATGATCACTATTATTTACATTATTATTTAAAGTGATCACTTTATATTTTGTTTTTATGATTTTTAATTATATATTATATTTTATATATTGTATATTATATAACTATTAATAATATTGGTTATGTTGTTTGTTATATTATTTATTGATAGATTATAGGGTTTATTGTTAAATAACATACCAGTTCTATAAACCATAAAAATTACAGAGTCATTTGGAATATTAGTTTGAGAAATTGTTTTTTTGTCATCTAATGGGTTACCGTTAAAAATAAATCTTATGTTTTCTGATGGATTATCTGATAATTTATTAATTGCAGAGACATCATTTTTTAATTTTAAAATTGTATCTGATGGTTCAGCTTGTAAAAAAATAGTTTGTTCATTTCTTTTAACTCTAAAATATAAAGACTGTATCCGATTGAAATAAATAACGTTAATACCAATAGGAAAAATAAAGTAATTATAAAATATTATAAATTACCATTTTTAATATAATTTTAAATTGATGATAAATTAAAAAATAAAAAATTTAAAAAAAATTTTTTTGAAAAAAATTAAAAAAAAAAAAAAAAGAAAAATAAAAAAAAAAAAAGAAAAAATAATAAAATAAAATTTTAAGAAAAAATGGAAATAGTAAATTCATCGAATAAATGAATTATTTATAAATTGACAAGAATTGATAACGAAAAAAGGGTTGGTTGCATGATGCATCCAAAAAAAACATTTTCACCACATCCAAATCCATGTTTTAATTTGATCATTGTGCATAGTTTTATTATATAAAATTTTAATTTATTTAATGCATTTTTTTTTTTTTTTCTTAATTATTAAATTATTTTATTTATTTATTAATTATTAATTAGTATTTATTGTGTTTATTATTATTATTATTGTTATTACTTATTATTTATTTTGAGGTTTCATCTTTATTTATTTTGTTTAAAAAATCGGTTGCATTTAAAATGTCTAGTTTTGCTTGAATGTCATTTTCATTATTTTCATTTTCATTTTCGTATTCGTTTTCTAATTCGTTATCATCATCTTCTTTGATATCACGTACCTCACAGAGAGCATCATCTGCAAGTTCACCTAAAAGTTCGTCGACAGCTTCTTCGCCATATTCTTCTGCTAAAGTATCTCTCATTAAGAAGTATTCTTCTGGATTTATAAGTTCATCAAAGGCTGATTCTTCTTTTGGAATGAATTTCAAGTCTTTAATACTGAGTTTTTCGAGTGGGGCATTTGGATCTTTAATTCTATCGAATCCGTATAATTCCTTGTTGATAACTTCTATAACTTTTTCTTGACTTGGTTTTTCTGGAGCAGTTGGTACATTATAGCTTCTAGTAATTAAATCTCTAAAGAATTTAGAGTTTTCGGATAATGTGACAAAGATATATTCTAAAAGGACATTGGCATTAAGACTAAGGTTATCAACACTGACAATGGCGGATCTACTACTGGAATAATCCTTTTCGTCGACAATGGAGCCAAGATCATTTGTAAAATCGATAGAGTATTCATTTGAAACAACCAAGGTGATATATGGAGCAATAGATTTGAAGGTAGCAAGTTGTGAGGATTCGACTGATGATTCCATTTGACTAATGAATTTTTTAACGAATAAATATTGAGCAGCTTTACTTGGAACACTATTATTATTAATAACAACTGATTTGAGACGATATCTTTGTTTTAATTCGTTGACATTATTTTCAATGGCTAATAAAGCTTTGAGACGGTACTCTTCTTCAGTTTTTTCTTTGGTGCCACCATTGATGATATCGAAACTATCTTGAATAGAGTTGATGAAAACAAAGAGCTCCTCTTCTTTAAAGTTGGATGGAATGAAACAAAAACCAGATTTATTGTCTTCAGTGATAATAAATCTATAGTGATCTGAAATAATTAAATTAATACCGTCCCATTTAAAGTCTGATAATTTTTGTTCAATATAAGTAATTTTTTCGATTAATGGTATTTCCTCTGGGGTGGATTCTACAGCTTCGGTAGTGATGGTAGAATCTTCAGATTTGTCTTCTTCAATTGGTTTTGGTGTTTCTTTTTCTGGAGTTGTAACATCTTTTTCTAATTGTGAAAGTTTAGAGAAGAAATCTTCTAAATCTGATGAAATACCATCAAATTGTTTAGTTTCTTTAATAATATTATTAACATTTGGAATTTCATCTTCAGTCTTTGGTGATGATTCAACTTTATCATTTTCTAATTGTTCATCGATTTCATCTTTTGGTTTTGAGATGGTTGGTTTGCTAATTGGAATTGGTTGCATATTGTTAAAGTTGTTTCCAGTAGTCATGAAATTAATCTTTGAAATGAAGACTGGTGATGGAGCACTTTTAGATTCAACAGAAATAATATTTGGTTTAGAGAACATACTTGATAATTTAGAAAGATTTTCTGGTGTAGTTTCTTGTGGTAAAATTTCAACATTTCTAACTCTTGTTTCTTCTTGTTCAAAATCAAAATTGTCAATATCGCCAGTTTCTGGTTCAGCATCTTCATCAATTTCGGCATCTTCGTCAAATTCAGCGTCTTCATCAAATTCAGCATCTTCATCAACCTCAGCATCTTCATCGACCTCACCTTCTTCATCGACTTCACCTTCTTCGTCAATTTCTTCACCTGTATATGCTTCGTCATCATAGGTTTCATTATCTTCTTGGAATTGTTTATTTTGTTCGTAGGCAGCTCTATATTTTTCAGTATCGAAATCTTCGTTTTCATCATCTGGTTCGATGATGGCAGCTTCTTCTTCGTCTTGAGCCTTGAAAACACCATCTTCGAAATCTTGATCTTCAAGACCCTTAATATCTTCTTTGAGTTCAGCTAAAGGATGTTTAAGTGGTCTATCGGCCATTAAAAATGGAACTTTGGTTGGAACTTCAAAGAGACGAGTTAAACGATCGACAGCAGAGCATGAGTTATTGAGGAATGGTGTTGATTGAATAACATCAAATTGTGATTTATCGACTAATTGAAGTGGGACTGAACGAGTATCTGAATTGCCTTGTTGTTGTTGTTGAATATTTTTAATTTTTTCGAAGGTGTTTTGAATACGTTCAGATTCTTGATATTCAGATTCGAATTTAGAAACACGACCAGTTTGAACAAAATCTTTTTCACGGCCAGCAATGAATGCGATGGCATCTTTTTCTGAAGATTCAACATTCTTTAACTTCCATTGTTCGAATTCAAATTCTTTTAAGTTGGTCTTTGGGAGGTCTTTCCAGGTTTCGGCTTTATTGGATTCTAATAATTGAATAGCTGGGATCTTTAATTCACCAACTAAGGTCATGGCACTATTGAAATCTTCACGGACTTTATCCATAGTCTTTTGATTAATTGAGAAAAGGTTTTCAATGACAACGTTTGAACCAAAGAGTTGTTCTAATTTTTGAGTTTTTTCTTCGAGGACTTCACGATTGTGAAGAGCTTTACCAGCAATTGAATTGAAGTTATTAATAGTCTTTGGAATAACGACTTCTTTAATATAAGTGAAGGCAACAGTTGGATCGAAATCTTTTTCAAGAACGACAAAACCTCTCTTAGTAAGACCTGGTTCCATTAAGTTATAGTATTTTGAATCAACAACGATAATTGGTAAAGATGACCAATCTGCAAATTCTAAAGCCAAAAGGTTGTGTTTTAAGTGAACGATTTGGAATTCAGCTTGTTCTCTAAAGCCTAAGTGACGCATATAATCTAAATCACCCTTGCATTGTTCGCCAAAGTAGAAATAAACTTTCTTTTCATCGAATAAATCGATTAATTTTTGATGTTGTGGTGCAAATTGATTTCTTAATGTATCGTTGTGAACTGGGAATTGATCTAAGAATGCATTGAGTTGATCACTTAAAGATAATTTGCTTGGATCTTTTGAAAAATATTGTTCCCATGGGTCATCATTAATTTCGGCTGTAGTTGGTTTTGGATTTTTTAAAAGTTCTTTTTCATTTCTTGGTATGGAGATACCTGATTTTTCTAATAATGAATATAATTGTCTATAAACGTTAAATCTATATTTTATAAAATAATTTTGTTAGGAAAAATGAAAAATGAAAAATGAAATGAAAAAATCTTTTTTAATTTTTTTTTTTTTTTTTTTTTTACTAACCTTAATTCAGTGGTATATTGTACTAATGCAGATTTTGAGGTTAAAATTGAATCTGGGGCATCAACAAAGGTAAATTCTTGTTTAACTTCAACAATACGACCATTTTCATCAACTTCAGCAAAGAATCTAAATTGAATTTGTTGTGGGATTTTATCAAGTTTGGTGGTGTTGGATGAATCTTCAGCTACAGATACATATTCTTCGAGGTTACGTAAAAGATTGTTAAGTTGAGTGAGAGATCTTTGATTTATTTGTCTATGTTCTTCATTGTTAAAGAATAAATCTGGATGTACCTTGAGGAAGAAACGATTTAAATGAGTTCTTAAAGCTTTTTCAGCCATTTTAGCAGAGTGATCGTATGGTAATTGTTTATCATTAATTTCGATTGGTTTGGTTTCGATATTACTTGATTGTCCTTGATCTCCTTGATCTCTATTGATTTCATCAAAGTCATATTTGCCATTTTCGAAATCTGGGTCAAATCTATATTTTGGGGTTGTAGCATCATTGAGAATATTCTTATCTAAAAAGTGTGATTCAACATAACCCATGTTCTTTGGTCTGTTACCGTTTTCATCATTATAATCTTCAATTACACTTTGTTCACTTTCTGTAAATTCGCTTTCATCTTCGAAATCATAATCTTCTTGTTTTTGAGTATTGTTTGTTGAGCAAAATGATCTAATAATAGAGTGATCTAAATTATTGGTTCCAAATCTATTTAATGTTGATTGGTTCTTTAAATAGAATACTGATTTATTACTACATTTGGTGTTATAGGTGGTGTTGTTAGCATTGATTGAAATTATTTTGCTTGCAGTTTTGGCTGCTGGTTGAAAAGAAACAAGTTTGAATATTTGATTCATTGTTTCTTTCAAATGATATTAATTTCTTTTTTCTTTATTTTTCTTTTTTTAATAAATTTCCACCTTTATTAAAACAAAAAAAAGATAAATAAATGAAAAATTTAAAAAAAATGAATGTTTTGAAAAAAAATTATTATTTTTTAAAAAAAAAAAAAAAAACGAAAAATTTTTTTATTTTTTAAATTTTTTTTTTCCATTTTTTTTTTTTTTACAAAAAAGAAATTAAAATACGAACTTTAGCACTTTATTTGGTTGTTCAAATAATTTAATACTTTAAACAATAATTAGCCAAAAAAAAATTAAAATTAAAATTAAAATTAAATAACACACAAATTTATTTATGGATGTGTGGGTTTTTAATTTTTTATTTTAATTTTCTTTTTTTTGGTTTTGGAATATTAAATTTGGAAATCAAAAGTGTTCTACTAAATTAATGTGAGTGTGAAACTTAATGATGAAAATAAAAAAATGATTTGGTTTATTTTACAAATAAAATTAAATTTTATTACATTAAAGTACAAGAGGATTTTGAAGATTTTGAATTTAATTTTGAATTTATATTTTTTTCGATTGTTTTAACTTCTGAATCGGTCAACTTGGAATTGAATTCAATGGTACCAGCCAAGGAATATAGTTGTTGGGTGGCATCTGGTTGATAGGATGGCTTGTGTTCACCTGGTAAATCAGTTTTGAGTACTGCTATGGCAATTGGCTTTAATGGGTCTCTTTTTCTAATTTCGGTGAAATAATTTGTAAAGTTGTTATAGGAGCCACCAGAGAGTGTAAAGCATACTATAAATAAATCGCATGTTTCAAAGTCTTGAACGGACATCATTGGCTTTTCTTTGAATCTTAATTTACTATTATAACCCTTACCAACATAGTTTAAATTATTAACAAATGTTGTTTTACCAATACCTTGATCACCAATAATATATATATTTTTTTCAACTGCTTTTTTATTGCCATTGTTGTTGTTGATTGGTGTTGGTGGTTTAGTTTCGAAATCAAATAGTTTATAAAGATTACCTTCCTTACCACTATTTTCAACTGATGAAAGTGTTGAAGTTGAGGTTGATATACTTGATTTATCGTCAGCAGCTGATACCACAGCTGAGGTTTGTGCTCTTTTACCGACTCTATAGTTTTCGAAATAGCCAATATGTGGGTTGTATAAATATGATGGATTAGTTTGGAGATTTGGATTGATATTGTACCAAGGTTCATTAACTTTAATATAGGAGGGTACACCATATTGCTTAAAAACAATATTCTTTTTTTTATCTGGAATGGCGGTGGTTGCAGTATTGGTAGTTGTAGTAGTTGTAGTTGTAGTGTGTGTTATTTCTTCATTATTATTGTTATCTTCTTTAATCTCTAATGATTTTGATTCATCTTCTTTAACGACAGTAAAATTTTCTTTATTTAAATCATCTAAAATATCATTCATTTCTTCACAAAAATCACCTTTTTCTTTAATTTCGTTTTGATACTTATTAAATTGATCTACAGATAAAAATGAAAAGTTAGAATATATTTTTTAAACCATTATTTTAAAAATAAAAAAATAGTTTAATAAATGATGTATTATTAATATTTACCTTTACTTGCTTCTCTGTAACAAATTGCTAAAAACATTTCGGTAATTAAATTGAATTTTTTGAAATTAATGCAAATGCCACCAGTTCTTTGAGCAATATCATCATAAAATATTGATTCACCAAGTGCACGTACACCATATACTTTAATACCCATATCGTATAAATCATCACATTCCTTAAACCAATTAATTGAAAGATTTGTAAATGTTGGTTCGTGTGGATTTGAGTCACCAATCATTACAAAAGCTTTGCTTGTGTGTTCTGACCATGATAGTTCTTTGGCTTTATGTAATGCATATTCGTAAGCTTCGGGTGCATCACCACCTGATGTATTTGGTACACTATTAATAAATGCTACAATTTCGTCAATGTTTGAAGAAAGATCTAGTGTTTTTAATACATTTATACCATCGCAATAATCACCCATACCCATTATACCAATTTGAATATTTGGAATATCTTTCATCAATCTATTTACAGTTTGTACGATTTGGGTTCTGACTGATTGGATAATAGTTGCCATACTTCCAGTGGTATCAAAGCAAAATACAATTTGAACATCAGATGACATGGACGACTCTACAAAGCTCTTTAATAAATTATCGTCTGCCATTTGCTCTTGTTCTCTTGCAATTCTCTCTTCTTCTAATCTTGCTTTTTCATTTAATAGGAATTTCTCCTCGTTAAGTTTATCAATCTTTGATAGGGTGCTACTTGCTGAATAGTCATTTTTGAATCCTCTTAATTCTTTGTTTAATAGTTTTCTTCTATTATATTCGTCGTCAGAAGAGTCGCTTTCTGATGAGGTATCATATGATTTTTTAAAACTCTTTGAATATTTGCTTGTGGTTGTGGTTGTGGTGGTTGTAGTTGTGGTGGTTGTAGTTGTTTTATTTTTAGGTGGTGGGGGAGGGGGTATTGATGGTATAGAGATTTCCATTAAAACCGTATCATAGTTTGAAAGGTTTTCTTGTAAATCAAAATGCTCTGATAACAATCTATTGTCATTTTTATATAATCTAATGGTATTTGAATATGGAACTACTGCTGGTATTTGTGTTGATAATGATTGTCTTATTTGTCTATATTTTTAATTATTTAAATTGTTAGTATAATTTAGAATTATTTGAATTAAATAACCTAAATTCATTTATACACACCTAACTAAATGTGAAATCTTTAAACCTGCATTATTTGGAATTTCAACTGAATAATCTTTACTTAAATAGGTTATTGTTAATCTGATCTCTTTGATTAAAATCATATGAATAGTGCTTTCTTTTTTAATACCACTTGCACCTAGTGTCCCTTTTGATAAAACATCTCCAGCAAAAGTTAATTGAAACTGATATTTCTTATTATTAGTTCTTTCTGCAACTTTGCTATATAATATATCTAATGTGTCCTCTGGTTGAACATCAAGTGAGAATGTAATTGTTGGTGTTTTAATTAAAACCAACATTTTTTGAAAATAACCAAAAATATGTATATATTTAAATTATTGAATAATTGTTTAATATTAAATATAAATTGGTTTTAAAATTGGAAAAATTAAAGAAAGTAAAAAAATAATCAAAAAAAAAAAATTTAAAAAAAAATTAAAAAAAATATTTATTTTTGGAATGGGGGTTTCGATTTTTATTCAAATAAAAAAATTCAAATAATAATTTTATTTGATCATTTTATTTTATGATTTTATCTAATTTTAGTTTATTTAATAATAAATTTTTTTTTTTTTTTTTTTTTTTTTTATAAAAAAAAAGATTTGATATTTTTCTAAAATCTTTGCAAACTTGGAATGGGTTTTATGATGAACATTCCTGAAAAATTTATATATTGGCTTTTCTTGTTTTACTATTGTTTATTAGATAGATTCCAATTGTTTCTTTTGAGATAAAATGGATTCTTCATTAAACTTGGAGTTTTCAATATCTTCTGTAGCTTCTTTTTGCTGTTGTTGTTGTTTGAATTCTAAGTACCATGATGGTATATCATCTTTAAAGTTGTTAAAGTGAGATAGAGCTTCTTGTGCCCTATATATCATGCCATCGACAATAGATTGGTCAAAAGTTCTTGCCCAGTGAACCCCAGATATAAGTGACATTGCAACAAATGTTTTGAATGAGTACCAAAATGAATGGTTGTTTAAGATTTCACTAGATTTGTTTCCAAAATAGCCATCGATTTGACCTATACTAAAATGAACTGAACACTCTATATCAAAGTTTTGAATCCTTTGAAATTCATCCAAAGCAAAGCCATAGCAACTGCGATTGAAATCTATAACTGCAAATTGATTGGTATCTGTTAAAACCATATTACCCACATGATAGTCACCATGTTTTAATACTAATTTCTGACAATCGAGCTTATAAACTGTATCTAAATTTTCTTTGATGAATTTAATAATTAATTCATCATTTTCAAATCTTATATCTTTTGTATTTTCGAAATCTTGAATTATTCTTAATTTTCTTTCAATGTTATCTCTATTATAGATATTTGAAGTATCTTTAATTTCTAACGAATGGAATAGTTTTAATAATCTACCTGCATCCAACCCCAATTCATATTGTTTTTTAAGTGGTAACTTTGGTAAATCATCTCTAAAATCTGTACCTATTTTTTATATTAGTATTTATTTAATACCTGTGTGTCTAAACCACAACATACCTTCAATCCAGTTGGTTAGGATCCAAACATATCCTTCACTATTGTTATTTTTTTCAAACACACCCATTTCAATAGCACGGGTCATATTAAAGTCATCTGTTATACTGTTTAATAATTTGGTTCTTTTAAATTCCTCTATCTTTTCTTCTTTTAACTTGATACTAGATATTCTAATAAATACTTTTTCGATGATATTGTTTTCACTATCTATATTTTCGATTAAATATTTAAATTCATTTGAAAACCCTTTGGTAATTTCTTTAATTTTCACCCTATTCCATTCTTTACAATATGGGACTTGATTATACAACTCTTCAATTTCACTTAACTTCATATTTTTAATATTATAGATAAATGTTATTATTTATTTTTGTTGTTATTATTACTTGAGTGTTGTTATTAAAAAATAAAAATAATAAAAAGTGAAGAAAAAAACGATCCATTTATAAAAAATTTAATTAAAAAAATAAATTAAAAAAAAATAAAAAAATAAATAAAATTAAACAAAAAAAAAAAAGAAATTAAGATCTCAAATTAAAAAATTGATTGTTTGCAAATTTTTTAAAAGTAATTTGATTCTCTTTCCCTTGGTTTAGTAAATTAAATAATGATTTGGTAAATACACTATTAAAATTTTTTTTTTTTTTTTTTTTTTAAAATTTTTTTATTTTCGTAAGGTTTGATTACATCGGCAATGATGTTTTATAATTTTATTATAAATTATATTATTGTGTTGTTATTATGTTTATTATGGTTATTATCATTGTTGTTATTACTTTTGGTATTATATTATTATTTTAAATTGAAAAACTGTATAGATTATTATTATTATTATTATTATTATTTAAATGATTCATTGTTTTATAAATCAGCAATATGAGTATATTTAATTTTATCTTGTTCTTTTCTTCTTGCAATTTCATTTGGTGTAACAATGTATTGTGGGTTTTGTTTGATGAAATCGGTGGCAACATTTCTTTTTACGATTTTGGTTAAAGTGTGGGTTTTTCTTTTTGAAATTGGTGCACATTCTTGAAAATGAACTTGATCACCAACATTGCAAATATCTTCTGGATCGTGAATCATATATTTAGTTCTTTTATATTCTAATGCAGCATATTTTCCTTTATCAAAGTAAAGTTTTTTGACTAAACATAAAGCTGTTTTTGTATGGGTTTTTGAGATTACTAAACCTGAAATAACTCTTTGCTTTCTTGTAAGGGTATCTAAAATTTTGGTGATCATTTTATAACTATTATTCCGATTGTCCCTATTTAATATATATACAATTAAAGAATAGTCGAAAAATTGATTATAAGTTGAAATGAAAAATAATAAAATTATTTAAAAAATAAAAAAATTTTTAAAAAAAATTAAAAATTTTTTTTTTTTCGTTTTTGTTTTTTTTTTTAAAAAAATTTTTTTTTTTTTTTTTTACCAAAAATTTTATTTAAATTATTTAAATTTCAATAAATAAATAATAAATAATAATTTAACCAAATATATATATATTTTTAATATAGTGAAATTTATTATAAATATATAAATTTTTTATTTTTTAAAAAAAATTTATTGAAAAAAAATTTCCCAAAAAAAACCCAAAAAAAAAAAAAAAAAAAAAAACTCAAATTGCAAATTTTTTTTTTTTCTTTAAAAAAATAATATAAATATAATAAATAAATAAACTATTAAATCAATAATAATAATAATAATAACAATAGTATATACTTAAAGTTATAAATAGAAATAAAATATTTTATAATCTAAATAAAAAAAAATAAAAATAAAAAAATAAATTAATATAAAAATTAAAAATAAAAAAAAAAAATCAATAAAAAAAAAAGATATAAATAAATAAATAAAATGGATATAGGTGAAATAAATAATATGGACGTTGACAAAAATAATAATTTAATACCCAAAAATAAAAATAATAAAGTGAATGTAGATAATATAAATAATGATAGTAATAATTTTGTAGATAATAGTAATAATAGTAATAGTAATAATAATATTTTAAAAAATAATGAATCAAAATTATTTAATAATAATTTTGATGAATTTAAAGATAAATTAACATTTTTTTCAGTATTAAAAAATAAAGAAAAAGAATATTATAAAATTAAAAATGGTGTTTTACAAAATATGGAAAACATTAAATCAGAAGATACAATTTTAGAAGATCTATATAAAGAGCGAAACTCATTAATTCAAGAATACAAAAAATATGAAACCATTTTAAAAGATATTCAAAACGATATTTTCAATGTTGAGGCATTAATAATCGAATCAAAGACTCATAAAGAAATTATTCGTAAACAACTAACCCATCAAAGAGAAACCGAAATGTATCCTTTAAAAGACTCAATTGATGAAATGAGAAAATCAATAAATTTGCCCGTATTACCTTCCATTGAATCAGAAAAAGATAGGGAAATGAATGAATATCTTACAAATCGTTTAAAAGAAGAATTAGAAAAAGAAAATCAGAAAAAATTAAAACAACAACAATTATTATTAGAGAAAGCTCAACAAAAACAAATATATCTATCAAAATCTGCAAATTTTAATAATAATAATAATAATAATAATGATAATAATAATAATAATAATAATACTATAATAAATAATAATAATATAAACACCACCATATCAAATACCTCCACTACAACAACACCAATAGCACCAACTACTAGTCCTACTCCAACTCCAGGAAAAAGAGGTAGAAAGGCTAAAATAAGATTATCTCAATAAAAAATATTAAAAATAAAAAAATAAAAACTAAAAAAATAAAAACTTAAAATAAAATTTATATGCACACAGTTTTTTTTTACCCTATTGTCAAGTTTTTGTAAAACTATATTTTTATAAAATAAAAATTTTTTTTAATGAGATTTTAAAACAATTATTTTTTATTTATTTATTGTAAAGTTTGGATATAAGCTAATAAACCTTTAAAGTTTGGAGTACCTAATCCGGTAACTGGATCCCATCCTTTGGCGGCGACATAGCCAACTTTAGAGCAACATTGAGTAGTACATTTATTATCACCTGATGTAATATCAGTGAAGGCATTATTGTTTGAGGCAGCAGCGGCATAGAGAACTGGGTTAATGAAACCAAGTGGTGATTTGTTGTTATTGAAACGATAGCTGTTTAATAATGAAATAATAGCGCCAAATACTGGTGATGATGCAGAGGTTCCATCGACTGGTGTTGGATTACCACCTAAAACAATATAATAGTTATGACCTAAAGCAGATACATCTGGGAAACCTCTGTTGCTTGAGTTAAAGTATTTTGATGCTGGTAATGGTGTACCAGAGTTAAGATATGCATCAACAACATCTGATTGCCATGATGGACGTGGGATATAGTTTGAGAAACCACCACCAGTAGTAATGGCAGCTGGTGGAGCTTGACAAACAATTTCTTCAGTAGATGTAGCACATTTATTATTATTACAGACTGGAATACCTTTGTAGATGTTGCCACTATTTGATGATGATTTGCCTAACATTGTGGCACCAACAGAGGTAACCCATGGTGAAGCACCTGGGAAAATAGTTGAAATTACTTGGCCTTTAGTTGAACAATCTGGATTGCCATTACCTGGAGCGCCATCATCACCTGAAGAAGCTAAAAGAGTGATACCACGTAAACCAATCTTTTGGAATTCAATATTGGTACGTTCGACATATTCGAATGAGTTTTCACCTTTTTGGCAGTTAGCTGGGTTGTTTCCGCCACATTGTTCTGGTTCTGGCCAACCCCATGACATACTAACAACATAAGGAGCTGGGTATTGTTCTATAAATAAAAATTTTATTAAGTTAATATTACATATGTTTTTATCAATTCAAATACTAATATTTATTTATACATACCAGCAAGAGCAGATGAAAATTCAAACATCCAACCATCAACAGTCCAAAACCAAAATTGAGCATCTTCAGCAATGGCAGCACCATATTGAACATCTAATGTTGATTCACCATCTGGGTCGGATGGAACAAATGGACCAACTCTCTTTGTAACTTTAATTAATGGAGTTCCAGTTTTGGTAGCAAATGTATTTAAATCTTTTGGATTGTATGAATGATCAGCTTGGAATTCAGCAACACACATTGATGTATTTGGATGATTGTTGTAGTTAGTTGGGATACCATATAAGTTTTGAATGGTAGCTGGAATAACTAGACCTGGGTCAGCATTTGGAGTGGATTGAACTGATTTATGATTTAATTTATGTTTTTGTGGTCCATTGCTTAAGTGTGGTAATTCAGATAAACCTGTAACAATATGAACATGTTCTTTAATTTGGTGTGGAATGGTATAGGTTTGTTTTGAACGAATTAATTTTTGATTGGCTTTAACAGCATGTTTGTAGTTGAACATTTCGACTGAAAACATTTTTTCGATTGCAGAAACTGGTGCAGAAACTTTAAGGTAATCACTATGAATTTCGACTGATTCACAACCATTTTCATATAAATATTCTTCAACGGTATCAACAACTTTTTGTTCTGGTGCAACTAAACCTAATACTGATTCCATATCCCAATATTTACCTTTAGATGTATTAAATTAGGTATGTTAATATATAATATTTTTAATATTATTGAAAAAAAGGGTTATACATACCATAGTTTGGTGATAATGGATTAGAGACATCTAATAAAGTAGATTCTAAAATATCAAGATTTCTTTGATTTAAAGCAACATGGAAGTTAACTAAATGGTTTTTACTTGCTCTATCACTTCTGACCCAATTCGAATCTCTGTTGAATGATAATGTTGGAACTGCCAAACAAACAGTTAATATTAAAAGTAGTATTAATTTCATTTTTTATATTTATTTGTTTTTATAAAATTGTTGAAAAATATAATGATATCATTTTTTTTTTTTTTGTTTTTATAATGAAAAAAAAAGTGGAAAATATCCATTTCCAATTCCATGATATCACATGATATTTTTTTAATAAACATAAATGAAAAAAAAAATCAAAATTTTTTTTTTTTCCTATGAAAATTCTTTATATTTTTTTCCTCCTATTTTTATTAATAAATGTTTTCGCAAATATCTTGAAAAAAAAATTTTTAAAACAATTGATGATGAATTTTTGAACAAAAAAAAAAAAAAAAGAAAAAGAAGTTTCGTTGGAAAAAAAAAAATTGTTTTTTTAAATTATGAGGTTTGTAATTACAAACATAAATTATAATATTTTATTTGGGCTTATGTTTTATGAATCTTAAAGCTAAGAATGAAATTAAATTTAAACAAACTATAATTGTGAAGAGAATAAGACAGTTGTTTCTTACATTATTTGATTTTAATGTTAGTCTACTGAGAATTTGATCGCCATTATAAAGTAAACATTGAATATCATTTTCTTCGAATGGACATGGATATTGATTGCCTATTAGTTCATTAGCTGCCATTGCACCGAATGAATATTGATAGATACTGGTATAGCTGATCCAATTAATATAAAATGGGAATGTGCTTGGATTTAAAAGGAAACCAGCTGAAATACTCCAAAAAGTCATAAAAAGATTGGCCATAAGAGAAGCACCTGCAAACTGTCTTATAAAAGATGTTGACATCATACCAATGGACGCACTGGCATATTGTACCAATGTTAAAGTTAAAAAGAACCAAAAGAAATTTGTGGCTGCTGGTCTTAGATCTGCCATCCAATAGAAAATACAACTGAAAATAAGCGATGATAATACTTCAAAAGGGAGGTTGCTAATTTTAGTTGCGAACCAATAGCTATAACTACTATACATCTGATCGTAATGTTCTCTATCAAACACTAATAATTCTTCGCTATACTGGAGAATAGTTGCAATAATAATTAAATATGGCTGTAAAATTGTAATTACGTAAAAGCATGATACTCTGCTATTGATGCCGACCAAATCTACACCTAACTGATAGAAAATACCCCCACATATTAACGCCATTAAAACGGTTTCGATCATTCTTGCTGCTAATAAAGTTTTATCTCTTGCAATGTGTAATAAAGACCTCTTTGTTAATAAATAAGTTTGTAAAAGTAATGATGTGTTACGATTTTCGATTTTAAATTCTTTTTTTTCTTTTTTTTCTTTTTTATCTGTACCTTTATTATCTATTGAGAGCTTATCATTGTCTAGACTGTTAATATTACTATTATTCTCATCACTATTATTATCAATTGATTGAATTTGTTGTTTAATCTTTGAGTTTCTATAACCTTCTATTAAATATTTTAATCTATTATTTGACTCTTCTTGAATCTTTTCATTTTGCAAATTTACAGTAATTAAATCTAAAATATAGTCTGCTGGGTTTGAATCGTATGGACAATCATAACCTAATGATGCAAAGTGACCAACAATATCTTTGGTGGGACCATAATAAACAATGTTACCTTTTGATAATAATAAAATTCTATCAAAAAGTTTGAAGATATCCTGGAGTTAAAAAATTAATTATTAGAATATTTTTTTTTTTTTTTAGAAAATAAAAATAATACTAACATTTTTAGGTTGGTGAATAGTCATAATTACACTTTTATTATTTGATCTTGATAAAGACAAAAGAGTTTGAACTAAATTGGCTGCTGAAAAAGAATCCAAACCTGTAATAATATTCAATTTTGAATTATTATTAAAAAAATGAATAAAAATAAAATAAATAAATAAATATATTACCTGAAGTAGGCTCATCTAAATAAATTACACCTGGATTGGATAACATTTGTACACCTATACTGACACGACGCATTTCACCACCAGAAATACCACGTTTTTTACCAAATCCACCAACCAAACGATTGCTACATTCACGAAGTGCTAGTTCACCAATAATTTCTTCTACAATTTCCAATTTTCTTTCTTTTGTAAAATGTTCTGGTAGTCTTAAAAGTCCTGCATATTGTAATGTTTCACGTACTGTTAGAGTTGGTAATAATTGATCACTTTGCAATACATATCCCACTGTTTTTTTAATTTCTTCTTTCGAAACCTCATGTCCATTAAAAAAAATTTCACCACCAACAATATAGTCCTCACTTCTACCTGAAATAGTATTTAAAAATGTTGTTTTACCAGAACCACTAGTACCTAAAATTGCTAAAAATGTTCCTGCTGGTACTACTAATTGCTCTATTGGTTTTAAAATTTCAACTTCTCCTTTTTTTTTCCCAAAAATTGGTATTGATCTTGGTAATTCGCAAGATACCTTTAAATTTTTAATTTCTACTTCAAAACTTTGTGATTTTGCCCATGATACTATTATATTTAAAATATTTAAGTTAATTGAATTTTTCTTTATAATTAATTTTTAATTTTTTTTTAAACCTACATCTTTCAGAGTTATTGGGTTGGTAAGATTCTAATGGTATACCATCCATATTTCTTTTTTATTGTTTTCTAAAACCTATTAAAGGAAATAAAAAAATTTTAGTATAAAGAACAATTTTAAATTATTAAAATTATTATTTGAAATTATAACTATTGTTTTTATTTTTATTTTTATTTTTATTATTATTATTAATTTTGAACAAGCTACAAAAAAAAACAAATACAGATGGTTATTAAAAAAAATTAATAAAAAAATTAAAAAATAATTTTTATAATTTTTATAATTTTTTATTTTTTTATTAATTTTTTATTTTTTTTATTAAAATTTTTTTGGTTTTTATAAAAAATAATAAAATAATAAAAAAAATATCTATGGTATACTTTTTCGGCTAAATTAGGGTTCCAATTATTTTCAGTTTAACTGAATAAGCAACCTAGGTTGCTTAAAACCCCATTAAAAAATAAAAACCAAAAAAAAAGGTTATAAATACCTTACCATTTGTGTTTTTTTTAAATTACTTTTTTCCAAATTACTTTTTTTTTGTTATAATTTTATATAAAAAAATAGTTTTATTTGGGAATTAAAATAATTATAATATTACATTTAAATACTGATTGAATGATTTGGTGAAATACTTGAATGTCACCATTGTTAAATTTTAATCTTTTGTGCTATTTAAAGATAAGCTGTATTTGATTGTTTTTATTGTTTATTGTTTATTGTTTATTGTTTATTGTTTATTGTTAATTGTTATTATTTTATTAATTTTTATATTTTGGTTTTAAAAATTGAAAATAATTTAAAAATAAATTGTAATACAAAGAAATTTTAAATTAATATCTTAAACATTTATTATTTTAAAAGTATGTGCTATAATAAAAAAAAAATAAAAAAAAATATTAAATTTTAAAAAAAAAAAAATTATATTTTTAAAAAAAAATTTAATTTTTTTATAAAGATACCACATGATTAAATAATATATATATTTTATAACATGTATAAATAAATATATATATATTCTTTTTGGGGTTTATAATATAAAATTATCCGAAAGGGTTAATATGTTTTAAAATAATAAAAATGAAAGGTATATATATATTAGTATATATACATACCAATAATAATAATAAAAATAATAATAATATTAATAATCTTTTTTATAAACAAATAAATAAACAGACACTTAATAAATGATTTTTTATAATTTTTTAAATTAAAAAAAATAAATTATTAATATTTATATTAAAAAAAAAAAAATTTATTATTTTTTTCAAATCTTATATTAATCATAAAAATATTTGTTATTTTTTTATATATATATATTATTATTAATACTAATGAAAAGAAATAGACAATAATAATCAAAACACTCGCTCATATAATCAAAAAAAAAAAAAAAAAAAAAAAAAAAAAAAAAAAAAAAAAAAAAAAAAAAAAATTATAATTCATTTTAATAAAAATCAAATCAAATATACCATAAAAACTATAATATATTTAAACTTATATTGGTTTTTAATACCGAGTAATATTTTGTATATAAAATGAAAATAAAAGAATTAATAAATATAATAATATTTTTAATAACGATAAATTTAAATAGCAATTTTATATATATTAATGGATCACCAATTCAAAATAAATTTACAGGTGGTGGTGTCACAACATCACTAGTTGGATCATCATTAGTTGGAACCAAAATAAAGTCATCATCTTCAACCATATCGGCAATAGATGGCTCTTTTTTAAATACTCTAAATAATAATTATTTAAATACAGATAATAATGATTCACCTTTATTACGATCACCAATAAAAGACATAACGAGTAGCGCCACACAAAATTTACTTCCATTCACAAATACAAAAAACCATAGGACTCAGCAACCACAACCATTACCCACTTCTGCAAACATAATTGCATCTAGCACTACAACATCTCCAGCAACCACAATCCCAACCTCTCCTGTTTCATCAACACCAACAACAACCAGCGAAGCTTCTTTTATTGATAATACCTCATCAAAAGCAAAAACATCATCACCAATTGAAACTAACCCAATTTCTTCAACCCCAAATGAAAAAACAATTTCAAACCATAATTCAATTATATCATCCAGAGCACCCAAAAATAATAAAAAAAAACCTTCTAAACAAAATAATAATAACATAAACACAATAAGCGAAGATGATATTTTTTATGAAGATTATAATTTATTTCCATCACAATTTAGTTTTTGTGTAGGTGGAATCTGTCCCAATGGGGCTTGTATGGGTGACTACCCAGGATGTATTGGCCAACTCAATGATATAACAACAAGGTGCCCATATAATGAACCAGTAAGGTGTATGGATGGTTCATGCAGCAAGTCTCAAGGGTTGTGTCCAGATTCAATAGTTAACAATTGTACATTCGGTATATGCCCCAACGGACAATGTGGACCATGTAATCAATATGATGGTTGTACAGCCGAGTTACCATTTCAATGTCCAACCGGTATTTGTGTGGAGTCATCATCAAGCTGCGATAAATGTGAGAATGGTCATTTAAAATGCTTTGATGGTTCTTGTAAATCACCATGTCCATTTGTAAGATATTTTAAAATTTTATAAAGAATTTTAGATGGAGATACTAATTAGTATTTTTTTTTTTTTAATTTTAGCCACCTTATTATTATAAACCAATTTTATTATCAAGGACTATTATGGAAGGAAATAAAGATACAAAAGTTTCAGTTAATACTTATGAATCACCATTTGATTTTAACTCGGATCATATTAAAATTGTTGATATATACATCGAATCAAATACATTACCATCTTTGACCCAAATAAAAGTTCAACCAGTAGCAGATTCAATAGTAGAAGCTATAAAAAGCGATGATAGTTTAAATTATAAATATCAACTATCACTTTTAACCCCAATCATTAATATTACTGCATCAGTTAACGGAACCCATATAAGTCATTTCAAAAATAAAATTAGATTTGAATTTAATCTAATAAACAATCCTACATTTGTAAGTAAAATGGGTAAAAAAAAAAATTAAAACAGTTCAAAACTTTTTTTAATACTCTTATTTTAATTTAAACTAGGATGTAAATAAATTATATTTTGCTTTTATAAATGAAACTACCGGTAAATGGGAAAAATGTTCAAATATTTCTATTGTAGATTCAATGATAATTGGATACACTGATCATTTTACATCCTTTGCTGTTTTGACATCTATAACTGGGTCATTTGGAAGTAGCTATTATAACAAAGCAAGTATTAATGGTGTTAAAACCAGTCAAAGTCCATTCGCAATGACAAAAAGTAATCTTCCAACCATTTTAGGTATTGTATTTGGATGTGTTGGGGCATGCGTTTTAATTATTGTCGGTGGTGTAATACTTCATCACTCTTCAAAACATGGTGGCCTAAGACATTGGTTAATTTCTCGTTCAAAATACTCAAATGAAAATAATAGTAATAACAGTAATAACATTAATATTAGTAATAGTGTTGTCATTAAAGAAAAAAAAAATAAAAAGAAAAAAAAAGATAGTACAGGTTCAATATCAACAAGCCCAAAGATATCAGAATCTTCAGAACTAATGCTAAATAATAGTACGACTAGTATAACCAGAACAATTTCTAATAATAGTATAAGTAGTAATGATTCAAATACGAGTGGTATTAGTAATAGTATAGACTGTAGTAGCGATAATATTTTAATAAATCAAAGCAATAATAATAATACTAATAATAATAATATCAATATTAATAATTTTATTATTAATAATAATAATAATAATAATAATAATAATAATAATAATAATAATAATAATAATAATAATAATAATAATAATAATAATACCAATAATAATATTCATAATAATATTCATAATAATCAAAATATTGAATCCACCCAAAATATCCCAGCTAATAGCGAAACAACTATTGATATTAATAGCATATAAAAAAATAAAAAAATAAAAATTTTAGGTTTTTATTTTTAAAAATAAAAAACCATTGAAAATTTTTTGGTTTAGTTTATTTTCTTTGATTTTTAAGAATTAAGTGCTCCACACACTCAATCATCAGATATTTTTTTTATGTTCAAATAAAGGTTTGTGTGGTGACAAAAAAAAAATTTTTAAAAAAATAAAATATAAAAAAAAAAATAAAAAAAAAATTTAAAAATAACCATTTTTTAAATTTTTTTTTTCATTATAAAATTACTTTTGTATTACTAGGCGATTATTTTTACGTACAATAATCAATAAAATGGTAACAAATATATATTTCTTTAGTTAATATTTTTATTTTATTTATTTTAAATTAATATAGTAATAATTAAAAATACAGGCTGAACCAAATTATTTAGATTTGGTACCAACAGAATTTTTTAAAACTTTAATTCCATCAGAATATAGCTTACAATCATTATTTGAAGTCGACTATAGCAAATGGGATTGGAGCCAACTCTTACCATCAAATAACTTCAAATTTGTTGAAGGTGTAACACCATTTTCAAATAAAAACTTTATCTTTTTATCAATTTTTGTTTATCTTTTAACAGTTTTAACAATTAAGGTAAATACAAACTATTTTTAGATTTTTATATAAAAGATTACTAATGACTTCAATTATTTAGTTTTTATTTAGTGTATTAAACATTAAAGGTTGGAAACTCGGATTTGTTTCAGGTATTCATAATTTAATTTTATGTATTTGGTCCTTATTTATGTGGGTCGGTATTTCATATGACCTTTTTATTCTCTTCACTACCACTGAACATGGAATCAATGCCTTGTTTTGTTCTCCAAAGTCTAATCCAATTACTGGTAGAATTTTCTATTGGCACTATATTTATTTTGTTAGTAAATTTTATGAATTTATTGATACTTTAATTATTGTTTTAAAAAGAGTAAGTAAAAATAATATAATAATAATAATAATAAAATAATAATAATAAAAAATAATAAGAAATTTTATTAATATTTACTATTAAATATAGAGACAATTAATTTTCCTCCACATTTGGCATCATGCAATTGTTGTTTTAATTGTTTGGACTTGGTTGCCATCAGGTGTTGCTTATGCTTCAGTTGGAATGTTTGCTAATACTCTTGTACATATCTTTATGTATTATTACTACTTTAGAACTTCAATTAATCCATCTGTTCGTATTTGGTGGAAATCATATCTTACTTCGGGTCAATTATTCCAATTCACAATGTCATTTATTCTTGCCATTCCATTCCTTCTTCAAGATATCTCATTCAATTCCTCCACAGGTGGTTTCGATCATTCATGCAAAGGTTGGGGACCATTTGCATTTACTATGGTCAATAATTTAATTTTCCTTTTATTATTCATTAACTTTTACCTTAAAACTTATTTCAAACCAAAATCATCAAAGAAAACAGATTAAAACTAATATTGCAGTTTATATATACAACAAAATAATATTTTTTTTTAAATAAAATACAAATAAAAAAAAGAAAATAAAGTTTTAGTTTAAATTTAAGTTTTTATTTATTTTTTTTTTTTTTTTTGGTTTTTTTTTTTGAAGTAAAATATAAGACACATTATGATAGATTTAATTTAAATCTATCTGTGCTAGCTATACATTTAATTATTGGTATATTAATATGTATTGATATAACTATTTGGATATTGATAAAAAATAGTTAAGTGTTGGATTGAAGAATCTTTTTTGTATTATTATTATTTTTTTTTTTTTTTTTTTTAATTTATTTTTTAAAACAAGTGATATTATTATTTAGCGCATTATTATAATTATTATTATTAGATTATTTTATTATATATTTTTATTTACTAATTTACAGATTATTATTTTAAAAATGTATTATAATATAAAAGAAAAACTATAGAAAAAAAACACATAACATGATCGATTTATGTGTCAGTCTTTTTTTTAAATATAAATAGTTATTTTTAAAATAGTTATGAGTTTGATTGTATATGGATGTATAGTGTGTTGATTATAGAGTTGATTGTTTAAAATATATTTACAATTTTGAAATTTTTTTTTAACTATCGCCTATATAAAATTAAAAAAAAAATTTCTTTACGCAATTTTAAAACGGAATCCATGCTCTATGGTTGCACCTCACAATGTACGACGCCATATAAAACGAAACCCATTATAAACACCACCCTCTCTAATAAGTACAATTTAAAATTAAATTTTGTTGTTGAAGTTTGGTTAATTTTTCACCAGTTCTTGGGGAGGTTGGTGGATTGTTACTTGGAGAATTGTTGTTTGGTTGCTGAGAGGCTTGTTGTTGTTGAGCGGCGGCTGCTTGTTGGGTCAAATGATTATTAATAATTGAGGATTTTAATAATTCAGAAGGAACTTTTAATGAGCTATTGTTGCTAACTGTGAAACCAGGAGTGGTTTGGGAGTTGACCTTATAATTGTTGCCGCCGAATGGGTTTGGTAATGGACAAACTTTGAAATCTTCGATACCATTTGAACCAAATAGAGATGGGCTTTTGGATGGTGAGTTACCAGCGCTATTTACATTATTGCTATTTGATCCACCATTATTCTTCCATGGACTGAAAGGATTGGCTGGGATTGGTGGTGAGTGTGTGGTATTAGAGTTTGATTGTAAAGATGGTGAAGAGTATGGTGGAGAAGAATTTCCATTATCTAAAATTGTAATATTATTAATTGAGGAGTTGTTATTGATTGATTGTTGTGGTGGAGTGTGAATTGGACCATTTAAATTTAAGTTATTGTTGAAATTCGATAAAGAAAAGTGGACACCGGCAGCAGTTAACAATGGTGAGTTTCCGATTATAGATGGACTAGTGGTTGATGAGTTAGCAGAAGAAATGCTTGCTGGATTATTACCTCTTGGGGTTCTACATTTTGGTGATGGGGTATCAGAGAAAATCATAGGACTGTATTTAAGTAATAATAATTCTTCTTCAGTGAAACGTTCTTCATCATTTGCTTTTCTTTTTCTATTTTCAATTTCTTCACTATCATTATTTACAGATTGTTGTTGTTGTTGTTGATGTTGTTGTGCGGTTTGTGTTGGTCTTCTTTTTGGGAAATTTCTATATAATGGATCTTCTCTTGGACTTTTAGTTGTACGTGGTGATAAACCAGCTTCTGGGGTTAAACAAATACCACCTGAGCTTTCTTCGTCATCATAGATTGAACCTTCCTTATCTGGTGGTAAGGCCCATGGGTTTAATGGTTGGATGAGTCTCCAATGACCATTACAACCCATTGCATCCCAACCACTTTCAAAATGACGGCAATGTGAGAGTGAATCTTGAACTTGTTTTCTCCAACGATCGGATTTGGCAGTGTTTATTGATAAGTGGTCCCAGTGAGAGTCAACATAGGTATAGATATCTTTCTTTAAGTTAAAATATTTCTTTTCTGGGTGTAAAACACTGAGGCAATAGAGTGCAACACGAAGTTTTAATGTCCATGTGGCTCTTCTCTTTTGTAAACAACTTGGAGTACCGTTAACACACAACATACATCCATCAAATTCGTATGGAGTGGATACCATAATTTTAGTATGTGGAGAACATGGATTTGATGATGTTGGCGATTTGTTGATGTTTGATAAATTTGCTAAATTTACAGTTGGTATAACAATTGAATCTTTCATTTTTAAAAAATTATTACTGTTATGGTTATTACTATTATTTTTTTTTATTATTACACTTGTTTAATAAATAAAAAAATTGGTTTTTTTTCTTTTTTTTTTATATTGTTGTTGATGTTATTAAAAAATTATTTACAAATAATATAATTTATTATTAAAAAAATAAAACTATTTTTTATTAAAAAAAAAAAAAAATTGTAAAAATTAGTATTTATTATTTTTATATAAAAGAGTTTATGTTTTAAAAAAAAAAAGAAAAAATTATATGATTAACTAAATAAAGAAAAACAATACATAAAAAATTTAAAATAATAATTAAAAAAATAAAAATAAATTAAAATTAAATTTTAAAAAAAATATAAATATATATTTAGAAATATTTTTTTAAAAATAATTAAAAGTCATCTATATTTATGTACAAATATATAAATGTATCACAAAATAAATTCGAATTTTATGTAATATTAATATGAGGATATATAAACGATATAATATAAAATAAATAAAGAAAGTGTTTAGTTAAAAAAAAAGGTGAGAAAGAATTTTTTTCTTAATATTATTATTATTACACAATATAAAAAAATAAAAAAAAATAAAAAAAAAAATTAAAATTAAATGTTTCTTTATATATTTATATAGAGTAGTGTGTGTATTTTTTATTTTTTGTGATTTAGTATTTTATAAATTGAATGATTGAAAAATAATACGATTGTGTGTTTGGGGGTATTTTTAATATAGAAAAAAGCACACGCACACAATTTAAATTTTAAATAAATATATGTATTTAATTTAGTGCGATAAGTGTGAGTGTTAATATAGAATGAAACAAATAAATATTTATTTTTGGATGGATATAAAAAAAACAAGAAAAAAAAAATAAAAAAATAAAAAGAGAGACGTAGTGTTTTATATACTTTTTTTGGGTTTGTTTATTTTAAGATAGAAATAGTTTTAATTTTTTATTTTTATAAAAAATATTTCTTTTTAAAAAAACAAAACAGGTTTTATATTATAAAAATTGAAATAATAATTGTTTTTCTTAAAAGAATAGTTTTTGATTGTTTTCTTTATTATTTATTCTATTATAATTATTATTTATAATTTTATTTAATACAATAATAAATAAACAAAATAAAAAATTT